CCTTGACCCTGTAGAACATCAAGCGAAGAGGGCACGAGCACCGTCGTTTTTCGTTTTTTTTCCTTCCAGAAGCCCTAGATAGTCACCCACACACTCTCACTCACACACCCGCAACCGTCGCCGATGCCCTTCCCTTCCCCAATAATATACGCCACTACCACCTAAATAACTGAATCAAGCTCTTCATAGGTCAAAAAAAAAAAACGAGGGAAAGAAGGAAAGAGAGAAAAAATTTCTTTTGGGAGTGGAGGAGGGCCGTAGAATGGGGGTGGGGGAAGTAAACGTCAACAGGTATGCATATCCCATGTGTATAGCTGTACCGTACTTTCTCTGGATTGCGTTGCCGTTCCGCCATTGCCCTGCCATGCGAGCGAGAGCATGCGAGAGAGGTCTTACCTGCCATACACACGAGCTCAACTGAACCTCAACTTGAATCGCAAATCGCGGGCGAAAGTTTTCAGTGCGCTGAGATCGGACGGGCGTTCAAGTAGAGTAACTTGCCATCATACTAGTATTTCTCTGACGTTTTTGAACTGGGCCATTATTGCATACACCCAAAATCATGAGCTTGGCGTATTTTTGTATGGCATGCAATATCAGTCGCGTCCACAAACGTCAGAGAAATACGAGTAGGTAGGTACATCTACTTACACCTATGAGCTATGCACGGCTCAGCTCGTTCAGTTCTGTCTTTGAGCCACTGCGGTATCTTATTGCGGAGTCATAGAGTGGAGCAAGAAGAAGCAAAAGAAGTAATTGACATGGAATCATGGATTCCATGGTGGAATCGAGTGACGCATCCATGATTGATAGTCTTTCTCCAAATCTCTTGCGCGCACGCACTTTCTTGTGCCTGCGTCTAAAACACGCTCTTTTCCACGTGCTGCTCTGTCCTGTCTGTCGCAACAGCCCTCCAAGCGCACTGGCTAATTAAAAGAAAGCACACTAGCATGTTTGCGCTTGCTGGGCGCTCGCTCATCCTTGGAGAAGATTTGTTTCAGGGGCTTCTTCCCTCTCCCGTTGGAGGGGAAAGGGAAGCTTCGGAAGAACGTGGCGAAAACGTGCTGGATCTGGGCGATCATGAGCGCTAGCCCGCAAATGACAGTCACGTGGGATTTTGTGCTTTTTGTACGTTAGGTTTTGCTCGGGGGGTCGGAACTTGCACCTGGCGTGCACCGGCAGACCCCGTAGCGACATCTGAGTCGAAACATCTTCTACCAAACCAAACATCTGCTCGGGAATCGGAGCCTCAGATTTGTGACAGGGATGTGTGCTGGGGATTCCTTTGCGGTTGGTGTGTGGAGATCTTCAATTCAAACCCTCGAGTCCCGGCATCTCACGATGGTAGCTTCAGGTCGTGAGTGGAGTTGTTCCGACGAAAAGGTAGGATAACTACATCAGAAACATTACTGGTCTTTCTAAATTGGCCGAATGGAGCTAGTTGTACTAAATCTAAAAATATCACAATAGTTAGCATTGTCGAATTCGTATTAACGGCAGAACTTAAGAAGCAAATGATTGGACGGATTTGTAGGGTAGGGAGTTATACCGTAGCACATATACCTACATACCTCGGACTCTGGTCTCGCTGGTACCACCGATCAACCGACCGAATGCCCGACCTTTCTCTCATCTAGTAGCTTCTGCCCGGATCATGACTCCGAACCTTCTTATCTTTTCGGCTGTGCGTTGGCACGAGAATTTGGCGTCGCCCTGCGAAACAGTTAATGTCCAATGCAAGCAAGCAAGCAGTGGACAGCAGAGAAAGTTGACGGGCTATCCCTACTACTCTCATTTCCAGAAGCCTTTCCCCCAGGGGAGTGCACAGACGGTTCATACAATCCCCAGCGCTGAGGGAATAACCAGGGCCGCTTGGTGGGAAAGAGCTTAGAAGAAACCCACTGCCTACTCCAGTAACTCCATACCTACAGCACAGCAGCACGGGCTTGATGTGCACTCTGCAAATCAAACTTTTTCCGATGGCGATCTCCGTCATCTTCGGTGCCTGACTACCTACCTACTAAAGTATTCGCGCAAGCCACTCGGAGACCTTTACGTACAAAGTGGATCTCCCGAGCCTTTTTTTACTCTTCAATCTTACTACATTCCTAGAAGCATCGTATCAACAATTCAAGGAAGGGTTTGGGCCAATGCCAAACGTGGCAAAGTATGATCTCTGCCCAGAAGCGACTGGACTAGAGTAGGTAGGTAGGACGTAAGGGAACAACAACAACTCATCGAAGCGAGAAACCCTCCTTGGGGTATTAGGCAAAAGTCGTTTTTAGTATCATTTCTCCTTGCTTCATTTCGGTAGAGTTGGTAGAGGAAACGTGCCCCATGGCCGGGCTCATCGCATATGTCACGAACTTTGCTCTTTGAAGTAGACATGACCGCCAAAAGTTGCGATGTGTCTTCCAATCCAATCCTTCTTAGGGCCACCAACCGGTGTTTGAAACCATTTTAAGCGGAGAGTATATATCCGAGGTTCCTGCGTAGGTAGGGACGCAAAGGGTCGTTTCGAATACGTCGCATGCCTACTACTCTAGCTAGACGGGTTTGGTTTTGAGGTGCAAGTGGGTTACACATGCTCTACACAAGTATGGTAGGTAGGTAACTTCTTCTCTTGCAACTTGTACTCTACTCTAGAGTAGATATATGCATGGCCCACATAGGATATCATATATATGCTGGGTAAGGTCAAAGAGTGCCGCATGCATCGCATCCGGCCCCCCCCCCCCTGGTGTTCCACGGGCTTTCTTTCTTTTTATGTACGTGTTTCCGCCACCATCACCGCCGTTTCCTGGGGTAGGCAGAGTAGAATGTTCGATGTATGTTTTGTAGGTCTGGCGACGTATGTTCTGCTTTGCGATTGCGATCTTACAGCCCGGACGAATCGTAGATAAGTACAGTATGTAGACATAACCAAAATTGGCCGGAAAAAAACAAAGTTTCCAACAACCGTATTTCCTGGTTGTGTCTTTTTCCTGCATACGTTTTTACTTCAGAGCAGCAGAAGTATGTAGTGCTTGTAAAGTTGAGTTGTAGTGCGTGCAGTAATGAGAGGGACACCTGTAAGTAATGCAATGGGGTACATCCTCCTGTTACAGATCGGTGAAAGCGCCGATGGCTCCATCAAAAGGCTCGTAATATTCGTTGAATCGAGTTACGTTTGATGATCCTAATGGTGCGAGTCCACGAAGTGCATTGACTATGGTCAAAACTTACTCGCAGATGCCCTCCTATCATGGAGACCTGACTTCAATGACAGAATGAGCATGACCATGGCGGAGAATTCAGAATCTTCCATTTTAGTTCCATAAGCGGGGAGTTGAGAAGGATGGGTGGCCTCAAAATCTCTATTAAGAGCCATAATGCACGTCCATAACAGCAGGGGCATCCTTGGTTAGAGATAATGAACAACGCAGACGGAAAATAGTAAGCCCAACCACACAGCTGTAACGTAATTTTTCCTGTGAAGCGAGCGAGCCCACCCGTCTACCATACTTTAGCTCCAAGAGATGACAAAAAAACAAAAACAAAAGCAGGATAATTAGATAAAACAGGTTGAAGTTGAAACAACCAATGATTGCCACAATCATGCTGTCGAAATACCTGGGAGAATTATGATTGATAATTGACCAGATTATGTGAATTATGATATCTTGACATATCAAGTCTTGAAGAAGCACTGTCCGAGACGATGGCGGATAATTAGTGGCAACAACAGGCTCATAATATGTTATTTCGGAAGGCGCCTTACACAAGGGGCGGGGACGGCCTTCTTTTGTTCCAAGCTGTCTATTGCCATTGCCTCCGTGAGCAGCGATTATCTATATTTTATTTTCCAACATATAAAACAAAGGTTGAAGGTTTTCACGGCTGTATCAGAATAGATGTCCCCTCGTCCACCTCGATATAGACGATGATTTTAGGATCAGGTTGGCAGATATCTTCCTCTATAGTTGGCTTCATACATACCTTGTCTCCTCCTATAGAGGAGGTGATTTTGGCATAACAACGCGCTTCTCGGATTGACTCGCTTCCCAGGGAATTATCCAGAGCATATTTGTAGATGAAGTTCTACTCTCGCTTGTAGTCGGCAAGATCAATTTTTTCCACTGCAGAAATGTGAGTATTAGCATATTGTACAGTCCAATCAAGAGGTTTTCTTGGGGGACGCATATTTTACTTTCACAGTGTAACCTTTTCGTGGCAATTATGCGTGAGAAGAGGTTCCATTACGCACGGACGGTCCCGCACAAGCCAAAAGGGGAACGAAATTGAAAAGAACTGGAGTGGCTGGCTTTGTCCAAGCCAATCGCGAAGCACAGCAAGGTCCAAAAAAGTGGACCGGCGCCAAACAGGGATAGGCGCAGCATGGCGCAATTGACAGACTTCTTTCCCTTCATCCACATATTATTTTTCGTTACTGGCCATGTGAGCAACACGCGCTTTTTGACCTGCCCAGCCAGGCCATAGAAGTACGGAGCTTTACGGGCATGCTTTTGGTCAAAGTCATCATACATGTAAAGCTAGTACCTACCCCAACCTGACTTTTTGTGTTGGTACCCTGCATATTAGCTTGTATATGTCATGTACAGAGCGATAGGTTCAGCGATGAGGGATGTACCTAAAGATCGTACCGTTGGATACAGGACGAGCGTTTGAGAAGACACATGTAGGGATGGTTTTGATAAAAAAGAAATGAAGAGGATGATATTAGGAAGGAGGGAAATAGGATCACTTCGTTGTGTCAGATTTCTGGTACTCCGGATCTCAGGTCTTAGTGGCAAGAATTATCGACAGCTATATCAATGGTATTTATGATGTATATGTGGTGTTGAATGGGATATATTGCCCACTTCTCAGTAGCGATAGATTATGACGATGTCTTTCGGCCAGGGCAGCAAATCGGGATTTAGCCACATGGAGTGACCGGAAATGGGGGCCATCGGGGATTGTGAATTCGGTATCGGAATGCCTGACTATCACTCACTTTTATGCCGAGAAGGCGTATCGTGGGCCTGGGTGGTCTGAAGCAGTCTCCTCCTCTTCATCCTCCTCGCCTCGCCTCCACCCTTTCCTCCGAACGATCTTCAGCCGCGAAAGGGGTTATGTATGTAGCAAAGGACATAGAGAGGGCTTCCGGAAGGGTTTTATTGTTCAGCATCACGACCTCCCATGCACAATTTACAGGCAGAGTGATGCGAATAGAGTACATGCTTTCTTAATTGGGCGGTAGGTACGTGATACGTAGGGCAAGCAATTTGAAGCGCAGCCTGGATCTCCAACTGAGCCTCTGGTCCCACTGGGCCGCCGCTCAGCACGGACACTATTTGAATGGCTACCCACTCCTTGTCTCCTTGATACAACGTTTTTCGTGCAAGTATCATTCTCACGATCTTCGGTTTCTCCCGTTGTTCTTTCCGGGAAGAAGAACCGTCGCTGACGCATGTTTATTGATACCTGAAAGCAAAGAAGATTAAAACGACGAGTTTCCTGGTCGAACCCAGCAGTTCGTCCCCACCCACACACTTGTTTGTTGCCCTCTATCCTCCATCCCCAGTCCATGTCCAGTGGTCACCTCCGCTTACCCAAACTACTGCGGTATGCTCTAACAAGCTGCCCACGACAACATCATACGCCAGGTCTCTCCACCCCTCCCCTCCGGCGTGCTTCCTGCAAGTCGACCTTTAGCGTCTAACTCGAAGAACTGTTGCTCAGATCCCTGTCTGCTTGAACATGCTTCTTCGCACAGACCACGATGATGCCCTTTTGCTAAGAATTCCGGGAACCCCGTGAAGTCACTCTGGGGTGGTGCAGTTACCAGCCTAATCCTGTCTACTCTATATGCCCCCGTAACTTATTGGATTTTGTCGATGGGGCCTGCTACTGCTCCTGATGCCCTCTTCGCCCTCTTTCTCTCGCTATCTCTTTCGTCTTTTTTCCCCTTTATTTTCTTTTCTTTATTCATAGGTTTGTTTGCTTTTTGTTGTTCAACCCTCGATGGCTGTGGTTCAACTAAATCAACCTATGAGGAGGGGTGGTGGTGGTGGTGGTCGTGGGGATGGCATGGCAGTAGAGTACCATTATTAGCTGTAGTTCCGTAACTCGTGAGTGTTCTCTCTACACATACATACATGTAGAAGTAGAGCAGAGATGATACACATGCCCACCACCCACACACATATATTTCATTCATTCACTCACACACATCTTGTTCTACTCTGGTAGTTCTTGCTGGCCCGTACTGTCACATAGCCTTGCCAAAGTATACTAGTATTGAAAGAAGAGAAGAATCGAGTCTGAATCTATCTAGACAACCTCCCGCTACGGTACGACCCCCCTCTAGACCAATAGAAAAGGAGAAAAAGAAAGGAAAGGGAAAAAAAAAAGGAAAAGCCGCGTCGAGGTTGCTTCTCACCAATTACTCGAGCAGTACCACCGTCGTCCGCGCACCTGTTCGCCATAGCTATTCCACTCTTAGACCTAACCCCCTCGAAGAATCCCTACAACCACCGCCCCGCGTCATCAAATTTACTCCTTATGTCGATATACGCTAGGTATTGAATCTACAACTGACCGCCGGTCCCCTATCCGACTCGCGAACCACGTAATATTAATACTAGTACCTGTCGCCGCCCTCTGCATTCTTTGGTTTTTGCCGAATTCTCGATATCATCCGATCTGGGTTGTAACCAGCTTCCAGGCACCATCCACCTCAAAGAGAACCCTAGGTACTATCGACATCATCATTGTCCCAGGTACCGATTCCAGATTCTCGGTTTTCGGGCATTTAGACTACCACCAATTGCTGTCTATCCCGCAATATTGCCACGACCTCGTAAGTGATCTCGACATGGGCGAGGGTTGATGGAGAGAAGTCTTCTTCTTCTCGGGTATTGGCGGATCTAACAGTCAGGATTGTTCGTTCTATACAGATTTTTTTTCTCACTTCGCACATCACGCTTCTCTTGCCATTCCATTATCCCTACTGCAGCCATTCGCAGTGATCTTGCCGGTCATTGAAGCGTAGGACACTTTTTTCCCGCTGAGTTAGCAACCCTGTGCCTGCCCATCGAGTCGACCGAATCAATCGCCTGTCGGTTTGCGCAGTACCGCTTAGACCATAATCAGTCAGTCTGGACACTCGCTTGTCCTCCAAAATCACGCCTCTATCCGAAAAACTACGAGACCGAATCAATTCCGATTAAAGACACTGTTTGCGGTGGTCAAGAAAGGCCAAAACGAGGATTAATATCAGTTTGTTGTCGCAGACTAAAAGAGCCAAAATTTGTGTCCGTTTTCAGAGCTCCTGCCTGTTACCCACCAATCCCCCCCCCACATTTTATCCTGCAACCCAAGCTCTAAGCTCACCTCGCCAAATTTTACTTTATAATTTTTGTTTTTACCAAATAAGAGTATCTTGCAAGTTGAACAGAGAGATTCGACAGAAGGAATATATTTGAGGCTCAAGCAGACGAATAAAGACAGCGCATTTCCCTCACTCTCCATCTTTTTTTTTTGAGGTCAAAAAAATCGTGGACTCGATTCAGTAACCTGGTGCCTGGGACAACTGCAACACCTGACATCAACAGAGCTCGGCCCCCCATACGTTCGCAGCATTCTCGTCCAGCTGGAACGGACTGAAAACACGGTTTGGGGTTGTGATTGACGCCATCTTGATTAGAAATCCCAGTGACTCGGAATTCTATTATCATCATATCTGGGTATCTGCGCGTGAAGAAGTTGAAGCATTATTGAATTGGTTTTCTCTTTTGGAAAAGGTTGGTAGCCGTCAAGCCCTAAGCACACTTTCCCTATCTCCGTTTACTCTTGATTCCCCGTTCCCCTCTTTGGTCAGGGCGTCGTGCCAACCGTTGGTTCGCCAGTTGCTGATGGGAACCTGCACAGCTCTCCAGGACAAACACATCGCCTGTAACAAGCATCCGCAGTATCTGCTTGGTTTCCTTTCTGTTGGGTTGCGGCGTCGTCTCTCGGGCCTGCTTGAATATTGGGCCGGGTCTTTAGCTCTTTTTTACGACTACGCACGGACACCCTCGCCTCCAGAACTGGCTTTCACAGTCCGCACACACTCATACATAATACACACATACATACCCACTGCCGGCTTTCATTTCCCACTTAATCAAGTACCGTCCGTCCATCATCAACAGCACCTAAAATCGTCCGCCTATTAACAACTGCGGAAATCTCACCTACCAGAACTCAACTCTTCGCTCTAGGTACCTTTGCAACTTAAAGCGTCTATCGTCGCACGCATCCCGGAGCCCATCCCTCCTTCTAGAGTCAACATTGTAGTTGATCTCGTCTTCCACCACCAAAATCACATCTCCCAATCACTCGTCAACAGTCAAGGAATCCAATATGGATTTGACAAACATTCTTAATACCAAGGATGGGGCATCTGCCGCGGCAGCAGCTGGGCCCCCTCATTTGGGCCTTGCTATCGAATTTCAGAAGCACTCATATCTTTCTCGAGAACACCCTCAGAGCCCAGCTCCCTCAGAATTCGCTTCAGATCGGGAAGGGTCGCCTCATTCATCTACCTCACCATCTGTCTCAGAGCATTCGTCTTATCCAATACAGCCAGCCCCAACTTCTAATGGCCAGTACTCGGCTGCGCCACTTGCCCCACTTAACACTGGTGGAAGGGGGCCTGGACGGCCTTCTTCAGGGGATCCGTTCTCAAAAGCGTTTCCCTGCAGTGTATGCAATAAAGGCTTTGCTCGTCGTAGTGATTTGGCTAGACATGGTAAGCTGAGGTTTATATTGTTTTGGTAGAAAAAAAAGGGGAATTTTACTGATTTTTTTCTGTAGAGCGGATACATACTGGGATCAGACCTCACGTTTGCGATTATCCCGGGTGTGAAAAACAATTCATCCAGCGGTCAGCTTTGACCGTACATGCCCGTGTTCACACCGGAGAAAAGCCTCACATGTGCGATACGTGCGGGAAGGTATGATTGAACGCATTGGCTGTATCACTATAGCGCTCGCTGACTTTAGCCCTCAATACAGCCGTTTAGTGATTCCAGTTCTCTTGCGCGACACCGACGCATACACTCTGGAAAGAGGCCATATAAATGTCCATACGCGGATTGTCAGAAGACCTTCACAAGGTATATTCATTTTCCACTTTGAGCTGAAAACACCACTAATAATTTGAATAGGCGAACAACACTTACTCGCCATCAAAATCATCATACTGGGACAATCAGCGAAGCAGCCGCTGCGACTGCCGCCGCGCTTGCTGCCAGGCCCACTTTGCCGAAGCCAGGGAGACCGCCAAGATCCCCCAGTGCCCGCCCTCTAGGTCGCCCTCCAAACGACTCGCAGCCGTCTTCAGCGCACTCTACACCGTCCCCTAGTCAGCGCACAGCTTCATTATCACCTTCAACGGAGCTCCCGCCTCCATTCTCCACTCACCGTCAGGCCGCGGAGTATAATATGTACCGTGGAAATAGCAATAATATGAATATCACTTCACACCCTGCTTCGTTAATGGGCGAGATGCAACCATTAACACCTCGCCCAACACCTACGACGACACCTACAATTCCTTCCGTAATGGTGCCTGGGATGAATCGTCAACCCCCGACCTCAAATCCAAACTACTTGCCGCCCCTGCCCCCAATTCTTGAGCCAAAATCAGAATATCAAAGACAAGGGAGCCCCCACCTTTCTGGTGGCTTAGGCAGCCCGCACATGTCTTCAGCTGGGAGCCCTCACATGTCTCACGCAAATCACCCATACTCCCCAGCAGGTTACCGCTCGCCCTCATATCCTACATCTGCAATGTCATCAGATGAACAGGTTTTCTTCCCGCCTCATCTACCAGCGAGCTTCCAGGCCCCATCATCCCCACATTATAGCGAGTCCCATCTTCGAAGGCCGCAATCAAATGAAAATCTCGGGGGCTATGATTTGCATGAAAGGAGGCTCCCTACCATGTTCTGATACTCAAGATCTTGAGTATCAAATTTAAAACTCTTTAGAGGATAAATATTTCTTCGAGAAAAAACATTTACTAGCGGTTTCGGTCTTCTGATCGAGATCAATTAACTTGCTAGTTTATGCGGGCTCCAAGAGGTGGAGCATCCAGACAAAAGAAGAAAATCCTTTTGTATACACCTTTTCTTGGCTTTGATGTCTATTTCTTTTTGTTTGGTTTAAACCGGGGCCTCGGGGATCGGTGTGTGTGGGCGGTTTGTCTTTCTGGGCACGGTGGTGTTTTCTTTGGGTTTTCTCCCTTCTTTTTGTTGCTGCATGATTTCCCCATCCTCCTATACATTATCATGTTACACCGAGGCTCTCTTTGATGCTTCTGAACTCCTTTGTAATAATTCGGAGCATGCGTTGTGACATTATTGTGTTATCCTCTTGTCCGGAGCTTCTTCTTCTTCTTCTTCTTATTATTCTTCTTCTATCCAAAGTATTCATATACTTCCGACTTTATTTCCTTTGGTTTTGCGTTCTTTTTTTTTTCTTCTTTTCTTTGGCAAAAGATGGTGTTCTAATGAAGGCTGACGACCTTACGACCAAATATTCCCAGGTATTAAGTAGCAACAAATTCCCGTTTTCTCTCATCTCTTTCCTGGCATTTAACCTCTTGTTTCGTCTTATTGTGTAACTTTTCATATGTGCCCATTGATTATGCTGTGCTCTCAATGTGGTGTCCTCATGGTGTGGTGTTTCGACATTGCGTATACGGTTTTGGTGTGGTTTCGGGGTGTTTGATTGTTTTTGCATAAATTTCCTCTATTAGTATAGAAAGGTTTCTAATGAAAGCCGATTTGAGTTTGAGTTATCTTTTTTCGTTCTGGCCAAGTGCATTGGTTCATATGCCATCTTTGGTGATGCATAAAGCCTGTTGGTTATGTTGCCAGTGTTCGAGGTGCGAGTTCTGGCGTCGTGTGAATATCATAGCGGTGATATGATAGTGTTGGTATATGAGAGAAGGCGTAAGAAGGGAAGAGGAGGAGGAGAAGGATGAGCAGAAGGAGGAAAAGAAGTCTCACGTTAGCTAGCGTGTTTGGAGGATGATGACGACGGAAACGGTTTGAATGTTGTCTGCAAAGGAAGGGACGGAAAAGTGCATCAAACGGCGGCTTCGCCATCACGCCATCCCCACCGCCACGGTCTCTTCAGTAGGTGGCTGCACGTCTACACTTTATGTACACTGCGGATCCGCGAACAAACGAGAACCATGACATACCTGTGGTGTAAGCTCTTGCAGGATCGTAACTCGCAGATCCGGATCCAAACCTCAGTCACCAGCGGTTCTCAAATAATTATCTTTTTTTCCCTGCCTTCTTTTTCTCATGCAAGGACAGTTGTCAGATCAAGCTAACATTATAAGCAGCAAATATTCCCCTATTATCCTGTGCACCTCCAGACGGAAGCAAGGGTACATGTAGTGACTAGGGCACATTCTGAAGTGGGGATATAAGATACATGTACAAGAGCTACCCTCGGCAGTTCTTCGCGTATAAATTTTATATACCTACCACTTTACCCTTCTGATTTTCCCGGAGGAGAGAGGATCATGGGAGAAATGCAACATTGTCTACAAAATTCAGAGATGGGAAGTATGTATGGTCTTAAAATTGTCATTGGCTTTTTGATTGTAACTGTTGCGCTGTCTCCCGATGATCAAGCTTTCTTTCGGTATAAAAGTAGCTACTTCATATCCATCCACTGGATACAGCGATGGCCGGAGATCCCTGGTGGTTAGTGCATGCAGTGTACTCTACTCAACACCAAATGGGAAGAAGCCCTTTGGATTGCGGGGAACGGTGCACAGGCAAAAAAAAGCAAAGAAAGAAGGGTACCCAGACGAGAATTTAGGCACAGGATTACCGGAGATTAATCCCCTGAGGGCTATGGCTCAGATGAGAACTGTGCATACCGTGGGTATTGATTGATTAGCCTGTGGGCAACGAAGATGATAGAAGAGATGGCCAGAGCATACACGATACATCTGACCAACTAAAATACATGAGATGCCGTCCATCATGCGGTTTCTTTTGGTTGATAGTGGTAATGATGATAACTGAGTGTTCCTCATTAGCAAACCGTTTAAAGCTATATTCCCGGACGTGGGATTCGGTAACTTACCCTTACGGGGATCCTGAAATTATAGTGCATACGCGAAAGCTACCTGCATTGCATCTTTATGTCGGTATGCACGAACCAACCCGCGAACGATGAGCAGGGGTAGCCGGATTGGGAAGGAAGGATTGGAGTACAAGTTATACTCAATATTGCTCACTCGTTATCTACCACTTGGTTTTTTGGACGAGAATTTGGAAGACAACAAATAAAGTCCTAGAGAGGAGATTGGAAAATTCCGAGACTTTCAGGACAAAATACTTGATTAGTCGGTAAGTGGGTTGTCCAGCTTTGGAGGTTGATTGTTTATGACAATGCTTACTTCTAGGCGCCTATACGACCCGGGAGAATCCCTCCAACTTTTTTCCTGTGTTACCACAAAATGCTTCAATGGGTGATCATCGGGCCAGCCCGCTTACTGTTGCCTGGACCTTTTTTTGCTGCAATTGATTGCTGGGTTTATTTTGACAGAAAGTTCTTCCCGTATATGTGGGGGAAATCATAGACAGTATGCTAATGCCTTGGACAACTTCAAGAAACCCCCATAAGGAATATCTAGCTGCTGTCAAATATTTAGACTGCGTATGCGGTGATGTCTCTCCCCCACACACAAATATCAAAACCGAAAAACGGGATGAAATCAGGACAATCGACCATCCAGAATCAACTATATACTGCAGGAGTTACCGAACGAGAGCAACACGTTGAACGAGCGTATTACTGATTCCGTATTGTCACTTATATCTGTTTATAGGTTCCGTATCCGCCCGACCCCCTTTCATTGTCTGAGCGTGTGCTACGCACATGACACATGATGGTGAGTGTATATTGCTTATTTAAAAATTTCAGGGGTACATACATATGCTTAGAAGTTAGGGCTTTCGGCTGCATTTACCGTGCTTTGAGATATGTGTCCCAGATATATATATATATATGCAGAGCCATGGTCTGGAGGAATTGACTTCTCTAGGTGTTGTGGTTTGGGTATTTCTTCGTTCCCCTTGAAATAAAGTTGTGTACTGTAGCTCTTTGCAGTACATACATGTAAGCACTGTCATGTCGATGGATGAAGTTGATTTCGTGTTGTGGTCACGTGTTTTATATGGCGAAATGTTGCTTTTTTCAACTACAGTCAACGCGAGAGAATATTACTCATAGTTGAAAGATCACAACGCTAGAGTACACGGAAATCTACCTTGCTTTTGAGAGCTTGTAATGAGAGGGAAGGGGGTTTAATGATTATAGAAAAAGGTCTTCAGGTGATGTGATTTACAGAAGATTTAGAAAAGTTGGATGCGTGTAGCTACTAGCGGGCAGCTAACTAAATTATTCATAGGATATCACTCGCTTGATCTATGAGCTGTGACTACATGTATTTTTTTTTTTTTTGTTTAATTCATGTGACTACATGTAGGTACATATAGATTTCTTTGCGATACGCGCGACACAAATCCACGTTAAACCACCGTTTTAATACACACCGTAGTAATTAGTTAAACTCTTTGGCAGATAGATACGCGCCTTCTAATTAGTGCTTGGAGTCCAATTATACGTTGATTACATAACTAATTGGCGTAAATAAGTCTTATATTAGCCTTACCTACCATTAATGCTGCCTGTTTACATAAGCAGCGTTGAGCTCAAATAATCGTGATTTACAAAAAGGTGTATATAGAGCTAATATTAGATGTAACCCAGACAGCAGCAACACATGTACATGTAGCAATCTATCTTCCTCCTAGACGAATCGATATGTCGCCTTCTCTATTTCATCAAAATTTTAGGCAGAGCCATTCTGGAATAGCAGAAGATTTCTTCCGGTATCCAACAACCGATGACGGATTGGCAATTGGGCGACCACTCACAAGGCATCACTCGGAACAAAGCATGCGAAAATAAGTGCATCAAGTATTTCTTCAAAATTTCTGTTTGTACCCTTTCCTGAGGCGTCTAGGCTCATGGAGTTTCACTTGTTAAGAAGTAAGATCGCTCTCAGATATCGGATAAGATAACTGATAGATGATCTAGTAGATTCAATGAAATATCCGCTCTCAAGAGCTCATACTAATACATAAGTGTGTATAAACAAAAACCCCAACTATATAATAAAAACCCAATTCCCAATGCTTCAAATACAAATAATCTAAGGGACAGTGCCGTTAGTCTTAGGCTTCTTCAGCCCAGCACGTCCACCGAAACCCCATCCAATCTGCTTGGCAACGTGGATCTGGACGTCAAGCTCCTCAGCCCAGGCCCAAACCAATCCAGGGTTCTTGGTGAAGTAACGTCCGCACATGATAACATCCGCGCACTCAGCATCAAGCAAGTCCTGAGCCTGCTTTCCGGAGGTGATGGATCCGACAGCCGAGACGAAAGTGGGCTTTCCCTTGAGAGCGGCCTTGACAGCGCGGGCGAAGTGGGCCTGGTAACCGGGGCCGGGCTGGATCTTCTGGTCAGGAGACTGGCCCGAGGAAGAGATATCGATGAGATCGATTCCACGGTCGGAAAGGATCTTGGCCAGCTCCACAGTCTGCTCAAGAGTCCATGAAGGCTCATCCTTGTGCTCGAGGCAGTCGGAGGCGGAGATACGGAGGAAGAGGGGCATGGTCTCAGGGATGGCCGCACGGACAAGGTCGACAATCTCGAGGGTGAGACGGGTGCGGTTCTCGAAAGATCCTCCGTACTTGTCGGTACGCTTGTTGGCGACAGGGGAGAGGAAAGAGTGGAGAAGGTACCCGTGAGCATTGTGGATCTCAATAACGTCAATTCCGGCAGCGACGGCACGCTTGGCGGCAGCAACCCATGCGGCCTTGAGCTCCTCAATGTCGTCGAGGGTCATCTCCTTGGGCTGGGGGTAACGCTCGTTGTAGGCAACGTTGGAAGGTCCCTTGACATTGTCTGGCCAACCGCCCTGCTCAGCAGTAGCAACGTCTCCAAAACTCAACCACGGAGCAAGGCAAGAGGCCTTGCGTCCAGCGTGGGCAAGCTGGATGGCGATCTTCTGGTTCTGGGAGTGGGCGAACTCAACGAGCTTTGCGAGGGGCTCAACCTGGGCGTCTTCCCAGAGACCACAGTCCTCGGGGGTGATACGGCCCTCAGGGAGGACAGCAGTGGCCTCAATGATAACGAGACCGGGTCCGCGGGACAAGATACCACCGAGATGGGCCATGTGCCAGGGAGTGACCTTTCCGTCCTTGGTGGAGTACTGGCAAAGAGGAGGGAGCATTATGCGGTTCTGGAAAGTGGCACCACGGATGGTGAGGGGCTGGAAGAGCGAAGGAATGGCATTGCCGTTGGGCTGGGGGTCCATAGCAGTTCCTGAGGCAGGAACCTGAGCTGGGGTGAAGTAGGAGACCTGAATAAATCATTCATTAGCACCCAATCAATATAAGTGAAAACAGTTGTCAATAATTACTTACACCCTCAGCAGGAACGTTTCTCAAATCAGCGGCAGACATTGTGGAGATTGGTATGAGCAGGATATGATATAGAACTGATACTGAAGAAGAAGAAAACGCAATTTACTGCGGCGAGGAGATGGGCCTTTATAAGATCTTTCTGAAAGGCTCATGTTCAGTACGTCACGCATGGTAAACAGCGGATTTTCTCCACCCAATTCCGTTATGCATGGGGCGTTAACCCATCTTTGCCTAGCCAACGGATCAGGGCAAGGGACAGAAGGAATCTAAAGGATTCGATTGTGGCATGGAATTGGCGTCCTACAGGGGTTTTCCTTTCGTTGAAAGGAAAAAAAAGGGAAAAATTCAACTCGCGCTGGTACTATGCTTATCGCTTATCGTGCTTAGGACATTAGGAATCTGCTTGGGCGTGGGTTGTTGTGGCTCGGCGACCGGTATTAACGGCGGTACAACCGATTTTTGATTTGAAATCAACAAAACCTCCCTAAAAACCCGCGAGGAAGAAAAAACGGTAACCCCAAGCCGTTACCTGACTTACCTTCCCGGACTAGCTACATATGCCTTTACAGGATCGCCGGCAAGAAACTAAAATCTTCAGGGATAATTGATTGGCTCAGAGGCGTGGTTAGGGAACTTTGAAACTAGCATTGAGACCTTCGAGTGAGAAGCCATGAAAGGTCCAACAAGGTTATTGCTGTTTTGAAAAGGACTTTTGGATCTGACAGACTTTGCAGTTCAACGATTACAATTGGTCACAGCTACATGTAGTTACACATGCACCTACAAAAGGAAGGCACTGCCCTGGCCAAAGCCTGCAAGGAACGGAGCAGAGAGCGTTGCGATTCTCGCATCTTTTTTTCTTCGGAGCAGGTACTGGCGTTGTCGTCATTTCTCTTTGCACCCACCTCAACTTATTTGAAAGGACCCACTTACCACCAGATTAATAAGGATATGTCTCATAAGCAGTTAGTTTTACGGCGATTGCAGCATAAAGCCGAATGTAGTGCCGTGAATTATTAGAAATTTGCCTGGTAAAGCGCGCCTCAAACATCTGATTTCTCATCTCGTCGCCGTGGCAACTGCAAGTGGTAGAAGAACCGGTCAACATACCGCATCGTCAGGTCAAGGGAAAAGACTGATCACTCATGATCAGTAAAAAATTAATCCCCAGCCTCGGCTTAATCTGCCTCTATGCACTGAACACCATTTCCCCCCATTCCATATCTGCACCTCAACGCAATAATTCTCGACATGTTAAATATTCCCATCTGGCCGAAGGTTTGATGTTGGATTAAGGTTCTTACGTGATCTTCAACCTTGCGTGCGCCCTACGCGGCGGCCCGTTGGAGGCCATTCTTCCAACTGATAGATGACAAACCCAATCAGTGAAGTGGCGGGGCAAGCAAGGGGATGGACATGCCTTGATCTCGGGGATGCTTCGGTGTCGCCGGGTGGGGAGCCTTTTTCTCCGCACACCCCGGGGTGGAACGATTGGGCGAGATCAAGGGACGTTTTCGCTAGTAATGGTGCTACTGTTTGTTACCTGGGGATCGTTGGACTAAACGTTCTTGAAGCTTCTCGAAGTTCTAGTAGGGCTTCGGAGGAGGGGGGTAATCGCGCGATAATGGGTTTTTGTTCAACTGCATTTGGGTGTCGATCTAGCAAAAAGTACCTGTGTGGCAATGCAATGAGGCCTCACCAGTTCGCTACAGCACTGTAGGTACAGCTTCTAATTGATGGGACAAATGGTTGAAAATTTGATTCTGGGCCCTCGCCAAGGTTCTCTGAGCTTTAGGAAGATTTGTTTATTCGTTGTATGGTTCTTCAGAATAAGGATTTGGCTGCGCGGCCGGTTTTGCTAGATCGTCGCCGATTTAAAGTGTGGAGATGTTCTCGATAAAGGAGGAGGAGACGTATTGAGATAATTCACAATATCTCAACTTTCCATAGAAAAGAAAAAAATGATTCGTGTCCATACCAAAACCTCAGGTTCAAAAAGACAGTTTGCAAATTGAGTGAACGCTGTTGCTACTGTTAGGGTCCGTCGACGTCATCGATCGTCAGCCTTAACTACAGTCGTACAATATACCCGCGTGTAGAGGAAAGAACCAGAAAATGCAAATGCATATTTTGTATGGCAGATCAATGCCACTCCATACAAATAATCCCTGTTTCGTCACTTGCATTTTCTGGTTCTTTATGCTGTACGCGAGTATATTCTCCACCTCACTTCTCCGAGTCCATAAACAAACATACACTGCAAAAGAAGATGGGAATTTTCCAGTGATATGTCCTGTATATCGACCTAGCTGCAGCAACCACAAGTGCCATTCTGAGGATGTCAGTAGTATTCCCAAAACAAATCATATTTACCGCTTCAATCCATAGAGGCTTCTTATCATCCCCCTCTCGCGAATCAACCCAAGGAGAGCTTCTATTGAGCGGAATTTATACTCGCCACCGCGATATCTACGCTCCCAAATAAGGTCTGGGAAGAGTTAATCAAATCATGGAAAATCACTCAGCCTCCGGTAGTATACCGGTACTCCAACTAGCATTAGAAATTACTGATAACTTGACACTTTCTTTGGTTTCGATCACCAGCACTCAGATATTCACAGAGGAAGAAGAAAAAAGAAAGGACTACCGATGGAAAACAAACGAACACTTTATATTCAAGAGAGAGAGAGAGATGGAAAAAAAAGAAAGAAAGATAAACCGTCACGAAGCCTAGTCTAGGTGAGTAGTATAACTATGAAAATCCCAACTTGCTATAAGATGTTCTCCACACAAAACAATAAACAAAAGAACCCCGCCCTACCCCATAAAAAGAGAAAGAAAATAAATCAAAAACTCCGTCCCTAATGCATACATCAGAAAATCTTAGAAAACGCCCATTCACCAAGCTCCCATCCAACACACAGTCCCCATAATAACAAGACAAAAGAGACAACTGGCGCTGTCCGAACCGCATCGACCGCTGTCCAGTTCTTTATCACAGACACATAATATTTTCTAATCGCGCTACAGGTCCGCTTGATCAGTCGTGCTGTCACATCACCTCGTCGTGGCTGTGGGAACTGTAGCTGCTATTTCTCTTCATCATCCTCCGGCTCAGTTTTCTCGCTAATGCTGCTCAACATTGGCTTCGCGAATGACTGGCCACCCTCTGGGGTGTCAAGGCCAACAGTGAAGTAGTCTGGGGACAGCACAATGACCCCCCTCTCACAGTCATCCTCGTCTGAGCGAACCCGCTGGTACTTTGGCGGGGAACCACGCATCCTCCAGAGAATGTAGCGGGCGATACGGCATGTGTAAAGACCTACGCAGAAAGCCCAGGCTACCCAGAAGAGGGACCATAAGACCAGTGCGATAGCACCGGGACCGGGGGTTCCGGGTACTTGATCGTTCTCGACCTCCACGGGTTTGACCGGGGCATTGTTCGTGCCGGGGCGAATGCGTGAAAGGAGCTCGAGTGGAGTCTTGGAAATGCGGACCAAGACCATAGTGATGCTAGAGGGAGTTACGGGAGCCTTGACGAAGGTAATTGTCAGATGTGACTTCACGGGGATCTCCATGGGTGTCGAGGTAGTGTTGGTTGGGGTGTTTTGGGTATGGATAAGAATTGATCCTTTGGACGCCCTGTGTAGAGCTGCTTGGATAGCTTCCACGCGCTGTTTCCTCTGTATCTCATCTCTGTGAGAGACAGGAGTAGGGGCGAGGGCATGCTTTTTCTCTTCTGCCTCCCTCTCTTCAGATTCGGTCAATTCGAGGTCATCCTGTTCCTTATCTTCCGACTCATCCTTCTCGTTCTTCAACAACTTCATAAGAGGGTTCCCAGCTTCCTCGATAATCCGTGCCCAGTTTGGATAGCCCACCTGAGAGTGGTCCGATCTTTCTGCAGGTACGCTGACGAACCTGATCCGGGGCTCTGGGTTCATCGTATATAGTACATCAAAGGCCGCGTCAACCTCAATACCAGCAGAGTGGCCGTTGTTGTGGCTCATGAGGACATGTAGAACCCTTGCATCTACGCTCTTCCCATCTACGTCTCTAAACCGCGTCCTCGTCACTGCACTCGTAATTACTGGTGCAATGCGCCCTGAGAGCGGATGGGCCTCCATAAGACCCCATGGCGTATCACTATCCTGAGGTGACCCGCAGTGGTTGATATGTCTGAGCGTCTGCTCAAGCGATAGCTTGGCATTCAAGATCTCACTATCTTCAATCTGCGTAAGCACGTTATTGTAGAGGGTGTGGTACTCGAGCTCTGCAGCAGTCCGGAGTGGTAGGAAAGAGGGCGCTGTAATGCGATGAATTGTGGGGTGGCAGAGTGTGATATTGCCGTCGTTCAAAGCCGGGATACCGTCGGAATGGATCCTTAGCTTGAAAATGGACTCGTCGGAGGCCGCGTCTCTGTGTACGTTGGATCGCTTGATGCCAAAATACCCAGCATCTCTTTGAGTTGGATTTAATGAATCTAGGACTGAATTAGCTAACAATGCTTGCAGAAATTACGTTGAAAAAGGTTTGGTTCTTACCTAGATCGGTATTCGCATACATCCAAAATAGGCTCTCATACTTATGCCAATGGCCTGCGCCAACAGTCTCCTGCTGCAACATATGAGGTTCAAATCCTCGAGGGGTGGCCGAAGCTCCCCCAATACTCAACAACAGCATCGCAGCTGCATATCCAAAGAATGTGTCTTTCCCCATAGTGATAATGAATGTGTGTGATAAAATTCAAAAAGGCGTCGTATCAAACGTCACCGGAAAAAGAAATCCAGAGAAAAAGGGTGAGAGAGTGTGGGCGTTTATGGATAATAAAATGAGCGACTGTATAAATAAAATAAACAAATAAAGGAACGGAAAAATAAAACCCCGCTGATGAACCACGCGTAGGGGACGTACTCGACAAACAACTGGATAAGGAAGAGAGAACAAAAAAAACATGGTGGACCGGCGGGTTCAATTCTCTATATACAGTCCTCAACCACCGTGCCACATAAGACCGGAGAAAAGAAATCGTGAACTACTAACTCGCATGTAGGTTGGTGGTTGTCTTGCCGGGTGGAAGAATCACCGGGGGGCGAGAGGAGAATCAAAAATAACTGGGAGGGACCGGACCCTCGAGCACCGGGCGCTGGCTCACGCGGGAGGTTTAGCTCAGGTACCCGTATCTACTAGTAATTTTTCCGCAAAGGAGATTTCTTTTTTACCTGTCCCGGGAGGCTTTGAGGGGAATGCGGAGGTGGATGTGGAGATTCTGGTTGTGGATTCACGCCGTTGCATATACTGCTCTACTACTGACATTGTTACTCCTGCAGGTACGAACAGTTAGTATTCTGCGTGGGATCACAACCAACTTCACCACATGCATCAACCACCATACAAGCCAACCAATTAAGACGCAATACGAAAGACGCAATACACACCAAGCCGAATAAAAACACCACCACAGTCCACAGTCACCATATCCGTACCATCACCCCTTTCCTCAACACCGCCCCTTCCAAATCCAAAAGACTCGGTCAATAAATCAGCTGACTGACCTGGACCATCCCCCCTAAAGTCTAACATTGTCTCAATAACACCGGCGTCTTGGCACTCAAGTACAACCCGTTAGGTATTGAGCACTGACTGACTCGAAACCCTAAATCTCCACCTACGTTGCTGCACTCTACCTAACTACATGTATCTACCGTTGATTTTATTTATGGCGAAAAAGGGAAAGCATAGGAATAAAAATAAAATATGAAAAAAAACTTAAAACTCTAAACTGGACTTCACTGGACCCTTAAATTCCGAATTGCATCTTCACGCGCGCGACATACACAACCGCAACTCCTTTTTCTCCCCTTTACTCTATGCAGTACCTTCATCTGGAGATCAAAGCTTGTGGTCTATTTATCGAGCTCAATCTGCACTGGGGTTCTAGAATAGCCTTGGTAATCAGGTACCAGTCGAACCGAGTGATCGACAGTGCAATCACACATAGCATCCAAAGGCTTGACTCTTACTTTTCCATTCCGAACTACCCGTGATTCCTTCCCTGAACCCTTCCTTCTTTCCCTTCAGGCGAGGACCCGAGGGCCGAGTACGATCTTACGATTGGGTACTGATTGATAAACTCAATTCCCCCCAAGAAAAGAAACCTCCCGACAAGTGGGGGGAGGGCAGGTAGATGGTGATTAGAGTAGAGGTAGTGCCGAGTATCCGTGCGTAAATGATTCTATTTCGGGTTTTTTTGACATCGGATTTGAAAGCTGGGCCCGGACCAATTCTGAAGTGGACTGGGCTGGGGCGTGAGATGCAGGTACCCGATTCACTGGCTTGGGGGGGGGGGGGGGGGCTTTATTAGACATTAAACATTAAACGTCTTGGGAAAGCCACGATGTGTTCCTGAAATCTAATCAATCTATGGACACACGGATCTGGATCTGGATCTGGTGGAACTGGGATTTGATGTTTGGGGAGTTCTAGCCTGGCATAACCTTCAAGGAGACATCTACTCTATGGGACCACAGCTCTGGTACACGGTGGTAATTAGGGCTGTAATTCTGGAAACTCTTCTCTACAGGCTATTAGCCTTCAGAGGCAGGAGTTTGTGTCATCTGTTTATCTGTTCAATCATTTACTCGTGATCTAATGAATCATATTAGCCATTTATCTACTTATCTACTGGGTAAGTAAGTAGCCACATGCATTTATCTATCTATCGAAACACTTTTCATTCGATGCAGACAATAACAACTTCGGCCTCTTTGCCTTCAAGTCTCACACCAATACTCTCCCTTCCAAACGCCCTCATACCCCATCTTAACAATCCCTCTGTCCATCCCTCCCCATCAAACACTTCCGGGGCCGCCCCGGCCACGGCCGGGAACAACGCCTTATACAGCTCCTCAACCTCCTCGAGCTCTTCCTCCCCCTCATCGTCGCCCTTGACATCCTCAGGATTCCCGCATTCCCCAGCCTCCAAAAGGCGCCCAAACCACTTTTTCCAAGCCTCGGGCAGCTGATCGCGCTGAAGATAGCGCCAGCAGAGGTACAAGGTGAACACCAGATCCTCATGCCCCGCCATCTGCAGCTCCAGCGGCAAAACACTCCCGAAACATGGCTCCACGGCCGCGGAATACACAGGGTCCTCGAGTATCGACTCTAGCGTGACGACGACCTCTCTTTTCGTCTCTAGAATATTGCGGATCACGCCCTCAGACCCTGCGACCGCCGCAGTCATGATTGACACCTGCGTGTCGCGGTACACCTTTGCAGAGCGCCGCCTGCTGTTTGATAACGGCGGGAGAGTGCTTTCCGCGGGGAAGCCGTCGAGCTTGCGCCGGATCGCGAGAAGCAGCTGGCGGTGCGTCGCGATGGTGTTGCGGAGAGTGATTGTCTCTGCGGCGGGGTTGGCCTCGAGGAGAGGGAGCTCTTCGGGGGTGGCGGTCAGGAGGTGGAAGAGATTGATCAGCGAGGCGGGGTAGAGCGAGTTGGGGTTTCGTGGGGAGAGGTGGTGGATGCCGTCTGGGAATGGGGAGGCGGGCTGGAGCGCACGGATCGATTCTTGGGCGGGCGAGAGGACGGGGAGGAAGCGGAGGACGACGGTATCAAAGGGATTACCGGGAAGGGTGAAGCCATATCCCATCAACACTATCAAAGTGCTGTTAGTATGTATATGGAGGTGAAGGAGGGAGTATACAAACGTTCTTCGTTGCTCTTGGGCCCGTAGTTATTGCACACCTCTCCACCAGCGGGAATCTCGTCGCCGCTGACAACATTAAGAGCATTATCACCAGGTGCCCAGGTAATCTTTGTGAGAGGTTGATGGTTCACAGAATCAATGAGTGGGAACAGCGCGGGCAGACAATCCGGATCGTCAATCTCTGTCATTGAAGACTCCGTCGTCCAATTCAGCAACTTCCCCGGAAATGATCTCGAGGAGAACGCCGTAGCCGCCCAAAGAAACAGCTCCCTAAAGTCATTGACGCCAATTAGCCAACCCCCCCTCATATAGCCCACAATCCAGAGTCCCACTACTAACCAAGTATACTCCCTCGCCCCCCTAGACCCCACACTCCTCTGCCTTCTCAATGCCTCCGATGCCGCCTCCCACTCCTCCATCCATACCTTCTTCCGTGTCTTGACCTCCTCCGCATTCAGATTGCACCCCACCAGCCACTTCATGTCCTCGTCATCGAAATACAGCGGCGTGTCAAACTCGCGCGGCAGGATGCGCAGGTAGGGCGCCCAGAAGCTCGCGTCGCCCTTGAGCCACTCGCCGACCACGAATGTGCACAGCGCCGCGTGCGGGGACACGGCCTCAATGAACTCGGGTGGGTAGTGGGCCTTGACCTTCTGGTAGTCGATTGCGAGGGTGTGCGGGCATGTCAGCAGCTTTGAGGAGGGCGGGAGTGCGGCGGTTGTAAGTATCTGGCTGCCGACTCTGGATTCTGGGGGGTGCGTGTTAGCTGGTGGAGGGAGTGGTGACCCTAATTGCAAATACCTACCGGGTGAGGTGAAGACGAGGGATTCTTGGATGAAGCCTCCGTTGGCGATGATCCATTCGCCGAATTTCTGGAAGGCCGGGTCGGTAGAGAACTCGCGGGCTATGGACATCTTGCTGGTATCTTTGGCCAACTGGGCTGAGGGTTTGTTGAAGAGAGGGGGCGATAAGAAATGCTTGTTGCAACTCCTCCCTCACAACCTCTGCAATTAACCGTCTTCTCTTCTCTCCCGTTCACAGATTCTGCTGGCATCTACAACTACATCTCCATGTCCCTGAAACTTCTCGGAAGACGCTCTATATACAAATCCTGTCCCCATCCCAGTGTCCAGCTCGTGCAGCACCGTCTCTCGAGTTCCAGCTCCAGCTCCAGCTCCAACGCCACCCAGAGCTCTCCTCCGGCACCCCAAAATGAAGAGACAGAATCCGAGTCCGCCCTCACCCGCCGCTTCACCGCCATGGCCGAAGACGCCCTCGCCGCCTCTCCGCGGCGTGCCTCACAGATCGCCTCCGAAAACCCCTTCTCCGAAGACCTAAAGCGCGAGCTCGAAGCCCGCATCGCAGGAGCCGACTTTAAATCCGCAAACGCTTCCGCAATCGCCTCCGCAAACCTGCCCTCCTACGCCTCCAAGCACACCCGTGACATCGCCTCCGCCCAGCACTGGACGGGGACCGAGTCCACGTCCGACAGCGTCCTCCGCATGCTCGTCGACGCGCACAAGCCGCTCAAGAAAGACCTCCGGGGCAGCGCAAAGCCGGCAAACATCGACCTCCGCCCGACAAGAAAGTACCAGCCGCGGAGCAGCGGCGACCGCATCGCCCGCGCGAGGGAGAAGACGACCGAGTACTCGCTGGTCAGGGACGCGGCGACGGAGGACGAGAAGGCCGAGATCCGGAGCATGTTCCGGGACCGGTTCCTGCCCGAGTCGCGGGCGGTCGCGTCCGTCAATGCGCTCAAGTCGCTGGCCGACGAGAAGATTGAGGAGGCCCGGCAGCGCGGCGCGTTTAAGCACAACTCGATGCGCGGGAAGCCGCTGGTGCGGGACCATACGGCGGAGAGCCCGTTTCTGGATACGACGGAGTATCTGCTGAACCGGATCATCAAGGACCAGGACATTGTGCCGCCGTGGATCGAGAAACAGCAGGATTTGGCGGTGGCGGTGAGGACGTTTAGGGAGCGCTTGAGGGTCGAGTGGAAGCGGCATGTGAGTAGGACTATTGCGGCCGAGGTGACGGGACTGGAGGAGCAGTGCAGGAGGGCGGAGAGATATGCGGAGGCCGAGGAGCGGTTGAGAAGGATTGAAGAGAGGGCGGCCAGGATCGAGGAAGGCAAGGAGGTTATCGAGGAAGAAGAGATCCCCGCTACAGGCGGGTCAATAACGCCGTTTAGAGACCCGGTGTGGGAAAAGACCGAGGCGTCATACCACAACCTATCGATCGAGAACCTCAACTCCATCACCCGCACCTACAACCTCATGGCCCCCGAGCTGGCAAAGAAGACATACTTCTCCCTAGAGCGGGAGCTTAAAAATTGCTTCCGAGAGTGCGCGCCGCAGATCGCAGGAGAAATCAGGGCGCGGGCTACCAGGTCAAACGCAAGCACCTCGTTCTTGATAGAGCGTAAGGGCGAGAGCGGGATCTTGGAGAGCTTGGCAGGTGAGAGCGCGGAGGTGTATGATAGCAAGAAACCAAACTATGGGTTTAAGGAGTTTTGGAGGGATGTGTTTGGGCGGCGGAAGGAGGTGGCTTGAGTTGAGGGAGGGCTGCGGTGTAGGGGGTGTATGTATCATAGTGTTTGTTTATAGGTGTCTTGGGGTGAGTTAGAGATACCTACATGTGGATAGACGATAGGAATAACTCATCTCAGATAACAGGCGGGATGGTGGTGGTGGCCGAGTGATATTTTGTGATGCGTGAGCTATAACCCTTCATTTCGAACTCTATTAATAACTTGAATGCATACCGTAAACGAAATACTACCCAAGGAGGTCTTCCTATGATCATAGGCGGCCACTTTACAAAAGATGCAAGTAGCCACGCCATATATAAATAATGGACCGCCCCCTTTCTTCAAGCTGGAGGGGGAAAACGTTGGCCCGAAAAGCCGTATACTAACACTTCAATGAGGGAGATGGGTTCCCGCAAAGATCAGGTAAAGACTCGAAGTAGAAACACCAATCTACATATGAAAAATCCATCATACAATGTCTTCCAGCGTGTCATCAAGCTGTAGCTACATGTATCCTGATCTGAGGAAGTACAGAACGCCCGGCACACATTTTCTTTTTTGGAATTTCGTGTTATTGACAGGCCCTGGTACTGCGTATGCACGTGTTTCTGTTCCTACAAATATGAGCACTCTTCCTTGGCCGCCCAGCGGCAAGATTCACAGAAGCAGAACCCTCTAGTGACCGAAAAAATGCCTTCATGTATTATCACTCGATGCTACGGGGTTAGGGTTTGCAATACCGCCCGCCTATCCAGGAAATGTGATTGGGTTTAAAATGAAACTTATACAATAAAAACCGGCTGTGTTATTTATACTCTAGTTTTCATGTTCTGGAAGTATACTAGCTCATACTCAGCAGATACTTAGACTACATACTATAGACCATATGTGTACGATAGTTGTTTCTCTAAGAGTACTGTCGGTGAAATCTCCCACTAGCTGGCCGCAGGCAGTCATGTTCGAGTTGGCGACTGCGGTCCTGTGTTGGTTCTCCTAGTAAGATTCTACAGGCAGTGAGCCGGTTTATTCCTTTGCTCTTAACTTGGCTCTTTCTTCCCACCCGGGCCTGAGCCTGGCCTATATATCATTTTGCCGTAAACAGAAGCCCCCGCCAAGCCCACGTTCCATCTAGGGTTGCACTGTTGAAGGCGTCTCTTCTGTCTTTAGCACCGAAAATTCGGAACCAGCTGTTCTTATAATACATGTTCCCCCCTCGTCTCTTGGCCTTGTATGTACGGTCAAATCAATGGATGGCTCTTCTGCGTCCAGTAACCTCGGCGCCAGTTGGTCATATCTAGTTAGCATCGATCGATCGGTTAGATATTAGTAGAAGTAGCTTTGTGAAGGCCAGGGCGTGCCTAAGACCCATCGTTGGGAATAAGGTGGCACGGATGGTAGAGTATCTCCTAAAACCTCCTCTTGCCATTCATCCTATCCCCTTCGACTCCAATGATTGAAGATGATCGTTACTAGCAGTGTGCTCCACTCGAGACTGTGGTCTTGGGTAGAAGAACCATTCGGCCTGGACTCTACTCATTGCGAATTCCGCATGTTCGGCAAGCCTATGCACAAGAACCCTGCTCGTAATAACCCTCCGATAAACAGCATAGGCGTAATTACCGGTGATATGGGTCAACCAGGGATGAGCCCATATTTTATGGAAGAATCGAGAATCGTATATAGGCCCTCTCAAGCCGGCTATTCATATGCCAACCCTCTGAACCCACTGACTTAGCCACTTCTATATTTCGTCCTAGATAAGGGAAGTCAGTCATCGTGTGGCGATATGTAATGGGGAACGAAAAATGTAATGATGGTTGTGGTTGCGGTTGTTGTGGCGGAAGGAGTAGCCTATATGTATGCATGCCAAGATGGCCGAGTGGTCTAAGGCGCAACGCCTAAGTAACCCATGCCAAGACGGAAAGGCGTCCAGGCGAGTGACAATGTATGATTTACCTACAAACCAGATGACATGTTCTCTTTCGAACCTTCATGAGCGCATGTATACAGTTCCAACTTGTATTATTCCATCACTAACGCGAATACAGTAATCAAGCTAAATTACAGAACCTTATCACTTATCCTTGGCGTTCAAATATCACCACCAGCCGATAACACACATGAGCGAGTTAACACTCGCCTTCCAGACGGACACCGAGAGGTTTTGCCTTGCCTTCGATTGCAGAAGGTTCAAGATTCAATCCAGGGGTGAGAGCAGCAGATATGGCTCGACCATCAATGCTACTTTTTGTTCTTTTTTTTTTTCTTTTTCTTTTTTTTTTTAATTACGGATGGGCTAGGGTTTATTTTTTCTTTCTCTTCCTCCCCCTCCTTCCAGTCTCAATATGTTTTTAAATGATGAGGTATAAGATATGTTCATCAGGCACACCGAAGTGTTTTATACCTTTACTAGGGGTTCCTCCGGTCGTTGCCCCTCGGGTCTAGAATGTATGGAATTTGATGTTTCGAATTTGATTCCTTCTAGCGCCTGTCATTGACCTCACACGGCCCGAGTACAGATACCAGGGCCTTTACGAAAACATATCTCATCACCTCCCGAGCCTATCTCACCTTGTGCTTTGATGAGTCAAGAGATTTGTATCTGTTGTATCCCATTTAAAGGTGGTCGTGGGGTTAGGTGAAGAGAACAATGTCTCTCTCAATCTCCATCGAGGCCAGTATGTTTGAATCCAGTGGTCATCATAGGGGAGCTCGACTGAACCTGACAACACGCTACACGACGCCACAACCCGATGGGAGACGCCTCCAAATGTTAACACGGCATGACATATACATGGCCTGACCATGCGTGATTGGGGCGTAGGTGGTCTCTACTCGGTCATACTAGGCGTATTTACGACAGACGGGTAGCATGCATATCCTACAGGGTAGCGGAGCTCGAAAGACGTATATCAATATCACGCCACGGCCGGAGAATAACTCATACAACCACCAACGTACTAAAGCCCGGCGTTCAGTCGCACAATCCGACAAGCAGTTATCCCCAAGAATTATATGAGCGAATTTATCTGTCTTAGACTCATGTTCAGCTGTCTTCTCAGTACTGACTCATTATACAGAGTGTTAAGTTCGGGTGTTTTTGTCGAATTCCGCCAATATGCATGTACATTGTAATTAGTTGGGTCCAGCAGGCCAGAGTGATAGATCACAGCAGCGACAAGGTGGAACCCATAAAGCACATGCATTATGTACTTGTATAGGGCTGAAAAATAAACAATCACATATAACCATACCCTGCAATTTATTCTCCCGGAAATAGCGTCCAACTCAGCTGGAAAGAGCGATATTATCTGGCATTATAGGGTTAATTGACGGACTATATATTCCAAATGGGCATATTTGGGCTGAGTGGCTTGCTGAAAATCCTGTCTACATCCACTAAAGGAGATCAGCCCCTCCGACAAAATTTGACGGTATCATGACCTCTCCACCCCTTACACAAGACCGAGGTCCACATATAGCAGTATCACCAAAGGACACTCTCAAAATACCTCCATCATCTTCGGTTTCCCCGGACCCGGGTATATTAGGCCGGCCCCCAACCGTTCGTCTGGGGTCACAGATGGTCACTCGTCGATCACACAAGAACGCGCGTGCCTATTATGCAAAAGATGTAACCCCGCATTCTTTGTGTGCTGGGCGGGCTGCATTCCTAATAAAGATACGTGTGCGTGGTGTATGACTGTGGACCCAGATCTAGACCACACTCAGCACTAAGCTAGCATTTCGATCGACAGTACATGTACAGCCTGAGGTCGAAGTAACAGCATGTATTAACAGTGTGCTTCTACAATTGGCCCCGAGATATAGTAGGGTAGTATTGATTAGTAGGCACAATATATTTCGCCTCCGACACCCAGTGCGACCTGAGGTTCGCGAACTCCGGGTCTCGTATATATGGAGTAGTTTTTGATTAAACCAGCGCCGACCCCCACTCTACCGAGTGATTAGTGATGACCAGCACACCCCCCCCCCCCCCAAACCCTCTCTCACCACCAGCTCCGCATCTCAACAGCCCCCGCCCCCACCCCTAACCCAGCGCTCATCACCAGCCCGTCACGCACCTTCTCAATTGTCACGCCTTGAAGGATCCACAATACATACCACCTCCAGCACCGCCATCCCTCCTCCCTCCATCTAACCAACATAGCCGCCTAGCTACCCAGCTAGCTAGCCTGCCATGTAAAGTAGCTCCCAATATAAACCCCTAAACCCCACAATACAATATAAAACCAACAGTGCCCAACCCGACCCCAGTAGATTCAATCTATTCATTCGTGACTATATATGAAAACGCACATCATCATCATCTGTATGCGCGGTACCTGCCAAGGCCCATTCTGCTGCACCACCCCACCAGCATCAAAAAATAGAGTTCTGACCCTCACGCACCGAGGAGGCTGAGAAGAGTCAGTCAGGTACACAGTTAGTTAGAGGCTGAGATGGTCAGATAGGTACATATATCAGAACCTCCAACTGCACTGCGCCTCCGGCTGCACACTCGAGGAACAGCCAGACAGCCAGACGGTGTGGAGCTGCACTGGTGAGTGAGCCCGAGTGAGCGCGCGTGTAAGGCGTCTCGGTAGAAAGGCCGGACCGGCGAACATGAACGTTATTAATCGCAGCTAAGCATATTACTGGCTATTATGGTAAACAAGACACGAGAGAGACAGACAGACCGTCGGAATTGGTGGTGAAGCATTCGGTAAAAGAAGCTAGGGGGGGAAACGGTGATATAATATTGTATTACCTACATGTAGCTTTGAACGATCGATCGTGCCTATATCTCCTGTCTGTACTAGTATGTCGGTTGCACCGATATGTGATATGTCGATATAGATATGGATATGGATATGGCGGTAAGCTCGGTCAATTAAGCCTTAGGGGAAATGACCATTCCCACCAATAAAATAAACGTGTATCACCGCATGCCCGCAAGTGGACGGAATAACATGCAACGCGGAGGGAGAGTCAATCATCCTAAGCGAAACACACACACCTTTCCCCCGCGATCGTGCAGGTGCACACAAACAACCCCCCCAAACCCCCATCCCAATCAAATTCCACGATGCAATAAAACAATAAAAATAAAATAAAAAATACTAGGCGAAAGTTGGTATTCCGCTCTGTCCCGACTTCCCATACCGGAAAGCAGTGCGATCCGGCGCCGCCACCTTGTGGGGAGAACTCTCTGCAGAATTGCTTCCCTGAAGGATATTTCTCGCCCTTAGCGCCAATCAGCACCATGGATTACTCGCATGGGTGAGTTGACGACCACAGGATTCGAACCGGACACCGCTTTCCGTTGGAATGGAAAGGGAAATCGAGACTGAGATGTGGAAATCTTCTTTCAAAACGGCCATTACAGCCAAAAGACAACACCGCAAAATAAGTTATCAACCGATCCTCCAAAAGTAAACCTATCCCTACTGCGACCACAATGCTGGGTGAGGTAAGACAATGCACGTCAACTTCAACGACATCTCTGTCGTCTAAACAAGAATTGCAAATAGGAAATCTATTAAAAACTTGACTACTTCTATTTTTGCATATACATATGCGCCCCAGGAAATGAATAAAAAAACGTTCACAGCAAATTACTAACAAGCATCAATTTCAAGGAAGAAGTACTTTTTAATCAGATAACCAATACAAATCCGTAAATGCAACATCAATCTCAATCCCCAACATCCAATTCAAACCACAATGAAACTAAGTTTTAAAGACAAAAAGAACTGCTTCCGTATAGAAGTATGTTATTAAAATGTGGTAATAAGTAAAGAAAGCTAGATACGCCGGTTGTCCCCCACCTTCCCCAATTTAATATCCCCCGGCCGCGGTTGGATATTCCTGTCCTCTAAAAACATACCCCACAAAGGAAAAGACTTGGATATGTCTGCCAATGGACAAAATAGATAGAGATAATAACAAGCAAGGCGCAAAAACACAGCAAGACTCCAAACCCAACCACCCACCCTTTCCAATGACACCTTCCCGCACCCCAACAAATGAAATCCGGACAACAAATAGACAAAAAACACCAATACAAATGAAATAAATAGTTTAGAGACTTGTCACTTTTTGTTTTGTTCCTTTTGCCAACCCTCCCCTCCCTTGTGATCACCGTGCAATTCCAATAAGCGGCACTTGTGATGTTGCCAAACTCCAATCAGCCACCTGTTCTTCCGCATCCATCTCCCATAAAGTGTCAGCCCATTCGGAACTGATATCAAAATCTTCAAAAAGCCCAAGTCCTTTTGAATTCTCCTCTGACTGATGTTTCAACCCTGCTGCCTCCATCTCCTCCAGTGCCTCGAGCATCATACAATCTGAGCTTGCTGTCCTCCTCCGATCCATTCTCCTCGGTGGAGTCGAAAGTATCTGACCATATGAAGAAACCGATGATGCTGAAGACAACATCAGTTCCGGGGTGGATGTGAGCGAGCTTGTCATGCTTGGTTTTCTGTGCATTGGAGTGATTGGTAGCGACATCCTTGGATAGGTCTCCTCCTCCTCGACATCACAGTCGCTATCACTATCATCCTCGTCTGAGGAGTAATTTCCGGTTGGGCTGTTGTAGAGCCAGGATGTCTTTACCTTCAAAGAGCTGATACCTGGGTAATAGATCGACTCGGCATCATCGATGATCTTGACTTGATCGCCGGTGAGTCCCCCAAATCCGATAGAGTCGTTGCGGGCTTGCATCGCGTTTTGTCCGCCGCGGCAGAAAAACGTTGCAATGGAAGATTTCCGCGAATTAGGAACCGAAGGCCTTTTCGTGTAGACAAACGCCGGCGAGTCCTCGATATCAGATGACGCATCGTCTTCATCATATAGAAACGATGATGTTGTTGAACGGGGTGACGGGGGTTGAGCAGTTAGATGTGATAACTCCAATATCTCTTTATATTCAGGTACTGCTATGGTGATGTTATCCTTTGGTGCTAAGGGTGAGAAGATGGGAGAGCTTGGAATACTCTCGAAGATGTTTTGCGGTATCGGGAGGTATGTTTTAGGGAATTTGGTGACTGTGGTGTCTACTTCTGTGGTTTTTGGCATTGGTGATACTCCTCGGGATGCATCAAACCAAGGGCTTGCCAAATATATGGGAGTGACTTCTTCCAAGTGTGGGATTTCTCGGTGAGTGGGCTCTTCGTTCTGATAACTGTAACTTCTGTAGATTTCCTCTTTCTCTTGAAATTCATCGTCACAATCCTCTTCAAGGGTTTGAGAAAGCAATTGTACGCCAGCTTCTGGAGATAGTGAAAAGTCGTACTCTTCCGGGGCGAGCATTGAAGTGTCCAGTACGATTGCTGGTTCCAGGGAAGGAACAGGCTCATTAGCCTTTCTGATGGAAAATGGAGGCGATACCTTCTTCGGGGCCTGAAGATTGAGTGGTGGCGGTGGTGGTCGGCGACTGACGCTCTTGTTGCGCTTGGGAGCTGATTTGAAAAGCCGGAATCGAGAATGTGCTGTCGCACGAGTGTTTGGTGTAAGAGGTATAGGTGTTATAGGTGTTCGAGCGACTGGAACTACAGGGCTTGGTGGGGTATCGTCCCTCTTCTTGCTACTATGGAATTGGAATGGATGGAATCCTTTGAATATGGAAGTTTTTGTGTTGATTGAAAGGGGACCCTGTTCTTTGATTCTCATCTTCTCAATCTTTTCGATCCTCCCAACAACTTCGACTTCTTCGTCGCTGTACTCCGAAAACTCGTCGTCCTCCTCAATCAAAGTGGCAGCAGGTGAAGGAATAAGTTCATCTTCAAATGCTAGAGGTGAATTTTGGTAGTTTTGATTCTTCAATGAAGCAATGGAGGTCATTGAAGATCGCTTTGAAGCCCATGGTGACGATGACATGATTGAAATATTTTTGCTTGATGGAGAAACCTCACCATCCTCCACCTTATACGCTTTCCTATCAAGACTGGCTTTTGGCGAACAGGGTCTTGAGACGACCGCGCTAGGTGTTACTGGACGAGGGTTGAACGAAAAATCCGGCTTGAAGACCATGTTGAGCGATTGTTACACTAATCGAAACAGCATATCAATACGATGGAACTAGTGTCGAAGTACTGCTGGGCAGCAGTGGATATATGTAGTTTCTAATAACTGTGAGTAAGGCTGGGTTTGTTTTATGGGGCTGAAAAGAACATACTGCAAGTTCAGGTCGAATAAATCCGGGGGGTGTGAGGAGGTATTTGTTTTTTGTTGTTTCCTAATAAAGACCCGGACGAAATGATAGTACTAGTACAAACAATAATATGTACTTTTCAAGACGGGGATGGCGGGTACAGCGTGGTAATATGGTAAAAAGAATAACGGGGTTATTATTTTCTTACTTTAATGAAAGCTGTGGAGGTGGAGCAAGCCGAGGGTTACATATACCTATATAAATCTCCGGCATTTCTCTATGCAAAACCGGTATGCGTTAGGGGCCCTTCTGGAATTTCCAGGTAAGGTGACGGTGTTGAACCGTGCCGCAAGCTGAAAACAGACTGGTATAGTCGTGGCTGGCTCGTTTCCATGGAATACTCGCCCGTAACTGGCCTTGGGCGTTTGGACTTCACCCTTGTCCGGTACACAGACACACAGGCACACAGGCACACAGGCACACAGGCTTTATTGTCCTGGCATTTTACAGGGGCTTGTGGGTCAGCCCGGCGATCTGTCAAAGCCCAAAGCTCTCATACATACATCCTTGTGGGGGTTCCTGTTACTGTTGGTGGTGGTTGTGGTTGTAGCGATGGTGGTACTACATGTGGTGATGGTGGCCGCCCATTGCCGCTAGTTACTGCTGTCGTTATCGTTGTCAGTGCCAACACAGGGACTCTCTGAACTGTATGTCAGCCTGAATGGCTGGATGGAGACTCATATCATTGATAGTCATCGTAAATGATCTCTCGATTATTCACATGCATGCCTACTCTGTGTGCAAGGAACAAATGAGAGTGAAAGAAAGCTATGGCGTTTCCCTTTGATTATGAGCCAGTTGCAAGATATGTTGATAAATGAGAGACACACTGTGCGGGTGGGCGGGTATCCGCATTGGACAGATTGTGCCCCGGTTTACCGTGTTTGTGCTATATCAAATATTGCTTTTTCTCACTTCTCTCCTCTGTAATACCGCGGGTGCCCTCCCAAGTCTCAGCAATATTGTTGGTTTCCTCTCCGCTGATCATGAAATTTTCGTTCGTTTTTTTTTTTTTTAGTTTTCGTTCACCAAATTACGAACGACATCATCGAGAACGTGGAATTGAGCAATTGATATTATTGCCCTTCCGTCATTTACAAAGTCCAGACTCGTTCTCCTTTTTTCTTCGCAGTTCATAGCATCATCGCGGTTCCACGAAACCCAGTCCCGAAATAATTCCCTGGAGGTTCGCCCTAGCCAAGTGTAACACTTATTAAGAAATCTATAAACGCTTTCGTTACTTGTTGAAAGTAACGCACCCCACAGTCTACTACCCTCTTCAGAGTTTAGAAAACCCAAGGCTTTTCAGCGACAGACTCGTACCCCCCCCGCTAACCTGGAGAAAAAGGCTGCCAACCCCGGTATCAACAAGGCACGGATTGCATTCACACCCTCAGGGGTCGTGCGGCTCGGCGAAAGGGCACAAAAGCGACACCAGTTGCACGAACTCCGGAATGCCTACCCTACGGTGAGCGTTTTTTTTGGTTTTTGTTTCCTTTTCTTTTCTATAGCCAAAGGCTAGAGCAAGCTTAACTTTTTTTTTATTGAGGAAACTCCGAGGATCGGGCGGCCTTCGGTGTATTAATAGCATTGCGGACATACTTGTGATACCCGCAGGCAGATGGAGAAAGAAATATCCCGAGAAACGAACCATCCAATCATCTGTTATGATAATACCCCATTCACAGTTAAACGCTGCTGTACTTAATACACATTGTAAATACATATACATACACGAGTAGTTGAGAGATGCGTAGAAGGGTGCACTGGCTGGATGCGAGATGTTTCTCGGCTTCTAACCCACCTACCCTACCCACACAAATCTCACAGATTACCGATATCAAAGCGCCCTTATTACCCCCATGCAAGCCAAAGCTTCGAAAGCTTAGGTGGTAGAGTAGATTCCATTGAAAAATCACACCTGGTGGTCTACTCTATTATTAACATTTATCCTTGTTGTGGTAACACCTTACTGCACTGTTTATCATGTGCCGCTGCGCTGCTGCATTCCCGTCACATCAAAAGGGGACCTGCCAAGATGGTATGCGGTTAGACTGAGCCTCACGCCGTGACATCATTCTCGTGATGCTACCGACAGTAGAGGGTAGAACATAAACATCTGGTTTTCGATTATTACCCAAAGTCTGGATACTTGAGTACATCAGTCCCTCCCTCGTGCATATATGTAACTGGCGTTGATAAACGTGGTGTCTGTGATAGGTGCCCTCGTTGCTGAGGAACTACACAACAACAACCAACTCACACTCGCGAACTATCTGCATCTTGATTCCGAAGACCTCGGTGGCTACATGTAGTTTTGGTCTGTAGGAAAGACATAAATTGTTATATCCGATGGAAATGCCGTGACACGTCCGTTAGGGGGTGATGTTCCAGTTTTAACTGGCTTATTGATGACAGCAAGAGTCCATGCCCGGAGATGAAGAAAAATGAGCGTGATATATTTATGCATTGCAAACTCATTGTTTGTAAGCTTATGACGACAGTGGCACTGCATATTTGGAATTTCTGGAAGCTTTGTGAACAGTATTCCCCGATCTTGGGCCCCGAGAGCTGGGTAGTCATGACTACTCACTCGAAAACGTCGTGCAGATATATGCCGAGATGAATCAATACCCAAGCAAAGTACTATAGCTGTAGATAGCATCAGCGGTGTTGATAAACACATATTTAGCTCTTACGTCCTTGTGTCCTCTTTAGTTAATATCCGTGACAGAGTGTAATAGAGCAAGATAATATAGGGGCTGGATCATGACATGGCATGGCATGACATACCGAAATCCAAATACTTGAGACCAAACCGAATCTGTGATTGAAACATGGTCTTATTAGACAGTTATCGTTACCAAATCACCCACCCCTCGGAGGTCCGTCCAGACGGGGGTGCCCGAGAACATTACAGCATATGACATGACCTCACTTTCGTGATGTGGTTCTCTGAACCTCCCCATGATGTGTTTGTGTTGTGAAGTACTTCTTAAGTTCCAGAAAGAATTCCCATATTTTGTTTTTGCGGGGAAATATTGAGATCGAGTAGTTTGCTGCGCATGCACCCCACGCAGGTACCGGGGATGTTCACGTTATGGGTATCCAGCTTGCCTTTGATAAGACAGAAGAGCCTGATAGGTTTTGCAATCCCGAGCTCCTGTGTGATAACCCACGATTCACCTCTTGATGTATCCAGGATCTTGGTGGTTGGTTCCGCACGGTACAGCACTCAGCTGCCAATTGATACGGAATGGATGAAGCTGACCCATGCGCGTGGGGAACTGGCAGGCATGACAGTTATGTTTCAACTTTTCGGTTAGTGATCGATAAGCTGCTATGCATTTGAACGTTGACAGACTTATACTCTATAGAGAGCGGAGGAGAAAAGCCAATGGAGAAGTTGCTTCCCGAATCACGAACACCCGGGAGGTCCAATAGAAACTCGTTTGTTATTCCATCACAACAACAGTGTATGTACAATGTAATACCTATTCCACATACGGGTACATGTAACATGTACATGTATGTACCTACATGCGCATTGCCATTGTAGTTATCAGTTTGATGGGTAGAAAAATTAGCGCGGGACAAACTTTAATCGGATATGTTTACCATTTGGGAATTCGCAACCTTTCTGTACCACTGCAGCCGTGGTCCCATCATCGTTCCTCACTCGGCCAAAGCTTCTGGGCAAGCAGCTGTTAAAATCGCTTGATTGACATGGCCACCTTCCGACCTACCTGATCGAAGACAGAAAACTGGCATCTAACTATAACAGTACATGTAGTCCTGGGAACAGGGATCGATGGACTTTCTTAGTGAAATCTCCCCACGATGGGATTAAGATTAAGGGAGGGTCTAGCCTCGCTTGTTACCCTCCCCTATGAGTTCTACCCCTTGATCTCGCACTCTACCTGCGTATGATCTTTAGACTATCTACATGGACTTCGGTGATTTCTTCCTTTTATTTTCCGACGTATGCACCCCACCAAATCGAAATATACGCGGAAAATCACGATCTGATAAGATCTGACCATCGGTGCGAAGCTCCACAGCTTCCATCCTCGTTACTCGGAAATTGGCCGAGTTATTATCAGTTCGGACTTCCGACTGCATTGCCTACATCTAGATGTATGTATGTACCTGCTCAAGTCGGCACATGTATATATACTATTCTGTTGGACGGAGCTTTGACTACAAGATCTTATGATCTGCCGGGATAATAATCGTACCGAACCACCATGAAGAAGGTCCAGAGATTCACATGCAAGCAAGTTATACCAGAGCGCAATGACGCAGATGGAAAATTCCCCATGAAGACTCATCAACTAGGCGTTTTTTTCCAACCTGATATTTACCTCGGTATTAGGACTTCACTCTTGGTGAAACTCGCAGAGCAGGCCGATGTTGGTAGCTTCATAGCTATCGTGACAGAGATTCCCCACTAGAAAGGTCGGAGGGAATGTTAAGTTCGGATTCCCTGACGATGAAGCTGGATATACTCGGCCCGTTGGTGATTTTCATCCTATATCTTCAGGAAGATTATGGAGACGAGGTTAGTTTGAGTGAAGGGCCATGGTTTTCCGGGGTTACCCTGGTTAGTATCCCAAGTTGGCGGCGGTTTTACTCGCATCGAATCTCCCATTAATGTCATTCTTACGACGCTCAAGTTCAGTAAAACGGTGTAAATACTGGGGGGAACGTCTTATTATATGTATCTTACGATATATCTCATAGGCCCGATTTACCGGTTCGAGCGGAAAATGCGGCCTGTTTTTACGGAACTTAAAGGCTCTGATTACATGCAGCTTCCTCGTATTTATGATAAAGGAATGGAAACGGCTGAAGGAATTGAGTGGTATTTAAGATAGGTCTCGAGTAGGTGCCTATACTAAAAAGTTTGCGTTGGATGGTTCCATGAGAGTAGTCGGTCCACCACTCCCTAAAAGTACGACGCAATCCGATCTTCGAAAGCTCTTCTCATCAATACAGATCTGAATCATCACAAATAAAAATCACGCAATCAAAAACAACCAATGGTTATTTTTGTCTGTCTAGAATGCATATGCATTGTTTTTCCTAACATTACACAAAAAACCCAAGAATCGGACGTGGGAAGGGCCCGTGATTCCCATCACCTCCTAGGCCGGCTTTCTAAGATGAGATCCAGGCAATCCCCACCTCATGGAATGTTTGTCTTTGAATTTCCCAATTAACTTCTAAAAGACTTGACTTCACCATTGCATTGACCGGTACAAACCTAACCCTCTAAGGAATGTGTTTTACTTTACTCTAAATTGAGGGAGGAGCGCATATTCTGTATCTCGTAGTTCGAGCGAGATTGTGATTATGCATTTTGGGACTGCAACAGGGTCGATTCGATTTATTAAAAATATTAGCATGTTTTTCTTGGCATTAATTACTTCTTCATCGGAGTATATAAAGCGTATTATTACTGCGGGTGCCGTGTCTCAATCTCTGTAGATGTTTCAGCCTCCATTAGAAGTTTTCTTTCTTTTTCTTTAAAGGAGAGTAGCTCCGCTTACTGAACAGAGAGCGAAGTATCCAAACTCTTGAATTCAATCACTTAAGCTTGTATGATGGGTCCTCATAAATATTTGATGAAACATCACACGGTCCCGGTCTTTGAAACGGCCATATACTTTCCCCGGCTTATTCCTCACGATCATATTAACACCCCATCTTGCGCATTTGTATAAAATTTCGAGTGCCCTGAGATCAGTGGTACGCCTTGTTCCGCAAACAATCTGGTTATTCAATCCTGGTTATGGTGCACTGGTTTACTCCGCATGATGTGATAGTGATGCGGCCAACAGCTTGCATCAACTGTGATGTGATTCCGTGCGTGTCCGCGTGCAGAATTTTGGAAGCTTCCGTGAAGGTTCCTAAGTTTCAGCCTCAGCAATATCAGATGTCGAGTCACTGAATAGGTGCGGGTACGTGTTATTGCATGCAATCGATGAGGCGTCTTGCAGTGGCGTATATATAATTAGAATTTCGGATATTCGACTAATCATAATGCAGAGTGTAGTCATGTGCGAATAATCAATTCATGAATTGATATATATGCACATGAGTTTCATCAATCGTCAAGTTTGTGGGTCATGAATTATCACTCGGGTTGCTTAGGAATTATAATAACTGTTAAAACTACATAATTATTGGGTGCGAGTCTAGCTGATAGTAATTCCCTACGCGTTAGAGAATGCAGGCAAGATAATGTTTTGTAATACAAAGTCTACGTTAGTATATGCAGTACTTAGCACCATGCCTGATAATATATAGGTTAATTACGTATATAATACGTCAAGTGGGATCGTATCATCGATCATGTCTCGAGATCTCTCCTTGCCATATTGGTACGGAAATGGCTATAGAGATCTAGAGGTAAAAGTAAACTACATGTATAGAGGGCTTGACTGCTTAGTCGACCATAGACCACAGAGGAGGGTGAATCAACTGGCATATACATACGCATATACCGGAATGCTCAATAGATTCTTCCATTCACTACATCATCTAACTACATATAGTAGTAGTGCGCGCTATATGTACTACTGATATTTTAGTATGGTATTGACGACCATAATGTCTTTCTAGATGCATGTAGCTAGCTATAGGTTCTGAGGCCAGAACTCAACACAATTCCTTTTGGGTCTGCGTGAATGAAGGCGTCGGGAGTTGGTTGGTATAATGGGATACTCTAGTACTACTACAGCTTAGCTTATCCCAAGTGCACGTGTGATCGGGGTCTCTTGTTTATATGTACATACAAGTACATCTTATACTCACTCACAAAATGTACTAGCCCTGTGGAAATGTGACGTTTGATATGATTCAATCATTTTATTAGTTCCAACGCAAGCAATTATAGGAATACATGTAGATACATGTAGCCCTTTTCAAATTCGCTACGCGTATACGCTCTTCCCGATGTCCGCGTCTCATGGATCACAGATAGGTATTATCAAGTGTTACATATATGCAATCAATGGACATCACCACAACTACATGTAGCTAATGAGTGCTTATGTATTCGTACCGAGATTCATGAACTATACCATTGAACCGCAAACAACTCTCATAGTCAGCAAGCTGTAGGATTGGTTGTGTATCCTGATCAATTCACAGGGCTAGGGTTCTGGGGGATACCACAATCAATCGAAAATTGTTGCTTTGGTTTCAAGCCCCATAGGAGAATCTTCTGGAAGTGCTTTAAACGCGTCGAAGAAACATCTTTACGCGTGAGAGGCCACAATCCGAGCTAGGAAAAGTGTGTTCTCTTGAGTAAACCGCGCCAAATCACGTGCTCAGGACTGTTTAGCTTGGCACCCTTTCCACGCGCAACACAAAGCGCGACACCCCATCATCGGCACCCACACCCAAACACCTTTCTTCCCCACTCATCCCCCCCATCCACATACACATCTTCTGTTCGAGTTGCGATTTAGCGATTTAGCTTTTTTTCACCTCGAACCCCCAATACTTGCTTGATTGCTTCTAATTCCCTTCAGGAGTCAATTTTTACAAACTTCATTTCTCGAGTTATCCCCATCGAGAAAACACATCACCCTGCCGTAAGGCAAAAGAGAACAAACGAGAGAGATGGCGCCAGCGCGCCGATCTACGAGGTCGAAGGCGGAGACGGCGGGCAACAAAATAGAAATAGCACCAAAAGTTCCCGCTACACGTGTTGCCAAGAAAGCGAAAGTTACTGCGAAAGAGACCATTGAAAAAGAGATCGAGGAAAAGGATGTACGGAGATCTACGCGCACCAGGAAAGGAACAAATGTTGAGCCAGAGGTGGAGAAAGTAGTAGAGGCCAAGGCTGGAGATGAACATGAGGCTGAGGAGGAGAACAAAGCAGGGAAGAATGGAATTGAAAAAGCTGACACCACACCTGCGGTCCCCGAACCTCAAGCTGCGCCTGTTAGCGATGTTGGCCCAACCGTCCCGCTCGTAAAAGCTAAAGCGACACGAGGCCGTGCTGCGAAGGGGAAGACTACAGTTACTGCGCCAGTGGAAGAGGAGGTCGTTATTGTCGAGGCTATTATTGCTCCTGCGACACCTGCCCCCACATTAAGGCGGTCTACAAGAGGAAACCGCGGAGCATCAGAAGCCCCTACAGAAGATAATAGCATTACTATGGCACCTACCGTAGAAAAGCCGAAACGTGGAAAGAAAGTCACTTCGGAGATTTTCGAGGCTTCTGCCGTCGAAAGTGCTGCCGCCTCTTCAAGCGCTACGCCTCATTGGGCTAAAAAGAGAGAAAGTAAGGCAGAGGAACAGACGGAGGTGATTGTTGGTGGCCAAGGAGAGGATGTGCTAGAAAAAGCCACAGCGAAAGGGAAAAAAAGGAAAGCTTCAGTTTCCAAAAAAGGGAGGGGCAAGGCGAAGAAAGTACACGAGGAGCTCGAAGCCGAGGAGGCCGAAGCCGAAGCCGAAGCCGGAGAGCCCGAGATCGAGGAGCCTGAGGCCTCTGAGAACTTCGAAGTCGAGGAAATTGCTACCGCCGTTAAAGAACCAATCCCCACTGTTGAGGAGGAACCCACAATCGGCAACGATCCAGTAACAGATCACGAAGTTGCCAAAGAAGAACCCAAGCACTCGACTAAAACAGCCAAGCCCTCTAAGAAGGCAACCGCTGCCATGAAGGCCGCCGCCAAGAAGGCGATAGTTACCAGGAAGTCCACAAGAGGTAAAAAGATCGAAGGAGTCGAAAATCAAGACGAGGCCGCTCAGCATGACCAAACAGATCGAATTGTGGAGGATATCCCGATGGCAAATCCTCAAGTTATTATGGAATCTTCCAAGGAAGCCAATGACGAAGAGACAGTTCCAGAACCAGCATCGGAGGTATTGGGGTCCTCGCAAGCCACCGAAGTAGACGATTTTCATGGGGAGGGAACAAATAAAGTACCCAAAGCTCAAGATTCTGGAGTTTTTATCGATTCTTTTAGAAGTACTCAGGACGGATCAGAGGCAATCCCCAAAGAACAGATTGATATTAAAGCAGTTGAACAAGAGGCGAAGGAAGACAGTGAGGTCGGAATTAAGAGTTCTGATATCACACGCGGGAGTGCGGACTCTATCTCAGTGAAGAACGCCGGGGACGAGAGCTCCAGCGTTGCTCTCATGAACGAGAACCCCTCATCTGAAGAAAAGACCAAAAAAGCCGAAAGTCACATCTTTGCGGCTAGGAACGAGGACCCCAAGAATCAGGCGGAAGATGCAATCGAAAATATAGTTGGAGCTGATTCTCAAGCCACCAATACCAACAAAACCAAAGTTCCCAAGCCTAAGAAGAAGTCCGCAGCTACTAAAAAGAAAGAGCGTGCAGCGGCAACCAAAAAAGCAAAAAGCCAACTTCAACCTGAAATTGACGCTGATGGTGATGTTAATGTTGACGCTGAGCCAGAAGCAGAAATTGATCATAAAAGTGCTCCGTCAAGCTCGAGGATTATTGATCCCGCTATCGTCCTTGGTCCGAGAAAGAGCGGCATTGCTAAGAAAGTCACAACAGTTAGAAGGGGAAGAAGTGCTGCGGCTAAACCGGAAATCGTTGTGACTGAATCTGCCCAAAAGGATGAAATCTTGTCCGATCACGGCAAGGATGCAGAGCCAGAGATTATTGGCAAGAAGCCGAAGGCCATCCAGGAAACTGAACCAATTGATGTCGTATCTGAAGGAACATCACTTAGGCAGAGCTCAAGTGAAGCAGTTACTCGAATGAGCGAAGATGTTCAGAATGAAACGGTTCACGAGGAAATCCCTGGGAAACCCTCCGAGGAGGTTGTTAGCGCGCATGATGAGGATGAAGAATTCGCTTTACCAATGTCTAAGCCAATTATTCTTTCCCCGACTAGATTCACTTCACCGGATCCCAATTTAGACCCCATCAAGAGTTCAGTACCTTCATCGCCGGTCACTTTTAGTGTATCTCATCCACAGCTGCACTCTTCACCACTTCGTAATGCTAGTCAAGAACCTATTCTTGCCTCTCCAGGATCAGTCAGCACGCCTAGAGGCCCTTCGCCAATCAAAAAGTGGGCAACACCTAATAAACATACGCCGAGTCGTCTTTCTCAGAGTGGAACCCCATTCAAGAATTTGGAAGGTAAAAATACAATTTTTCGCCGTTTAGGAGTGTACTAATATCGTTGCTGTCCCTTCTTAGACTCGAGAGATATCAGGAAGGTCGCCAGCACCCCTACACGAGTGCTCAATGTCGACGTTCAAAGCAGCCCAGTTATGATGCCGCCCCCAACGCCGGATGCAGTTTCTGGTGATGGAAGAAGTCCAGTCAAACAAACACCAACCAAGGAGTCGCTGGTAGGCGATGTTGTTCTGAGCAATGCGAAGGTCAATTTGGAAATGGAAAATAAAGGGCATATGAATTCAAGCCCCATCAAAAACCCGACACCTATAAAAGGTAAATCCAACCCGCTCACATTAGTTACCAACCACTAAAACTTTCACAGCGGACTCTTTTATTCGATCTTCCCCGGCTGGTCGTTTAAGCTTTGCCGAAGACCTCCCTAGCCCAGCTGCGAGGAGATTGGAGAGTGGAATTCCTCTTTTGAAGAGCCCAGTCGCGTCTAGTTCCTCAATAAGCAGTCCTATTAAGAAGACTAAGCTTGGTAAGTTTACTTAAGATTGTTTTTATTTTATTTGATGTTAATAGAAGTGCAGATTTTTTGAAAGATACGAAGACCTCAGCACTGAGTTCATCACCAAGTTGGAACTTGTCTTTCACCTCGGAAAATGATGAAGATGACGATGATAATGTTGGTGATGATACATTTGCTGATCGGGAATCATTCCACGATGTTGAAGATCTTGTTGATAAGCTCGATGAAGAAGAAGTCTCTACGGAATCTATTCATAAAGAGATTGTTGACCAGGAGGAGACATTTGTGGAGAAGCCTGCGGCTGTTTCACCTAACATTCGTAAGTTACCCTTTTGCGAGACATTTTGTATTAGCTAATATCGCATAGTCCCCGAGGAAGACAAAAAAGAGGTTGACGACAGCAGATCATCTAACCTGGATGAAAGTAAGTTGTTTAAATTGTTTGATAAGGCTAAGAATACCGTTGGGCGAGGTATGCTCTCTGTGTAATTCTATTCTTTCTAGCTACTACGTGTGTCTAACGTGCAATAGAGGAGTCTACGCCTTTGGTACCCGAAGTAAAGGGCGACATTGCCGAGTGTGACCTTACATTCACTGCGTCTGACAATGATTTTGACGAAGATATCCCGTCCTCTCCCTTAGATGAATCCCCACTTAAACTTCAAGAGTTTTCTTATGAGCCTACTGCAAGCATCTTTCCTCCTAAACCAGACTGTAGCAAAGTAGAGGGAGATGAGGAGGAAGAGGAGGAAGAGGAGGAGGAAAGCGACACTGAAGTTTTTTCTCCGATCATGATTAATAACCAGTCGGCCCGGAAAGAAGAAGAAGACACGGACTGGGGTGAAGACGAGGAAGATGGTAAAGGGATGAAATTCCACTTGGATCCCGAGAGCACCGGGGGACGCCTTCAGGAATTTCGTGCCTCATCGCCTCCAAACTTTTGGCGAGCCCAAGAGTCCAAAGCTACTAATTTCTCTCCAAGTCCATCGCCTAGAACAGCTGATCAACCGGGCGATGAAACCGAATTTGAAAAGTCATACGCTCGTGGCCAAGAGGAAGTGGAAGAGGTCCAAACTGCACTAGGCGACGACACCTTCGAGCAATCATATATCCGTGGTCTTGATATTGGCTCTGATAAATCATACGAGGGTGTCAATCTATTGCCTGACGAAGAGGCTCAGAAGACACCGGTAGATATGGATAATACTTTCGAGCAGTCCTATATTCGTGGCCTAGATATGGGTTCCGATCAATCGTACGAGGGTATCAACCTACTACCTGATGAAGAGACCAAGAAAACACCAATAGATGTGGATGATACATTTGAGCAGTCATATGCCCGTGGTGTTGATATTGGTTCCGATCAAGAGTACGAGGGCATCAACCTATTGCCTGACGAAGAGAAAGGCGAGGAGATTGGAGAGGACACTCAATTTGAGATGTCGTTTATGCGAGGAGTGGAAGAAGAGAAGGAAGAAATCAAGAAGGAGCAGGTAGAGAGAGAGAGGGAGGAGAAGATAGCCAAGGGCCGTAAGCGGTTCTTGGAGGAACCGCAGGAGGATTTTCAAGCTCTCAAGAAGAGCAAAGGAAAGGACGGTCGTCGTCGTCTAACCTTCCATCCTGATGAACCGGTGTCGAAAAAGACCAGCAAGAAGCCTCGGAGGATGTCGGATAGCACTTTACCAGACCGTCAGTATTACCTCAAAAACTCTCGACCAGACGAGGTCCAGACCAACTGGGAGGAGCACATCAGGCGCGTGAGGAAGGAACGCGTCGCAGTCTATAAGATTCAGAGAGCATATCGGGCTTATAGGGCTGCGCGTGCTGAAGCTACAAAGGCATCTACTGGGGATGGGATCCCGCACATCGAAGAAGGGAGTGAAATCTCACCAGTCTCAAAGGTGGATGAGAACCCACCCGTTACAGAAGTGGGTGAAATCCCACCTATCACAAAAGGGAGTGCTCTTCATCATCCTCCTGTTCGTCCATCAGTGGTGAGACTCCGTCTTTCTCATTAATCTTAACCATATCTAACTAACCCAATATAGCCCCCAGAGAGAAAAACTCGTCGATCCCAAGTTCCTCTACCTGCCTTTTCAAGCATACCACCCCCAAGTTCCGGAATTCCACGAATCAAGAGGAAGGCTGCTGACGGCCTTGAAACTGGGAGGCGGGTCACTAAATCTAACATCCCTGTTTCGAGTAGCGTCTCGATGCCTGATCTAATCCTAGCGATGTGCAACCGCCACACAACTCAGAACGGGTTGTTCTCAGTGGGTATTAAATTCAAAACTATTCAAAAACCCTTCCCTCGCCCCAGTGAAGCGGCCCTTGATGCTGCCACCCGGAAAGCAGCCCAGGAATCAAAGGAAAGGCGCTGGGGACTAATGCAGGAAACTGGCTGCATGCTTCATCCCGGAGAAGAGGAGGAATGGGTGAATAACGATAATTCGAAGGTCCGATGGGACCCGGAATTAGTCTATATTTGTGATGATGAAGAAGGGGAGGCTCCACCAAAAGAAAATACCAAGAAGTTTCCAGAGCGTGGTGTTCTAAAGGCACTGGTAAGTAATCAGGATTATTTATGCTTTATCAATAAAATGCTAATATTTCCTTAGCCTCCGTTGACAATCCATGGAAACTGGGTTCCAGCTCCTAATGCCCCTCCTCTCCAAATTTCGAGGGAACCTGTGGAGGTATCAAGAGTACTATACTTAGGAGAGCATGACCAAAAGGAGCCTGTATATGGGAAGAAGCCCAGAAAGTAAGATGATTTGGGTAAATGATTTTTAGCGGTTTGCGTCCCGAATTTTCTATCCCTTTTTATTATTCTGTCTTATGTCTCCTGGGGGGTTTGGGATGCCCTTAGTTTCTAGTTCTTGGAGCTGGGATGGAATATTTCTACAAAGTGAGCTATGATGCGGCAAAGGGTATTCTTGGACATGGATGTGCGTGTATGGTTGCTTTCCACATAAAGGCGATGCCTATTTTCTTTTCTATTACTCGGTGTTTCTCTGTACTTTAAGCGGAGGGGAAAGGGTCACTTCTTCTTTCTTTCATTCTACTGTCAATTTTCAGCTGTATAGTTTTTAAGGGGTTTATTGTTAGGAAATCTTTTTTTACTGAGATATATTTTGGGGTTAGTACTTACGTTTTACAAGCACTTTTCCTTTATCACGTTGTATATGTGTAATTATTCTACATGGGTTAGGATTACGATAGAGATATCAAAAAAAAAATATCAATTCAAGTTAAATTAATAGTTCTCTGGTTGGAAAGCTTAAACGATTGGTCACAAATATGTTGCGTACTTTAACAAATCATTACTTGGCTATATACGTGGTTCATGAGGTAATACGGAACCAATTTGCACAGTCTGTCTGTTGGTACTGCCTGTCTTTCCGGTCTAAATTAACGCTAACTACATGTACTTCCTAACTTATAATATACTTTCGGAAAACAGGGACCAACGATCACGATAGCTGTAGTTAGTTTTGCCAAGAAAGCTACCTTCTCCTTACCCGGCTCAATGCAACAACGGTAAAGCTGTGTGAAGCTCGGACATCATCACCTTACATCTGTCAACCAGCAGCTAACCATGGAGGAATCCCTATCTCTCGAAGAAACCAACAAGCTCCGAATATCTCTCGGTCTCAAACCCTTAAAGGTTGACACCGAGTCTAAACCCTCTGGTGGCGCTATAGGCGAGAAAACCTATGACAACTCGGTTGAAGGTCATGAACGACGGGCTGTCGACAACTGGAAGCAGCACGAAACTGAAATCCAAAAAGAGGCTACACGGAAAGCTAAACTTGATGGCATTAAGAAAGCGCGTGATGTTGCAAAAAGGTTCGCGCAGCTTGAGGGCAAAGGGTTAGGGGAAGAAGAGGAAAACGAGGAAGATACAACGACGTGGGTTAAAAAAATGAAGAGGCGACAGAAGAAGTTGGCAGAAAGGATGGCCAAGGATAAGGAAGAGGAGGAAGAAAGAGCTCTCAGAGAGCATAAAGAGTATACTGCAGATCAATTGGCAGGTGTTAGAGTTGGCCATGATCTGGATGAGTTACATGAAGGCGAAGAAGGCACAATCTTGACGCTCAAAGATACCACCATAGAAGAAAACGAAGGTACGTTGATCTTATTTTCTGCTGAAAATATATTCACTAGTACTAAATACTAATTTTTTGATCAGAGGACGGCGACGAACTTGTATCCACCGAACTGGCCGAGAGGGAAAGGCTCAACGAGAGAATGGAACTGAAGAAAAAGAAGCCAGTTTACAACGCCTATGACGATGACGAAAATGGAGAAAGAAGTGTTTTGGCACAATATGATGAAGAAATTGATGGGAAAAAGAAAAAGAGGTTTGTACTCGATGGTTCTGGCAATTCTGCAGACATCAATGCTCATCGGGAAGAAGTGATCGAGAAACTCAAGGCAAAACCTATCAAAATTACTTTAGATCTTCCAAGTCAGTATCCCCGGTCTTATTTTTGAGATTCCCGCGATTACTGGTGCACGACTGATAGAAAGTCTACAATCGCAGAACCCGAAGTCGTCTCTGATTACGCCATGAACACAAATATCCGAAAATCTAAGAAAAAGAAATCAAAGTCGACTCGGAAGAAGACCGAAGACGATGACAGTCTTGCACCACCCCCTGAGAATACACAAGAGGCGCCCGATACCAACTCTATGGAGGTTGATTCAGCCCCTGCGAGTGCACCCAAGCCAAAACGAACCTATAAAGAGACATCATTTGTTGATGACGAGGACCTTCAGGATTCTCTTGCGACCCAGCGTCGAGCTGCTCTAAAGAAACGTAAAATACTAAAGCCCGACGCTTTTGCTCGTAAATTGCTTGAAGATGCAGCAGCAGTGGCAGAAGAGGTCTTGGATGAAGCAGAGAACGCAATGGTAGATGATGAGGAAGAACCCGGGCTCATCATTGATGAAACAACTGAGTTCGTGGCGAATTTAAGAGCGGCTGTCATCCCAGAACGCAAAAATATCAAAGTTGAAGCTTCTAGGATCACATCTATGGCCGATGATTGGGTGGAACCTCTTAATGGTGACATCGAGGACATGGAAGTTGACAGTGTTGACGACGTTGACGGTAAAGCCGGCCATAAATCTAACAACATCACTCCCGGACCTCCGGACGGAGCCCCGGAATTCTCTAGCACAGGTCTTGAAGAGGAAATGACTATGTCCAGAGGTGTCGGTGCCACACTCGCCATGCTTAACCAGCGTGGTCTTCTTAAGCGAGACGAAGAAGCAGAGAATAAAGTTCAACTACTTCGCGATCGTCAGAACTTCAATGTTCAGAAGCGACTCCGAGAGGTTGAGGCAGAAGAAAAGGCAAAGTCGCAAAGACTACGTGATAGGCAGAGCGGGAAGTTCGATCGCATGTCCGCGAGAGAAAGGGAAGAGCATGCTCGATGGGAGAACAAGCAAAGAGACCTTCAGGAGGCAAGGGACTTGCAGACAAGGTTCAAAGAGTATAGACCAGACGTCAATCTACAATATAAAGATGAATTTGGCAGAGATATGACACCAAAAGAGGTTTGTTATTTTCAATTCCCTTTTATTTTCTGGCGTGCTCTCGTAACTAATAAAATTCCTCGTATCCAATAGGCATTTAAACACCTCTCTCATCAGTTCCACGGAAAGGGCTCCGGAAAGGCAAAAACTGAAAAAAGGCTTAAAAAGATAGAAGACGAGAAAAAGAGAGAGGCCACATCAAGTCTTAACACCAATTCGGCGAGTGCTGTACAGGCCGCCGCAAAGAAAGGGAAGCAAGCAGGAGTGAGATTGATGTAGAGGAAGTCACTTGTACCACTAAATTATATGGGTCAGAAACATGCGTAACGCAATAGAAGCTATTTAAATAGATTTTGCAGGTCTGCCACACCGGGTCCACCAGCCACACTTGCAGAATATACCATCATGATTTCCTCGGTTGTTTTTTATGTTTAAAATAATTCTCAACATAGCGGGTATGATCAAACAATACGGAGATGGATCAAACTTCCGATATAGTATACCGTTTACCAAATAATCCGGGTAGGGGTATTAAATATGTGTTTAATACACATATCAGAGGCTAGAGTAACTACTACACCACCCCGAACTTGAGTACTGCCTGCGCAACCGCTTCCGGAACACCAAAATCACAAAAAAAGAAGCAGAGTTATACGTCCCTTGGACCAATAGCTGCCCCTCACTCACCGGCAATAATTGTAACGGACATGGTCTTGAGACAATACCTTATTACTTGTGTGATCACACCAGGGGTCGAACCTGGAATCTCTTGATTCGTAGTCAAGCGCCTTGAAAAATTCTATGGCCTACATCTTGTGTCTATTTCCTGGATGTTTCTGGACTACAAAAAATCCCGTGATTTTGTTAACAGCCAGCAAAAATTGCCTAAAACAACTTACCTATTTGTACTCAAGTACATTAGCGCATACGTTGCACATCTAACTTCTTATGTGCTCCCGAAGTGGGTTTTCGGGGTTCATACCCAGAGGATATGTAGGTTCTGTCAGACTTCGGCTCTCTGATTATAAAATTATCCTTTTCGATGTTGTTTGTGGAGTTATACTTGTATCAAAACCTACTATTCCAATATGGATTACTTTGTTACATTGTTGCAACGTCAAATCACAGGGACTCCCGCAACCCGACAATACGGTCCGTACTTGTACCTGTCCTTCAACAGTGGCCATGTTCTGTAAACTCCCTCCTCTGTATTTATTATGCGTTACCGTGCCATGGTCACCAATGCAGTAATGTTGCTTTTCTGTGTCTTGCGTCTTACTATGTGACCTGGAAGCATAAATACCCTAACAATAAAAACCATCACAGTTACTACTACTAAGTACCTATAACCAATATGCCAAGTTTACACATCTTTCGTGATGTACTCAAATATCGGGATATATATGCACCTCGGGTCACGGTTGTTTCTTCCCTCGTGTTTTCGGAGATGTTCTTTGATATGCACTCAGCACCTCTTCCACTAAATTAAAACAACGTAGAACCCTCAAGCTCCAATAAGAAAACAGATTAATACTAACGGCATCAGGGCACTAAGGGTCCTATCCTTTATTCTTCAATGCCCCTAAGGCTCATACGAGCTTGTTCATTGTCCCGACAAGGGGATATTTCGAATATTTCAGATCTAATTATTAAAAAATTCTTCCTTTTAGACATCATTCTTACAGGGTCAAATAAAAAACCACGAATATCCTTTAAATAATCACTTCACTCAATAAATGCCCCAGCGAAGATAGATTTACCCGTCTAGCTATGAGAATCTTCTTTTGAAGAAATCTCATCTTCTCTCCCACCGAAACAGCGGACCTAAACTGCTCCCTACTCATATATCAAATGGTCAAACGATATTATTGAATTAGCGGTCTTTTGTGATGCTTTAGAGATTCCCACGAGATATCAAGCGAGATATTTCTATAAGATTTTAAAAGGGTTACATATCTGCGGCAGGGCTTCTCACCCAGGCATTCTTTAATACTCTTCTTTTCCAGGTTGGAGAAATAATGCTTGTTGAACCCAAAAGGATTGGTATGGTCATATATAATAAGGCTATTATTTTGTATCTCAACCGAATCCTCGTAGTTATCCGGTGCATAATTGGCATTAGCATGTTTCTCGATAAAGAAATTTGGGTCGAGGTTGCGCTAAGAGTCAGGAGCTTCAATCATGGTTGGTGAAGGTCCTCAGCGAGAAACAGTGTTGCAACATCGTTCAAGTTTCTCAGAGCGGTATATCCTAGTCTCGTCGCCTGAGGCACAACTAGGACAATAATATCAGAAAACTTAGAATGATCAGTCATATCCATCGGTTTAGATCCCAAGAAATCCGGTCTCCAACGTATATTTTGCCAGGATTCAGATAAGGTCGGATCGCAATCTCTACAATTGTCCAAAACTTAGCAATCAATCCTTTTACTCTACGAAAAAAAAATTCCTCCCCGTTGAATTCTCTTCGAATCCCCATTTGTAGTTACTTACTAGTACCGGTGAAATTATACATATCGGTGAACGTATGCTTATCGGTGAAGTAGGAAACTTTGACAGGTCGTCTGTAGGTGCTAGCTCCGGATATTGGTAGAAAGCATCTATTTTGCCATTCAAACGAGAAGTCTGGATTGTTCCCCTTGGAATGTATGGGAGATGATGGAATTATTCGAGTGATGTTGTGATGCCACCATATGGCCATAGCTGGCAAGGTGGGGTCATAAGAAAGCGCTAGCGGATACGGAATGGTATCCTGTGTACTTGCCGGACTTTTTTCTGTGTCCAGCGAACCTATTCTTCCTGATACGGAAGAGTCGCAACGACTTTATCTCACCAAATATCTATCAAATTCACGAAGTTTTAGGGCCGTTGCTTCGTAGCACTCCCATATTTCCGGATGAGGAAGAAACAGCTGGACAAAAAAAAATCTGGCAAGTATGTGACCTACAGTTTCGTTCCCAGGTGTTTTGGAACTTTTGGTGCGGCGCCTCAAGGGAACAACCCACGTGTGGGAAAAGAATCTCAATTATCTATGTAGTTGACGTTGGCCGCGAAGGCTTGGCAGATCAGACCTGCGTGAGTGGTCCGGTTTGGAATAACCATTCACGGGTAAATACAGGATTCCCGATTCAATCGGACAGCATAACTCGTCAACCCCCATAATCGAATTTTCATTACGAAAAATAAGTTCCATTTACGCAACTCTTCCGCGGAAATGCTGAGAGCACTGGGATGATCCTCAATATCGGTGAGAACTTGGTATGGAAGGCGCCTCTATTACTCATTCCTGACAATTTGTCTCCCAAGTGCGCAAGTTAAAAGGATGGTGAATTTTTAAATTCCATAAATGTTGGCACGCAAGAAAAACTATTGCTACGCGTACGTACGCCCAACAATTTTCGTCCCTAATAAAAGTTTGGTACTATGATCTCTAATGGTGTACTGGACTTAAGATTCATGATATATTCTGAATAAATACCGTGCTAGCAGTTAATGCTGGTTCCAGTAAGTCAAACTGTTTGGGATGCAATAGGCATGGACGGGTAAGGTAAAAACGTAGCAGATCGTGTCCATCCCTAATGATCGTACTCATTGATCAGCACCTTACCAGAGTTCACTCTAGTATTGCTCTGTATGGTATTGTATGCTTGAATTATGGTAAAGTACGTACATACATGTATCTAGGCTAACTTTGTTTATGAGAGGTATTTTTTTGTCGTTTAAACGCCACTTATGGTTGATCTGGGAGCATGCGGAAAATGTTTATGTTAGGCGGGAAAAGTCTGGAACTGCAGAATCTAAGAACTGAACCACATCGACGTTATCTTTGTCGCATATTGTTCATACGGAATAAGAGTAGATACACGTGTGTATACGTACACGTACCATCTTATATAACAATTGCACAAATTACCTCGGGATTAGGTATAAGCATCGAGTTCTCGTGTAATATTTGAAGAGTGTCCCGTAGATGCGGCAATTATAAGTGTTTGGACTAGAAAATCGCTCTCTGTATGGGATGTTCTATTAATTACAGAGTATGTGTAGACTAGGTCGGCAATTTATATCCGCTTGCGTACCTACACTTTGAACCGAGTTTAATCAACTTACGTACAATTTTTGCAAGTAATCAGAAGCGCGTTCTGGTGTATGTAATGGAATAGTTTCTACGTCTTTTCGTTGGCCGTTTTGTAATTTACGTGTTACAAGGCAAGGGGCGCTTATCCTAGGGTGCTGTATACGAGTGATAACACATGACGAGCCGAGCGGATTAGGTCATTGGCTCATTGAGGCTCTTCAGATCGGTAAATTTAGCTAGAGGAATTGATCTGCCAAAAGTTAAATTTCATTAATTCACTTTGACCTGTTTCCTATTCTGCCTCACCATGCGTTGTCAGCCAGTCGACCTACACCACCTCCATCCACAATTTACCCTAATTCTCGAGGCTCTCACCTCCGGAAGATGGCATGCACCCCACAAACACCGGGGTTCCAGCTCTGGGAAAGCTTCGCCGAGTGCCTTTGCATTTGAAGGGAGCTAGGGCATCCATAATTTCATCATGCAAGACCAGCCCCGAGGGATTGAATTTTGTTCCCCGCCGGCGTTTGATGGGACGCAGATCTCATGCACGAATGAACTAATATTATGATGCCCCCTGCCTCTTGTTCTTTATTGAGCAGCAAGGGGAGGACCCTAAGTTTATTATGATTTATTATTGGCGGATTACTTGCTTAAGATTCGATTGGGAACCTGCATGGCGACCCTCATGCCTGCTTCGAGTATGCAGGCTTGGAATACCCGGGGAAAGTCCTGCAGCGAGTACAGGGTACACGCAGCAGCAGCAGCAAACTCCTGAACGTCGTTGCATGATAGCCATCCCAATTCGAACTTCTTTTTGGTGCGAGAACTCAGACAGATCGGCATCTTCCCTAAGCTAGATCTTCCCTAAGCTAGATCTTGGGCTAACAAACAGATGGAGGTGATCCGTAAGCTTTGGAATTGGGCTCTCTAATCACGACGGTGTTTCTCGGGGAGCTGGATTGTAGGGCGGAAGTCTTACCAGGCAATTGGTAACAATCTTGATAGCGACCGCATTTGCACAGATTGATGTCAAATGATGGTTCAGTTCGGTTTCCCATGTTTGAGGCAGGTTTAGAGCTAGGCTAAAGCTATGATACCCTAGAGCTTGTAACGGAAAGAAGAAAAAAGAAAGGGCCAGGGAGGCCCAACCACATGGCCCTTAAATGTCTTACATAAAGTTTTGTGGGGAACGGATCTCGGGAGGCCCACACTGCCGAACTGCTTTTCCTACCGGTGTTCCTTTTTTTTCTCTTTTCTTTTCTCCCTTTGTGGCTGGACTTTTCGGTACTTGTTCTGTCTTATGTTTTCTTTTCTTTTCTCACTGAGAAATGGCTGAACACGTGGTGTTTTTCTTTTCTTTCCTGAAAAGTTGAGCAAGGCGGTTCCGGCTGGCTGTGACTCGAAATACAGCTGTAAGTGGTGCTTTCGAGCCGACCTTTCTTTCCTCTCGCCCCTTTTATGCATACGTATTCCGTTCAGATTTTCAGTCACTGCGTGACATGTCAAAATGATGACCACGACGACGACGTCGTTCCTCTTTATTTATTTCCTTTCAGGGTCCATACACACTTGTTTGCCGGAAATGGAAGTCTCTTGGGGGGGGGGGGGGGGGTTAGGGTGTCACTAGGATTCTATCCTCGAAGAGCATAGATATTCGTGGATCAACCGCCCAACAGGTCCCTGGGTCTGTTGGCAGGTACAAAAATTTCTTACCAGTCAGTTAGCCATGAAGAAAACTCTTCATAATGGAAATCATTCCTGGGGAGTTTCGGGCCTAGGGCAGCCGCCGACTCAGTTGACGGACAACGGTCGCCCCAGGTGGAGGAGGGGGTAATGATTGAATCCATGTGGTTTTGTATGGTTTTGCCTGGCAATTGCACATCAATTGCCCAGGTCACAGTTGTACTCCTACTGCTGTTCTAGGCTCTAAAGCCCTTAAGGCCGTGCGCAGGTGCCACTGCGCTTGCATGATTTACGTAACCGTCCGGGAATAAAAAGGACATGGGCCTGAGCACGCAAGGTCAACAACGAGAGCTCTTCCCCAAACCTCTCCACCTGACATGCTAAACGGACATCGTGAGAACTACCCGGTTGGGGTTTCTGTGAGCTAAGATTTACTCAACAATTTGGCTGCTCTGCTAGCATGGCAGCTCCAATTTCCTTGAAACCGCGGGGTAGCTCCTCGAAGGGAAACCTGTCCAACGGTGCTCTGTGAGTTAGACTTCCTCCAAGAAATGAAATGGGGTTCGTTTGACCGAATTGTTTACTGGCCGGCACTGCTAGCAGGCCGAAGCTCGGAAATACTGCACTTGGTTCACATGCCGTCTCGAAGTGCAAAGGACGAGCAGGCCGTCCCAAAAAGAATGTCCCCATGGATCCTCTTTATACTCGTCGAGCTCGGAGCGGAAGTTGCCAATCGCAAACAAACCGGCTTGGTATGAAATCCATAAGGCAGAAAATAGTTGTTTCCACCTACATGTGTCCCTGTCCTTCCCCAGTAGAACAAAGATGGCTAAAAAAGAAACAATTGTGAAATCGTCGATCTAAAAATTCCCGGAAGCGAAAAAAGAAAGGATGAAAGAAAACAAAAACCCCAGATTCTGCAAGGATGCACCCGCACAGACAAACAAGCGAGACAGCTGGGATGAGGTCATGTGTGACAAAACCCCTGGCGAAGGCGCGTCTGCTTGCCTGCTTGTGTGGGTGTGTGGGTGTGTTGCTTGTCTTGTATGGGTGGAATGGAAAGATTCTTGGTGGGGCTTGTGATGGTGGTGGTGGTGGTGGTGGTGGTGTTTACTACAGCAGCTGTGTTTACGATGCCTACTTGAAGCCATCGTCAACGGTAGCCGCAGCCTCAGGGAGCATCATTGCACCTCGGATGAGCTGAAACTCTACACCAGATCAGGCGGACATCACCCTAAGCCCTTCTGTTATTAGGATCTAGTTCCCACCGACGCCATCCAGTGTTTGGTTGGCGTAAGGTGCACGTGGTGCATGGAATTACAACTTATTAGTCATAGAATGATCGCAAACGGGAAGGACAATGCGGAAGTCATCTTTTGATGGGTCGACTGGGGAAAAAAAGCCAGAGAGGCAGGACCAGTGTCCGGTTGTTCCAATAACCTTGCAAGAGCATTGGTGGCGGTCTACACCGTGCGAGAGAACTTCCTTCCTTCTTATATGAGCCTTTGTATTGGAAGTTTTCCAATCCCGGATTGGTATGGCGTCAGGCATTGTGGTCTCCGAATTGTCAAGAAATTGGGCGGACATGAGACGGAATTGGCTTTCCTGGGGGTAAAAAAAAATTAAATAACTGTGCGTCTGATGTTCGGTGTGTGCAGCGTGTGTGCGGTGTAGTGTACCCCAGAGCGAGTGAGTGTGCGTGCCCAAGCTCACAGCCAAAAGCTACTATTATCCCATCAAATCTATTAAATCGGCCACTAAGGTCCATGTCCACCTTTAGAGTACTCTTCCAAAGGCAGAGAGACAGGAAAAAAGTAATGAAAAGAAAAAAAATAGTTGCCTGGCGTGACTGTCCCGCTCAAGCTAAGCAGTTTGATCCAGTCACAAACCCCCCTCCGAGCAACCATATTTCCTTACTAGTGCCAATTGGACCTCGTCCCACGTAATTCTCTGTCTGGTGGGTATAAAGAAGGCATCCCGCTCCATCTTTAAAAGATCATCAACGCCCTTCTAAGTTTCTACTACATACAATGCCCCACAACGCCACCCACATGCCCATGGAAACCTTGAACAAATCCTTCAGCAACACACTCGCTTTGAATATCACAACGAACTCGTCTCAGAAGCAGAAATGCTTCTCTTCTCAGAATCATCCCGATGACGTGAGAGACCGTTCTGTAACGAAGCCAGTGTCAGAGAGAGGATGTGCCCCAATTGAACTCCTCCCAATGGAGATATTTGGTATGCTGCGTCAATGAACAATGTCCCCCGCACCTCATTGACAGTTTGGACTAACACAGGCTCTAGATCAAATCATTCCCCACCTCGCAATTGATACCCCAAGCAATGGCTACGCCCCAAGGAACAAGGACCTTGCTTCTTGTCTTTTGGTTTCCAGAGCGTTCCACTGTGCTACACTTTCAACTTTATACGCGAACGTTACCTTCCCTCACTCCACAATCTTCTCAAAGTTCCTAGCTCATATCTCAAGATACCCCGACCTGGGCGAGTTGGTGAAGCGGTTGGACTTCTCTCACTTCACTTCAGTGGGCCTGGGGAGGACCAGAAGGATGAACTACGAGATTCAAAAGTTGACTGCCACTACCCTTCGCAAGTGCCTTGATCTCAACCCTAACCTCCGAGAATTCTTTGCCTCGGAGGCCTTGGACGACGATATGGACCAGAAGGTGTTGGAGAAGTTGTTCTGTGACCTCCCCCGTCTGAATGCAGTGGATTTTTGTGCTGCCTCTTCAGCTGTTTTTGTTAGTGGCTTTTTGAACGCCGTTTCTCCAAACAATCCTCTACTGCCAGAAGTCATGCCAATCAAGAGACTGGGCCTTCATGGATGTACTACTCTGCCTCCGTCCATATTTGCCACTTTGTTGTCTCGTTTGTCTAATTTGACCCATCTCGATTTGACCCACACTCAAATCACGGACGGAACATTGCACGCTATCCCACAGACCGCAAGACTCACCCATCTTTCGCTCTCTAAATGTAACCGGTTGAAGGGGCCCGCTGTTGTCGATTTTCTCATCAACCATCCTTCTACTCAGGGTCTAATCCACCTTAACCTGCTCTATGACACGGGAAGATACCGTCTTCTTACCAGTGCGGACGTAGATGAATTGCTACCGGAGCTCCCACTTACACTCCGTTCTTTGAACATTTCTGGGGCAAAGATTAACTTCACACATGTCCCTCAGCTTCGCCGCCTTGCGAAGCAACTCGAAGAGCTATCCATCGGAAACGCGGATCTCTCGGTCGAAAACATGAACAGTATCCTCCAGCAGGGAGATGGTCTTGAGGGGCCAGGAAACGACACCACCTCAAGGTCTACTCTACGATACTTGGACCTCACTGGAATTTCATCCATTACACCATCCTCACTCATCGACACTACTGGTTGCTCGCTTCTTACACAAGCCTCGTACCCTCTCCGCGTCATTGAAGTTGGCGAGAAGATTATCGAGGGCTTGAAGGACAGACCTAAGTCAAGCAAGAGACTTGGTTGGGCCATTAAGAGCCAGCACAGAAGGTCTTGGTATATCCGCGAGAAGAGTGAAATCCCAGACGATGATGATGGTAGCCGTTCCTGGAAGATGGGCGGTAAATGGTGGGGAGGAAGGAAAGTTGGGATGGGCCAAGCTGAAATCAGTGGTATCTACGGATACTATGGTTTCGGAAAATAAACGGTCCGCGGAAATGTGATAAGCCTGGAATTATGGCTATCCGCGTGGGTTTGATAGCTCACGAATCTGTATTATTATTAAATCCCCCGCACACTCCATTTTCCTCTTGCTTTTTTGGCTTTTTACGGTGTTACAAGCGTTGGCTATCTTTCTTTGTTTTTGGCTTTTTCCCTTATCAACTCAACTGCATAGCATTTTTCACTTTGGCGCCTCTTTTTATCTGCGGAATCGGTTTTCCAGGTTTTATTTTTTCAATTTGCATTCAAATCTAGGTTACAGTTGCGTTATGGGTTTTCGATGTCATGGATCAATTTTTTCTCTATCGGGATTTAGTGTAATTACATACAATTAAAAAAAAATTGGCTCATAAAAAAGTAAATTTGCACTTGTTCAAGAAGATGTGTGATGATAGTGATGTGTTGGATGCGGGTCCCATCCCTTCCTTCATTCCCATTCCCGTCGGCATCTACATACCAATGTAACTACTACATGCTCTAGAGTAGCATCCGGACTAACCCGCTAGTGCAAAATACACAAAAAAGGGTCCTCCCCAGTTGTTGTGTGGTGTTCTGATATCCGAAACGCTGGGCGCGCCCTCGGGTAGGTCACCCAGCACGGACGCATTTGAAATCGTTGGCTGCTGTTCAAACAGGTGCGCGCGGCACAGATTCTCACTCGCAGCACGACCTAGCCTCCGTTACGTGTTACCTTCGACCTTCTTCCATAAGACAAGCCAAGCTATTTTAGTAGTGGAGTTGGGAAAAAGCAATTATTCTTGAACAGTCCCTAAAGGGTGTCACGATTGACCAGTCGTTTCCGGTAAATTCCCCAATGGAAACGGGGGGATCTGCTGGATGTTTGACAAAAGGAGTTTAGCTAGGGCCACCATTGATGTGTTAAGGCGGCGGACCAAGCGGAACCTACCAAGCCATCGGGAGATCAGTCATTTCTCGTGGTCTTGGGCGGTGATCCCCCAAGAGAACGCTCGAGTTTGTAACTTGTCCCCCCTGGCGCTCAATTGAGTTTGTGGTGGTGGTGGTGGTGGTGGGTTGATCATGATAAGTTGTCGATCCTGAGATTTGGTGTGAGACACTGACGTAGGGGTAGGGTAAGTGGGTTGTGTTGGGGGGGGTGGAAACCAAGAAAACCAAGTTGGTTGTTGAGTGAGTGACATCTTATGACTCGGGACTATTATACACCTGTGAGGTCATGCTCATGCCTTGAATACCAAAATACGGTTTAAGGATCTGCTGACTGACTTTTTGAACATCTCCAGAAGAGTAGAGTATGGCACGCTAAATTCTAGAGGGATAGACTGGTTTGGAATATGACTGTGAGGCTTGCATGCTACATTAGCTGCAGGTCACGAGTAGGTAGAGACTTGCATAGAGTAGGTAATATAGAGTTGATGACGGCTGCTAGAGTAGGTACTCTGTACTCGTAATCTACATATGTGCGTGTCTATGAAAATTTTCTCCATTGAAGCCTTGGAATTTTTTTTCTCTAGAGTCCAGTCAGAGATGGCTAGATGCGCGGGAAATGAGATATTGTAAATCTCGTATGCAGGTCCATTTACGGAAGTCTAAAGCACGAAGACGAGGAAAAAACAAATTAAATGGACTTCTTAATATGCCCGCCGTTCTAAAGTATGAAAGGTCGCCGCCCAATTTAAATTTCACCCCATTCTAAAGTAACGGCCCGCAGGCTGGGGTTACAATGGGTGGTTCATCACCTTCTGCTGCTGCTGCCATCTGTTTGACAACCGGGTTTCAGACTAGTATGGTTCGCCTCGCTGAACACGAAGGGACGAGTCGGGGATATTTTGAATCGGGCGTGCCTTATTCGTCTAAGTATGAGGGAGGAAGGCATGCTTTTTTTGAGGAGATATTTTCCCCACTTATAATTTCTTTTGGAAGCTCGGACCGGCAAATCGATGGACACAGTAGCCGGGCAGAACTGCATGTGGATACAGGTAGTTTGTGCTTCTCTGGTGTATGTTTGGCCATTGAGTAATGGAGATCAATCAATGCCGATGACTATGCTGCACAAAGGACCCTTCTCTTCTCTTCTCTTCTCTTCCCCTCTGTTTGTTTTTGCTTTGTTTTGCTGTTTTGTTTTCCTGGATCTTGCAGGTTATGAGAACGTTTGCCTATGTTAAAAAAAGCATTATTTAGATATAAGCGTTCGAATTCGAAAATAGAGCTAGACAAATTAAGAAGGGGAGGTCACAAAGAGTCCATTCACCAAAGTGCATTAAGACGTAGAATAGTGTTGGATTACACCACAGTGAGTGAGATTTGTCAATTATGCCTTATTGGAGATAGCAGAGCACCGCTGGAATCCTGCAGCGGGCTAGTATAACACACTTGTGCTAACGTTTCGATCCCGGTTTACGGTACTAGAAGCGCGGGATATTGTCAATTCTCTTCTGGTTTTAGCAATTGGGCCGTCAGTTCTTTTTCCTTTGAAGGTGTCAATCAAGGACTGTGTACCTATAGATAAGGATGGTTATAAACTAATGTTTGATGGTTTGTTATCTATAGAGCACGTTGCTTGTACGCATCGATATCAGCAGACATCCGTTGTGAAACATGTACTGAACTTTCTCAGCGGGCGCTGTTGGTTTAGAGTTTTCCTTAGGTCCCTTGTAATATGAGTATGAGGTAAATAAGCCGTGTTAACCTCTCTGTATCGTAAGCTTCAGAGTCATCTCATCCGAGGTTTTTTTCCCCTTCCTTAGGCCTTCTTGTTAATTGGGAAGCCGTTTCCGAAGGGTAAAAGCAAATATCATTGACACTCATGTCCATGTCCGGGTAAGCGGTAATGGCGGGCTACCCTGCCGTTACCTGAGTCATTCTCAACTCATTATTTCCCCTCCCCCGCATGTAGTGTACCCTTATCGATTGAGCCCCTCCATACCCCGCCTCAGGCCAGCCTATCAACAAAGAATATAGAAAAAAAGTTTCAGCAATGGCGACCGACCTTCCAACCCAGATTCTGCACGCCCTAGACACTGCATCCGCCCTCCCGCTAGTGTCATCAACGGCATTCCCGAATGTCGAGGCGACGGTAGTTAAGGGAGCTCTGGACTCGCTGCAGAGCAAGGAGATGGTGGTGTACGAGACGGTAGACCGCGAGGTAGCTGTCTTGACAGAAGAGGGACAAAGCATTGTGAACGATGGGAGTCACGAGGCAAAGGTTTACGAGGCGGTCTGCAAGGCCGTGGGCGGCTTGAAGATCAGTGAATTGCCTGTATGCTCACTCGGTCCTGTCTTTGTGAGGGTTTGGGAGCAATGGTGCTGATAGGGAGAGTAGAAACTCGTTGGCGCGAATACGGCAAAGGTCGGACAAGGAAAGGCGTTCAAGGAAGGGTGGATCAAGAAAGATGGCGACAAGTTGGTCAAGAAGGTTCGTACTTAAATTATCTTTCTGATGAGCAATTGCTAAATTGGAGCTTTCTATAGGCTACTTCGATCAAGGATTCAAGCCGGGATCAGCTTCGTACCATCGCAGAAACACATACTCACCCCGAAAAAGAAGTCCTCGCAGACCTCAAGAAGAGAAAATTGGTGATCATGCAGAAGCGCATCAGCTTCAAGATCAACAAGGGCGCTAAGTTCGCTTTACAAGTTGTCAAGGAAGAAACCGATCTGACAGCGGAGATGATCGCAAGGTTTGTTGGGCCGAGTGAGATTGTGTGTCGCAAGTACTTTTTTTACTGATTTATCACTCGTGCCAACAGCGGAGCATGGAAGACACAGAAGTTTAAGCCTTACAACTTTGCAGCGCTGGGAGCCCATACTCCTAGCGGAGCCTTACATCCTTGTCGGTACCCTTCTTGGATGATCCAACTGCTACGCTGAATTTTGTTCGTGAGACTGATTCTGATCCGGACAGTGAATAAGGTCCGTTCGGAGTTCAGGAACATCTTCTTCGAGATGGGTTTCACGGAAATGCCTACCAACCGGTAACACACCTTCATTGCCTACCTCTTAGCCATAAGCTAATATCTCTCTAGTTTCGTTGAATCTGGCTTCTGGAACTTCGATACCCTTTTCGTTCCTCAACAGCACCCCGCCCGTGATCTCCAGGACACCTTCTACATCTCCGACCCCGCCGTCGCCGACAAGCCTCGCGACGACGAGACCGGCGAGACCCTCACCGAGTACTGGAACAACGTGCGTGAAGTCCACCAGGAAGGCAAATTCGGCTCTCTCGGCTACCGCTACCCATGGAAGGAAGATGAATCCCTCCGCCTCGTCCTCCGCACTCACACCACCGCCATTTCCGCGGCAATGCTCCACAAGCTTGCGAAGAACCCCGGCCCCGCAAGATACTTCTCCATCGACAGAGTGTTCAGAAACGAGACTGTTGATGCAACACATTTGGCCGAGTTCCACCAGGTCGAGGGTGTCATTGCGGACTACAACCTCACGCTGGGTGACCTGATCGGGTTCATGCGCACCTTCTTCGGGAAGATGGGAGTACACCAGCTTCGTTTCAAACCTGCCTACAACCCATACACCGAGCCCTCAATGGAGATCTTCGGATACCACGAGGGTCTGGGCAAGTGGGTCGAGATTGGAAACTCTGGCCAGTTCCGTCCGGAGATGTTGGAGGCTATGGGGCTGCCTAAGGACATGAGAGTGCATGGATGGGGGTTGAGTTTGGAGAGGCCGACCATGATTAGATACAAGGTCAGCAACATTAGAGAATTGCTGGGGCACAAGGTCGATTTGGGATTCGTGGAGGCGAATGCGGCCGTTAGACTTGACAGGGAGTAAAAAAAGAAAATACCCCCCATACTCGTTCCTGGGATTTCAGCTGGCTAGAAATATATCAAAAAAAGTTCTTTTTACCCGTCCGATAGCTTAATAACTAGATTTGTGAAATAACATGGAGCGTTTCACTTGCTTTGTTTAAATCCGTTCCTTAAGGTTCATGTGCCTCAAAATTCTCCACAGAGTTGCGTCTGAAAAGGAATAAAAGAACGATACTATGTACTTCTCTTCTCATCAATCAAAAACTATCTGTCTAAGCGCGGAGTAGGTGAGGATTTAGGGCTTGGATCCTTCTGCCACCGGCTCATAGCTCAATGACCAGTAGTGTGGTACACTTGTTCCACAACTCGATTTTCGAGTGATAGAACGTGAAAATTAATCTTTAGGCCCCTCTTTGGGGCCTACCTAGAGTGCGCTCGGCCGCCGCTCCAACTGTCAGGAGGTGCATAGGACTTCACAGCATATATCACCACCATAGGGGGAATAATTACAAATATTAGGTTAGCTACATACTTAGCTCCAGGATTCTCGAGGAGTCCAGAGAGTGTCAATCATAAACTATCACTCGATTATAATTTGCCAGATCCTCGCCCCAATTTAGCATCAAATATCTTTTAAAAGTCTGGAGCCCTATAAACTCTTTCCTAACACCATTCTATCATGTCAATTCCTTATGAGCTCCTTAACTCGCCTCATAAGGCACTGCATGCCGTAACCTCATTCTGACGCATTCTGTGATTTGTCACTAGGGGTAGAGGACTTTAACTTACCTATTTATAATAACTATACTCTAAGTCTTTAATTACTAAAGGACGGGATCGATGCTATCTGCTGTCGTTATCATTTACTTCAATCATGATATATCACTCGCTAGATTTTGTGATAGATTCTAGCCCTCCATAGCTTTTTTTTTTTGTTTAATTCATTAAAGCCCTCCATAGCGGTTAAAGTGATATAACTATCTTCAGAAGCTTTCTACTTTTTCTAAAGTCAATTATATAGCCCTGTATGCTATGCTTAGACCTCTTTAAACCCTATAGCGTTATATTACTCACCCGGGATTGCTAGGATCATGGTAAATCACTCGGTACGCTGGGTCCGCGTGTATGGAACCCCCTCAAGCGTATATGAGCAGCGCAAAACAATACAGTCTCTGGTGTGGACTCGTAGTTCTTGGCTTCAACTGCTGGCGGCATAGCGCACTGCTGACGGGGCACCCATGCCGGGGAGTAGAAGGTTGTCGTCTTTCTGGGCAGGTCTAGATGATAACCCAGGATCGTTCTTGGTTTGAACTTGCTTATTTCCCTTGACCCGTATGCATGAGATAACCTTGAGACTCCTGTTAAATCAATGGTCGGAGGCTGCTTGTTGATGTTCTTGTCTGGCTATCCTATCAGTAACAGTAAGTAACTTGGCACGAGTGATCAATTATGATGAAGATTACCGCCCATCGTACTTCAGCTCGACATTCAACTCCTGCGCGCGGCCCATGGATGCTAAAACATAATTTGCCTGATTTTGGCGTCTTCTATATCCCCTCATGGTTAGTGCAGCTTACAATCTCACCAATAAGTTCGGCCGATGATATTGGATAACACCTCGTCACTGTTTTCTCAGACTGGTCTGGCGGTGTTCGATTAGGCGGGTATTCCGAGTTGTATATCATCTCTTCACGACATAATCCGACATTAATATCCTCCGAAGCATCCAAATATTATTTCTCGGACTTCCTTTCTCTATAATAGAGTTTCATATCTATCCTAGTATCCAAGGATATCCTTATCAAATAAATGTAAATACCATAGGAACTACTATCACTGCGCAGGGGCTCGGTTGAACTTTTTTGGTGAGAGAAAGCAGTCTCGAGCTCCCCGAATTTCTGAGGTGGATTCTTTAGTTTGAAATCTTGAAGGTAAAACAGTGCACAATTCCATCTCATAGGATTCGATTTTTAAAGTTTGAACTGTCTTGAATACGCCTAAGATGGCCGCGGTATACTATCCAGCCAGATGGAGCAATATTCTTCTATCTAGGATTAACTACTAGAAGCGGAACGGCAAGTCTGAGCCCTGGTTTGGCTTAGTAAATATTGTCACTTTGATCTTGAAAATAGTCTGATCCCGCTTCTAGGCCCAGCAAATATCGAGGTCATATGGCTTAAGCAGTAATGCCACCTTACTCCGTCTCCATTGCAAACCAGTATCCACATGCTCCTGGGGCGTAACCGAAGCTCCACATCAATTTCTTCTTACTCGCAAGGAGGGAGAGGAGGAAGCGTCACTGATAACCTGATTCTGGAGTTAGTGCTAGCGGTTTCTGCCATCTTCCACTGAACCTATGGAGCCGTCGATCAACGCGACACACCCGTATCTCTCAAGATAATCAACCCTAAACCCACTCTTGTTTACCCCAAATTCACCATGGTCACCGTAGAAGCCTCCTAGTAGCAGGTTAACTCAATTAAGACCTAGATAGCGGCAGCGAATTGGCATACGGATAGAATCATCAGTGGTGTATTAACAGGAGATATAGATTCCGGGGCCAGGAGAAGGGAATTTTGTGTGCTGTGTGGTGGCTCAATAGAGTCTTTCAAATGGATACATATTGAAGCTAGACATACACCGCCCTCCATGTAGACTGTAGATCCCGATGACCCAGAGCCCAAATTATCCCACATTTGAGTAGGTGATGGGCGGTGAGTTGTATGTACTGTGAAAGCAAGTTAGGTTCACCTTGGTGGTACCCCCATGTTGTGAGCAGCCTCTCTGTGGGGACTATAGATGTATAAAGGTAATTATGAGAGGACGAGAGCGATGCGGGACACAGGGTGCAGAGTCAGGATGGGAGAAATCGGGACAAAACGAACGAAATATATATTGAGGGTTTACCATTGAGGGATGTTTTGGCTGAGCTACCTGGTCTTGAGTATATGTGTTGGGAAAATGTTGGTGCTAGAAATATCCCGGTGTATTCATGATGGGATACATGTAAATTGAATTATTGTAGATGTGTCATCAAAAGTAGGTTGCTATGTGAGCGCGGGCTTGCGAACTGGTGCAGTGTAGTTAAGACTGCATGTTCCTAGCAGTAACGTTCTTTCTAGGATTTCCCTGCTACATGTAGCTTCCTGACCGGGGCGCACTCACTGCACAGGGTAACTTTGTGTATGGAGCGGTTCAGTACATCTCGAACGGGGGCTTCTTAAGATGAAGGAACCGAACAGCAGCAGGAAGAAGGCCGTCTAATCTATCAGCCTTGTGATTTATGGCTACCCTGGTTTTTAGATACACATTGATGAGATTGATTTTTCACCCCGCCAGGCCTAGGGGATGATCGAGCTAGCCAGTATAACTATTAACACTCTGTGATGGGTATCCGATTTCTATGCGTTCGCCGCGTAGGCCAACCTATCCAAAACCGCCTATCGTATGGGCCAGGATATACGGATGTCTGTCTGGTACTTGAACTCCAACGCTGTGGCGAGCACTCCATCTCCCACCAATACTCCGCCTGGGAGCTGGCACTTCAGCACTTGACATCTGCTGCGTCCGAAAAGGTCTCGAGTGGTCAGGTGTGGCGTGTTTAATCACGTGCTGTCACTCGCGCCAAGATCTCGGTGTGGATACAAGGCTCTGGATTAAGTGAGTGAACGGATCCACACCAGTCAACACCCCATTTAGTTCACTCACTTAATGCCAGAGCCTTGTACTGCAAACATTGAAAAGCCACTTGAGATCAACATAGCAAAAAAGTAGGCGCCAGAGCCAAAAGACTCCATCTGTTGGCGATTTAGGAATTCTTTGCTTAGGGATTCGAATACTACTCCTAATCATTCCAATGCTTCAGCCGATTGTTTGAAATACTTTTAATGGGCACAAAGCTGAACGCACTATGGCCAAACATCGTCAACGATAACCACCAACTAAAATATAAAACTCTTGCTATCTCCCGTCCATTCGAACAACGTAGTACAATTTTTTCTCGATATGTTGACCAATAGGGTGGAGTGACTATAAATAGTGGGCCGTGTGCACTTTCAAAACTTGTGATATGGTGGTGTGGTTGAGTATGGAATCACGATTGATTATTGGATCGCCTGGTATACTCGCAATACCTTTTAATAGTATATCCACTACTGCGATAGTGGATATGACCGTTAAGAGCTAGACTCATGTGTCCAGCGGTTCGAAGGGGTCAGTTTCATAACCAAGAGACAGACCCTAGGATAAGATCAATAATAGCTCTGCTCCGCAACTGTCTATCCTCTGCTTGCGGTTATCACTTTTATAAGAAAGGAGTTTCTGTTTCATTTGCCTTTCTCGAATTACGAGTGATAAACGATGACTTCAAACCCCAGTTTCAATACTGGAGCAACACAGCCCATTTCAGGGCCTTTACACGGGATTCCTTTAGAATACGAGTAAGTTTATTTCTACGTTAAGATAATCAAGAATATACTCGCGTGCATCCTGCAAAACTACTTGATCCCAGAATTGACTAACTGCGCTCTATTTATGTTGTTTAATGCTCCCCGCTTTCCTCTCCGCCCGATAGGGCCGGGATGTGTCATTGATAATTAAAGGCAGAATCAGGAGCTATGTAAGTATGTAAGTATCTATTAATCGCAATACAGAAAAAGAGGAAGAAGCAGGTGAAAATCTCTGCAGATGTGCCCCCACTAAGTCTATCAAACGATACCTGCGCGGCCACGATCGACTAATATATGGGCTTACACGTATGCACATACGTGCCCAAAGAAGCAAACCTAAAAATATTTGGGGTGATGGCTTTACACAAAGAAATTAATCTCCAAATAAGGATGTACTTAGTAGTCATCAGACTAAATATCGTCATAGCTACTCAATCAACAGGTCACATGAGCGTAGCTAAATATATTCAATAGTCATCAAGCCTTCTCACCGAGATTTAGTTACAGGTTTTCACTGAACTACATTAGAGCATTGTTACAGAAAGGTAGCCAGACCGTACGTACACGTAGCACAAACGTCGGAAAACAAAGTGCAGAGTCTGTACGTGGATCGATCATAAGCAGTAGTTGCCTCCTTCATTTTAATAATTTGTCACCGCCCGCGCCTGAGTAGGAAATTTTCAAAGTAAAGTCGCTGTAAACTAATCAAGAATGCACATACATATTACAGCTGTATCTACTGGCGCCTACGAGGATTATGTGCGCATGTGGCGGGGGCTCGACTCACCAATCGGCTCTTTTGGATGATTCTCATACTTCTTATCGGGCGTTTAGGTGCATCACATCTGGCTGCCAATACAGAGCCATGCGGCAGATACATAGGCGGATTCACAGCATATTCGACCGCATTAGTCCAGTACATCCCCAGTCCCGACGTTCTCAAAGATCTAGAGACATGGTGTGCTGTTCTGAAGAAACTCTACTGATATCATTAGTGTGTCTATGAGAGATTGTTGGGTAGTTTCAGGTTTGCCTCCATAAAGCGTAGGCTTAATAACTTACTAAGGGTAAATACACCCTCTGGATTATCGTGAAGTATAGCCAATCTTGTTTATTTCCTTATATTAAATATTTGTAGTAAAGAAAAAGTTTTTATTTAGTTAGCGCTGAAAGAATTAATATCTTTCATGGTTACATGGCCCAATGGCAAGGCGCTTGACTACGAATCAAGAGATTCCAGGTTCGACCCCTGGTGTGATCACACAAGATAGTTTCTTTTTGCATCATGATTATTGCAATGAAATTTTTTTTTTAGTATCTATCTGCTTTCCTTTCTACGCTTTATACTTTTCTTACATAAGGATAAAATATGAAGCATATGCACGCATGAAACGACGATATAAAGCGGACATACATGTAGTGGTCCAACTTTGATATAATCTGGCATCGTATTGTTTTGTGAGCGCTTGGAGTTCATATGATATGTCGTATTTTTGTAAAGGAGCCTTTGATTCATGCCTTTTGCGTTGGTGTCCCTAATATGTGTATAATATGTACTCATAAACTATCACTCGTGGCGAGGCCTTCACCCGTTTTATTTCCACGTCGCCTTTACGTCGGCTACATATTGTAATTCCCCAACACTACTACAACACACTTAGTGCCCGAAAAAAGAATGACTGCAAACACGGGAAGAAAACGCTTATCATATGAACCTGCGTGTTAAACTCCCAGTGCATGGTTCTCATAATGTCCCCACCGCACTTCTCTCCACTACATTCGCCTCTACCTCGAGTTTCAAAGCTCGTGGGCCTATTCTAGGCGTATCTTGCTTGGCCCCTTAAGCTTCCTGAGACTGGTAAGCTTTTTGCCATCACATAACAGGGAATATTTGGATGAGACTCGTTTTACTAATCTTGCCTCTTTTAGCTGACTACGACATGTAGGTGTCTGGTAATATGCACGCTCCCGCTGATATTCTGTCCCACCTTATTTAGGATTCTCCGATTTGGCCGGTTCCCAGCTAAACGTACTGTAAGGTACAGAATCCCTCCCTCGCGAAAAAGCAAGCAAAGGGAAGCACGAACGTTGTGTCTGATCTAGTTTGTGCAGTTACAGAGTGTGAGAACGATTACCTATTTATTTATTGATATTAATATTAGGGTATCAGTCAGCCTCAGCGAGAGTATCTTGTGTGGTAAGTTTCTGCATGAGGGGAAATGCAGTTTGAGGACATGCCTCATAAATGCACCTTGGAAGCGAGATCTGGCGTATCAGCTAGACTTTCTCTGGTTTGGTCTGCTACCTACGCGAGAAGCGAACGCCTTTGATTCCTGCCGAGTCGGCCTAGCGATAGATTACCGGTATATACTTACTTGCTAGGATCACAACTTTCCACTCTGCTCTACCTCTGTATTCCTCGAGATCGGAAAGGGAGATGTTCGAGAGTGCGGAAGCACGTTTCCAGACCACTTTCCTTCCATGCCCGAGTCGCAAAGTGTCCAGTGTCCCACCCCGCAAACCCACGAACTCCCCCTGTCGCCCGGAAGTGGCTCTCGTTGGTTGGTTGTTGGTGTTTGAGAGGGCGGCTACCACTATCAGGATACTGGAGAGGAGAGTCTCAGGATGGGGTTGGTTCCAAAAATAACCCCTTGCCCGCGCTGGCTTGCAGAAACCGAAGCGCCATCTGGCATCTCGACGTCTCCCCTTTTTTGCTTTTGGCAGCCTCATGCCCTACCTTCTGCTGAATGACTGGCTGCCCTACCATACTAGGACGTGGTGTAAGGGTATTAAGAAATTACTGGGTTCTTTTTTCGGAAACGAATCACCGATCAAGCTAGTCACAGTGGACTTTTATTTTTAATCTATTTTTAGATGTGCTATCCAGTCGGGAGTCCCCTGTGTGGTGGGAGTGGTGGTGGGTGGTGGGCCAAAGAATCAATCAGTGAGAGCGCCGCTGGTCCCTCTCTCACACTCACATCCTCTCTCTCTTCCTCTATCTCTCTTTTTTTTCTTCCCAACAGTCTGGATAACACTGCCCCCCGCTCTACCCCCCCTACGCGTAGGTACCTCATATACACGCCGAGTGCCCATTCTTTAACTACTTTCCTTTACCCCCCCTCCATTTGCCTCTCTCCCGCGTTGCGACTCAGCTCGCCGAAGGAGCTGCTTGCATCCAAGACCCCCACATACGGGTTGACGGGAATGGCTGTTTAGGAAACATCGGGGAGACATCAACAAATCCACAACATATCCTGGGGCAAGACGGACAATCACTACAGCTACTACTAACCACAGCAACTCAGTAACAATGGCATCGCCATATGCTTTTCAAAACCACCACCAGGCGTCTAGTCCAGCGAATGGAGCCTATACCCGCTATAACCCGGCCTTATACCCGGGCGGCCTCGGAGGTGGAGGAGGAGGAGGAGGAACAGGCGGAGTTGTGAGCGCGCCCACAGCCGCGACCACTCCGGCCACTGCGGTCGCATCGTATGGACCAAGACGGCCAAGCGTCAGTCCTAGCCCTATGAGAGGTCAGGCAGATATGGGTGAAGGCGGAGAATATAACCCGCAGAATTATGCACCAGTCGCGGGAAATGGTGGAGGATATGTTCCAAGACCGGCTGCTGGAGGAGACGGTACTGAACCTTTGTTTCCTAGTCAATCATTATTTTTATTCCTTTGATTCTTTTTCATTTTCTTTGTCTTGGAAATATTTTGTGTTTTCCTTTCTTTTTCTAGTTTTATGCATCTTATGCATATATTATCACTCGTTTCCCACTTTTAATCTTTGCATGCATAATCACCATGTCTCTTCTTTTGTGAGGTTCTATTGATTCGTATATGGATTATATTACATCCAGCTGACCCATATGAAAGCCCCCCCACCGCCATACTCCCCACCGCAGCCACAGAGTTCACGACAACATCTGAACCCCCGTCTACAGCTGAGCCCACCGCATCAGCGCCAGAACTCATGGCAATACAGCAATGGGAACACCCCAATATCGCCCGCTGCGCATGGCCACTCACCAATGATCACCCCCTCAACTGCCTCAACCCAAACATTCTCCCCCCTCTTCTCCCATGGCCCATCTGCAGTAAGTAGCGCCAACACAACCCCTCAATCTCCATATGCACCTCTTTTACAAGACCAGTCGGGTTGGAACAGCCCCTCGCCCCGGCGGCGGAACTACTCCCCCCCAACGCATCGGGAACCCCGCAAACCTACGCACCCTCCGGCCTCCAACAAGCCACCTACCCCTCCCCCGACGCCGCCGTCCCCCCCAGCCCCGTCGTCTCCCCGCGCTCTAGCTCCCGTGGCCCTAACGGCATCCCACCACCGCCCCCAGGACCCCCACCAATGCGCCGCGACACCTCCCCCATGCCGAGCCCCCCCGCACGCCGAACACAGAGCACGAGTAACGCAGCGGCCGTCATGCAGATGGGTATGGGTAGTGGGCTCCGCTCGCACTCGAACTCGCCGCACGACCGCGCGCAGCAGCATCCGCCAGCATCAACAAGAGCAGACTCACTCACGAGGATACCGCCCCCGCCGCCGGGACCGCCGCCAAGAGATAACTCGGTTCCGCGGGGCACCATGGCTCCAGGAGCGGTACGGGGCGATTCGCGCAGTCGCGGGAGTATACCGCCGCCGCCACCGGGGCCACCGCCTAGGAATGCGAGTGTGCCGAGACAGGGGCCGACGCAGGTGAGGTCAGTGTCGTCGCCGGTGCCGAATAGGATGCAGAGTAGGTCGCCGCCGCAGATAGGTAGGTTGAGTGCTGGGAATGGAAATGGGAGCTTTGAGGTTACGGCAGCGACGATATCGCCCGGTGCGACAACGACGAGTACGTCGCCGCCGCAGCCGCCACCGAAGCGCAAGATGGAGGGAGAGCAGGCGCCGTATAAGAAGAGCTCGCCGGGGCCGAGGGAGAGAGATGACGAGGAGGAGGCGGTGCCGCGTGACGAGAATAACAACCCGTGGAAGCAGAGCATGAACCCGCCCATCTCGAGCCCCACAAGTGAAGTTCACGGCCACGGGCGCAGAAACAGCGGACCGATCGCACCAAGGATCGACACATCTGCCGCCCCATTGATTGACTTTGAGCGCGACTCGACGCCGCAGTCGTCCTCAAGGGGCCCGCAGTTCTTCTCGCAGGTGCGCCGGAAACCGTTGAAATTCATCACGCCATCGCCTGTGACCGAGGAGCCGCCAAAGCAGCTGCCGACACCGCCGCCGGCGGGTGAGAGAGATGGCAGACGGACGCGGCCGGTGTCGCATCTGCTGCATATCCCGACGCCGACTGACACGCGGCTGCAGGCGCCGCTGCTAAAGGATGAGGAGGCGATGGACAGCTTTTATAACTCGGCGCTGGAGCGGCACCGCAAGATGATCAGGCAGGAGGCGGCGGCGCAGAACGACGAGAAGCGCGTGAAGCTGTGGATGGAGTTTGTGGTGCGCGAGTGCCAGTTGCGCGAGGAGCAGTATCCTGAGGCGGTCAAGAAGATGAAGGCGTCTATCGTTGCGCAGCTGGGGACGGCGTTTTCGGTGCCGGAGCGGACGCAGGAGTTGTCTCCGATTTCGCCGGTGTTGAGGGGTGGGGTGGACGGCGATGTGGAGATGGGGAACTCGGAGGAGGCGAACAGGAGGAAGAGGCCTGAGTCGCAGTGGTGGGGGCAGTACATCAAGAACGAGGCACGCAACAACAACCACCACAGCGACGAGCACAACGACCCAGCACTCGAGGCCAGGATCAGGGACGAGGAGTCTTCTCGCGGGAGGACTTCTTCACGATGGTGGGAGGCAAGTGTCGAGGGATCGCAGAGTGACTATCATGCGGTGCGCTCAGATGGCATGGGAGAGGACGAGTTTGGCTTTGGACGTGGAGGGCACCGGTATCCCCGCGCTGCCCGGGCATCTTTGAAGGAGATTGCAGAGAACGTTGCATCGACACCCCGCAACCACATGTTCCCCAGCGACTACGCGGGAAGCTCCGCCTATCCCCCGGACCGCAAATACTCACGCTCACGGTCCCGCCCTGCGCAGTCACGCACACGCTCCATGCCCCCACGGCCCGTCAAGACAAGCCTCGACATCGCACCGCTGCTGACGCTTCTCCCGCCCTTCCCGCGCGAGTACCCGGCCGTCAACAACTCGCACCCGCAACTCGCCGTGTTCCGCAACCTCGTCCGCACGCTCAATGACCTCTCGAGCGTCAACGCCGTCAAGCGTGACTTCAACGCGGCCTCCACGGCACGCAAGGAAACACTCGCCATGGAGGCCCACAAGCGCCGCACCCAGCACTCGGACTACATCCAGCAGCTCTACGCCTCCGACAGCGCCGCCAGCAACGGCCCCAGCAAGCGCTTCAGCTTCGGGCAGGTCGAGTCTCTCAACAGCGACTTCCAAGCCCGCGAAGACACAATCACCGCCGACTCCCTCCGTACCGAATTCGACCTCTTCCAAACCCGCGTCGTCGACCCCACGCACACAGACCTACAAGAACGCATCTCTGCCGCCTCAGCCGCCTATGCTGACCTCGTCCGCGAAATCAAGACCTCCGCCGACTCCTCCCACCATGGCACCACCCACCAGCAGGAAGGCAACGAGCTCCCCGAGCTCCTCGAGAAGCTAACATGCCTAAAGTGGCTCTTCGACGTGCGCGAGCAGCTGCACCGCGAGCTCTACGACCTCCTCGCCGAGCGCACCCGCCGCTACAAGGAGGTCGTCATCACGCCCTACTTTGTCACCCGGCAAGCCGACAAGATCCGCGAAGCCGAGGACTACTTCAACCGGGAAGAGGCCGCCCGCCGCACGACCGCGGACACCGAGTCGCTCGAGCGCTACGCGGGCTTCCTCGACGTCGTCGAGCACAACTGCATGAAGGGCGTCGAGGCGCAGATCTCGGCGTTCTGGGAGGTGGCGCCGCTCATCATGGAGAGCCTGGAGAATATCCCGCTGGATTTGACGAACGTGCACCCGATTGTGCCGCCAGAGGAGTTTCATGAGAACCCTGCGTACCTAAGGGAGCCGCTGAGGTATCTGTTGGCGAAGATACAGCAGGCGGAGAGGTCGGTGTATCAGTTTGTGGAGGGGCAGACGAACTTGTTGTGTCTGCTGCATGAGATCAAGACGCTGAATGTTGCGGCGGTATGGAAGGTGAAGGCGGCTGGGGACCAGAAGGTGCAGGATGAGGGGAGGGAGAGGGAGGCGGCGGTGCTGACGGAGGATCTGAAGGAGAAGGTGAAGATGTTGGAGAGTGAGTGGCATGAGAGTTTGGGGAAGCAGTGTGAGGAGATTAAAGAGCGCGTGGGGAGGTTTGTGGGGCCGGAGGTGGTGCCGACTACGCCTGTGGTGTAGTGCAGTGGAGAGTAGGAGACGGTGATGGTGATATGGTGATGGGTGTAAATGTCGTTCGGTCGTTCGTTCATGGGTACATATTTCATCTTGGGAAACTTTTTCTTTTTTGGTATTCAATTCTCTATTCCTTTTATTTATTTATTTACTTCTACCCTTTATTTCTATCTGCATTAGGGGATCTCTTTTTTTTTTTTCATTATAGCCATCAATCTAGCTTGGCTTGGGAATTTGAAAAGGGGAGAAGGGGGAGAAAAAAAACGTGGGAGGCTTAAATTGTATTTTACACTCGCTTTTTTTGTTATTATTTATTTTATTATCATCTTTTTTTATTTATTTTATTTGGGAAAGTGGGGGAGAAGGAGCCGGAGGGAGGGGGGATTAGATATTTTTTAGCATTGATGGCGCAACACTCGCTTGGTTGTTTTTTTCTGCTTTTTTCGTTTTCGTTTCATAGCTTTTTTTTATTACCAGGAGTTGGGATGGAATATGTAACTACATGTATGTGGTACGATACCCACTTTTTTTCTTTTTTCTTCTTCCTCTTCTTTTCCTTCTGAACTGCATTGTATGCAGCAGAGGGTTAGCTTCTTGTTTTTTCTTTTTCTTCTTTTTTCTTCAGAGGAGAAAATGAAATGTCCTCAATCTGTCGTTGGTACGGCGGGTGGTGGGGGTGTTATGTTTGTTTCAAAGGCCTAGGGTACTGTTTGTTTATGAGTGCTTCTGGAAAGTTGGTAGCCGGTCCGTTCATGAAGGAAACATTTTTATTTCTCTGGCCGTCTGTCTATCCATCCATATTCCATATTCCATAACCAGAGAGAGAGGAGTGACATCTGCAAAAACGTAATTGAGCATCCGTCCCACATCACGACTGCATGTCCCTTGAGTTCTTGAGTTCTTGAGCTTTCTCGACTTTCCCTTTCCACACACTAAATTGGTGGGGTAAGCTGTCACGTGAGCATGCTAGCCGTGTTGCGTTAGGCCAGCGACGGATAAGCACAGGTGCCAGCCAGATAAACTTTGCAGACACCTGCAGCGAGGAAAAAGAAAAGTGACAAGCAGGAGAGAGAGAAAAAAAAACCGGGGAAAACTTAGCCTGCATACATGTACTCATCCCTCATCCCTCATCCTTCATCCCCTCACTCTCCGAGCAGTGGTGGTATTTAAGGGTCCTCTTCCTCTTCGGTCCTGCGTGTTTCGTTCTTTGTCTAAGCTCCTCTGTACCTGTGGCCTGGTGTTTGCTGTCGGCTTTCATAACTGTAGACTCTTTCTTTACCTACTTACCTATTATATACTTTTCATATAGCTACCTACTCATTCATATAGCTACATATTCACCTCACCCCACAGCACAGCTCTCCACGATGCCCCCTGCAACAACAACACCCGACGTCCAGGAAGACACCACGCAATTCCTCTCCTCGACCGCCGACAAGCTCTTTGCCTCCCTACGCATCAATGACACCCCTCCGCAGCTGCCCAAGCACGACATTGCCCCCCCGCGCCTCACCGCACTAACACCAGTCACGAGCCGCCCGGGAAGTCCGTACATGCAGCAGCCACCCGTCGACTACGATGGCCTCTCGTGGCCGAGTATGTCCCCCCCACTCACTCTAGGAGGGAGGGAGCTACAGCAGCTAACAGCGAGAAGGTGTTGGTGCCAAAAAGCGCCTCGAAGCAACCCCCGAAGAGAAGGCTGAGCGCCTTGAAAAGCTCTCCGGCGCGTGAGTACTCCGCCCTCCTACCCCTACCCCTACCCCTCCCCCTCACTCTGGAGCTCCACTAATAGCGAACCAGGATCCGCACCCTCCTCGAATGCATCGGCGAAGACCCAACCCGCGAAGGCCTCCTCGAGACACCAGCCCGCTACGCAAAGGCAATGCTGCACTTCACCAAGGGCTACGAGGAGAACCTGCACACAATCATCAACAACGCCGTCTTCACCGAGGACCACGACGAGCTCGTCATCGTCAAGGACATTGAGATCTTCAGCATGTGCGAGCACCACCTCGTCCCCTTCACGGGCCGCATGCACATTGGATACATCCCCTCCCGCAAGGTCCTGGGGCTCAGCAAGTTTGCGCGGATCGCCGAGATGTTTGCGCGCAGGCTGCAGCTGCAGGAGAGGCTGACAAAGCAGGTGGCGATGGCGGTGGAGGAGATTCTGAGGCCCCAGGGCGTGGCAGTGGTGATGGAGAGTAGCCATTTGTGTATGGTCATGAGGGGCGTGGAGAAGACGTCGGCGACGACGGTGACGAGTTGTATGACGGGCATCTTTAGGAGGAGTACGAGGACGAGGGAGGAGTTTATGCATTTGGTGGGCAGTCGCAGGTAGGGTGCCTTTGTGGTGGTGGTGGTGGTCAAGGAGGTGGAATTGTAGATGGCGCTGGTTGGAATCGTTAGTGCAACATTCTGGCTGGCCGAAGGCTACGGGGGGGTCTTGTGTTTGTTTTTTGTTTCCTTTCATTGTCTCTTTTGATCTCAGCTTGTCATAGTAGTAGTTAGCTTCTTCCAGATCTTTGTCTGCCTCACTGCCGGTGGCGGTAAAAAGTCGGTGTCTGGGTATTTTTTTTTCTTCTTCTTCATTTCCTTCTTTTTTCCCCCGGGGTCGTGCCGGCGGGAGAGTAGTTAAGATGTAGGTGCAGATATACCGCACAATAAACCAATCGCGATTACGGTCGTTTTAGAGTTATCAGAACATTTGCTGGTATTGGCAGTTTCCTGAGACTATGCTTTTTGTGGAGTGTGGGGGAGGAAGAAAAATGTCGGTGGTGTAAAGGGCGAGTGATAGTGTATGATCCATCCGTCCAGGCAACACCGGTACAGTAAGTAGTGACGGTGCCTCCACTACTCTCTTCTCTGTACTCCCACTTTGTACTAGCGTTACAGCTCTGGCAGCTGCGGATCTTTGTATTTTTCTTACTTTGACTGGTAGAGGTTTGGACAGGCTTTAGGGATACAAGTACTGCAAAAATTAGAAATAGCTGCCCTCCAGATTATCCTGCCCCTCCGGCTGTGGTGCTCCCCCATCATTAGTCACTCCAGTGTAAAATCGTTACTGGTTTCACTAAAAAATCATACTAGAGGATCGTTGTCCCAGGGTTCGAATATCCTGCCCCTACTAAGCTGCCCCCCCAATCATCAAGCGCGGGCACACCAACGTCAACACACCGTTCCCATATAATCGTATTAGGAAAATACACACCATCTACCGCCGTAGCCCAGTTGCTATGGTGTCGCCCAGAGGGGCCGAGGTCGGTGGTTTGGATCGCCTATGTATACGTACCTCCCAGGCTTGGTGGAAACACTGTGTGACTGGGTCGAAAAGAGCAGCGCGCAGAGCCTCTATTTTGTTGTTTCTTTGACCTTGGAACGAACGGGATTTCTTTTTTTTTTTTAAAAAAAAATATTGTGTTGTGTTTGGATTGTGGCTAATTTTAAGGGAGGATACATAGTCCTGTATCTAGGAAGAGAGGGTATCGTGGTTAAAGAGACATGGGGGTATAACATAAGGCTACAAATGGAATGCGGCCTCCGGCCGAAATTCTCTAAAGCTTAAACTATCCAATCTATGCAACGTTGGGTCTATCTACGAGATCAACGGTCAGTGCAAACTACCAACCTATGAATTTAGATGGTACACATGTCGCATCCCTTCCGAACTCGGGAGTTGCTCTTTGCCCGTTACACATAGCAGTCCTGGTAGAAGAAAAGCAACCAATGATAATGCTTCCTGACCACAACGAGGATTATACTATTTATAAATAGATGACGGGATATTCGTTATGGGTTGTGGGTCGCGGGAAGGCTTGCTGTTGAAAATGTGGGACGAGATAGGTAAGTGACTTGATTCTTGTAGTCGTGGGTCGGACAAGTGTCGACATTGTAGTGACAGCTGTCGAGATGACAGGTTCGGACAGCTCGCCTGTACGGGTCCGACATCGTTTGAAAAGCCAAGTTTCCAAGTGGGGCAAATCGAGTGATGTAGTATGATCCGCTGTGCGGTGCATGAGATTTCGTCGGGGCCATCTGGGCTTGGGGGCTGGGTAGCTACCCAGTGCCATCTGGCTATGTCTGTCGCTGAATAGAGTATATTTTGCTTGCTTTACACTCGTTTTGTAGCCTTCGTATGGTCTTCTAGGTGTACGAGTAATGGTATGTGACCCCATCACATCGCCTGTGCATTCTCTTTGGACAACAATCCCCTCTTCGAGATGTGCAACTATCATTTGTCTCTGCCTCTTTTTAAGAATCTGCTGCGCTCTTCTCCCCCACCGCGACGTCCTCTTCATATATACCGGAGTGCCATCTTCTACGTCTAGTATCAAAAGAGAAGGGTTTTGTACTCATTACTTCCGGTATTACTATTGGCTTTTTATCATTTGTTGATTGGCTGTTAGTTTTTTGCTTCCTTGGTCTCGAGTTTGGGAGATCTAAGCCTCTTTCGCGGGGCGGGATTTGGTGCGAAGCTTGGCGCGAGTGATGGGGTGTGATTCTAACCTCCGCGTACGGAGTGGGCTTGAACTTAGTGTGATTCGAGGTAGGGGCGGCGAGAATCCTTTCTTCTGAATGATGGTTAGCGGTGAGGTGGGCTATGAGTTATAAAGGATGAATTCGAAGCAGAATCTTTCTCTGTGGTAGTGAAGTGGTCTGTTTAGAACACGTAGGCGTAAATAGGAGGGACCATTTTCTACGCGGCAGATACATTAGGGCTAAATCTAAGGTAGAGCCTGTTTTTGGCCACTACCTCTTGGCCTACACTGGATACCTTGATTCTGTTATCCTTGGCACCAGGGACGCGCTCGCTATAAAAGGCGTTACTTTTCTTCTCCTCGTCCGCTTCCTTTCTCTTTACATCCGCCACTATTCCCAGTTTCTGCTTTACCCCGCTATTTCTTTTACCCCCTCCCCAACTCCTTCCCCTCACTCCCCATTTCCACCGCCCCCCACATTACTTTCCCCAAATACCTCATCCCTTCCCTGTCCCCTTATGATTTCCCCTCTTCCCCGCAGCCAGCTTCTTTCGGGAGGATGTTTTCTCGGCTTTTTGTTAGGGACCCCAGAGAGGGTATGCTGCCAGGTGAATGACGGCTATTGTTATAAGCCTAAGCAACATACTCACTCTGGGGTGCCGGAATAACAAAAAGTCGATGTAAATGCTCTCCCGGAAGGTGTCGGAATGCATTTCTAGGCAAGTGTTTCACTTAGTTGTAGATTTAAATAGTCCTGTATCTCCGGAGTGTAGCGATGTGCACGATACAAGATGAAATTCTTGTTACATGTAGTTTGTGGTTGCTGGTGCGTAGGGGTCGGTCTTTCCCAAGTCTCGTGACATTGTGGCCACAGATAGTGTTTTCCCGCTCAAAGCGGCCTTGGATGCTGGAAAAAAATTTCGTCTCGTCTTGCCAAAGTCCCGAAGCAAAGTCTCGCTAGGTTTTGCCTTTCCATCGGCATGCCTAGGTGAGAGTAGCTTCTCTTCCAGCTCTGTTTGTGGGTTACCTGTAGTTGGCTCACCCCCCCTTGATTTCCCCCACTCCTCCCCCGCCGGCTTCTTGAACTTGTAATCGAGAGCCGTTAGACCAGCAAATCCGTTCTCAGCGGTGTTCCAGCGTGGTCAGGTTGAAGCCACTCTTGTAGATTCGGGCTAGCTCCCAACTGACCGAGCGCCTGGACGGCAGTAGCCTATTACACTCGTTCAAGGGGGCTCAGAGTAGATTATTTACCATCCAAGCATCTTTAACAACATCGTGGCGTGGTCGAGGGGTAATAGCCTCTACTACGTTGCATGACATCTCTGGTTCGACCCAGGATGGAAGCAGAGATGAAGAATGCCCAACATGGTAGCGACGCTCTTGAGGGATGATACTCATCACGTAAGTCTTTTGTTGCTCGGTTTTTCTTCTCTATTCTTTCTTCTTTGCTTTTTGTACCTACTATACAGCAAGCGTATCCATCACTAATAACAATACAATGGTCCAGGGAGTGGGATGACTTTGGTGGCCAGGTCAGGCCAGACCAGTACGTTTTAGATTTACACACCTCGCTGTCTGTGTCACGCTGTCACGCTGACATACGTGAGAAGCCCGGGGGTACATACAAGACAATACACAGATCATACCCCAACGAGACCTGGGTGATTTCGGTAGGAGATAAAGATACAGGGCCATCAAGTATTGCTTTCAAAACTCTGGCGACTCGGGGTCCTTATCGCAGACTTCGAGCCAAGTCTTGGCACGAGTGATAGTATGTGATCAACCACTTATCACTCTCTCAACCTAACACTAGAAACACCACCCATGGCCACCATCACACCCCGCGAAAAAAAGAAAAGAAAGAAAAAAAGACAATAACCAAAAGAAAAAATCTCTATATACTCACTACATACAAAACCAATCCCAAACCTCAACACCTTCCTGCCCATCACTCCTCCTCCAACCTCTCCTCCTTCTCCCCCACCCCCTCCAACGCATTCAGCCCCTCCTCCCTACCATTCAGCCCCCGAAAGCACACCCAGAACAGCGCGCCCGCGACCGCCGTCGCCACCGACAGCCCCGTGTACATCCACACCAGCTTCGGGTCCTCTGCGGTCGGCGACAGCGCGATCCCGATCGCGCTCCCGAGCGCACTTGTGAGTAGGAACATGCTCATGACGAAGGACTTCATGGCCGGTGGGCTTTGGTGTAGGCGTATTCGAGGCCGGTGATGGAGGCGAAGATCTCGCTGAGGCCGATGAAGAGGTAGCCCGGTGTTTGGACGGCGACGTGGACTTTGTTGGGGACGGTGCAGGGGGTGAGGGGGGTGGTGTAGCAGGGGGGGGAGGTGTAGATTACTAGGGGAGGGGTGGTTAGTATTATGGGGAGTTGGAAGGGGAGGGGGGCTTACTGTGCTGGACGATTGCGGCGTAGGCCATGGAGAGGGAGGCGAGGAGGAAGCCGACGGTGATGCGCGAGATGGGGCGGAAGGGGATGTTGAGGCGGCGCAGGAGCGGGTAGAGGAGCTGGTCCACGATGGGGACGAAGATGATGATTGTGAGGGGGTCGATGCTGGAGCATGTGGGTTAGTTCTCTCTACCTTCCTAATATCTACCAGATCGCAGTATCGCTGCTGGAGAGTATTTTTTGGGATGTGGATATTTTGGGGGGTAATGATACTTTTGCATGATATCGTTCGGGATACCGTGGGTCTCCATAGTTCCAGCTTGTCTGTAGAGGCGTTAGAAATGGCTGTAGAGAAGGTATACAGGGTCGATGATACTCACGAGATGAAGTTGTTCGTCATCTGGCCATAGACAATCCAGTATATCTAGATACACACACTCACTCACTCACCGGTCAGCACTCGCACCCTTCAATCACAACCCATCACTCGTCCACACCACGCACCGGAAAAAAGATACTACAACACACACACACATTAGCTCCCTCACTAACACCAAGAAGATAGAGAAAAAAAACTCACAACACCCGACACGCCACCAACGCCCTCTTCAGCTCCTCCACAAACAGATCCGTCCACGGCAGCGCCTGCGTAACGCCATACTCCTCGCGATACGCCGACTTTGCAGCGTCCATGTTGCCGCGGCCGTGCTTGAGCCCGATCCACATGGCCTTGAAGGCGTCGGTGATGACGGAGCCCTGCGGTGGGCGCACGACGTAGTACTTGCGGCCGAGGAGGAGCGCGCCGACGCCGACAAAGAAGACGAGGAAGGGGAGCAGGTAGGCTGTGGTATGTTTTTTCTGTGTGAGTCTTTTGTGTGGAGGAGAGGGAGGTGAAGGGGAAGGGAAGGGGGGTTAGGTACCGGCCCAGAAGTCGACGTGCTGCTCGAGCTCTGTGGTCGCTATGCTGCTGAGCGAGCCGACGTTGATGCACATGTAGAAGATCATATAACTGCCCACCCGCACCACACCCTTCATCAGCACCCTCCCCATACCACCACCACCACCACCACCATCAAGAACAAAAAACCTACATGCTCTGAATCGTGACCGCCGGATCCACCACGACCCTCTCGCCCCCCTTCAAAGTCCTCACCTTCATCCTCGTCTCGCGATACTGCTCCGCAATCAGCGGGCTCACATTACTCTTAATCCCGCCCGTGCCCAATCCAATCACAATCATCGCCGCCACAAGCCCTCCCAATGCCGCGCCGCTCTCAATCGCAAACGGCAGCGACGTCACGAAAAGGATCAGCAGCCCCGCAATGTACACGCACGCAAAGAGCAGGATCGTGTTGTACTTGCCCATGTATTGGTCGGCGATGATGGCGCCGAGGATGGGCGTTACATAGCACCCTGCGCGCGGGGGGGGTTAGTGGTCAATGATCCCAATATTGGCAACAAAAATGTAGACTTCATGGTGGTGGAGTACTTACAGAACTGGAAGAAATACGACAGCCCCGTCGCGCCCTTCTGTCCCAGCCCGATCGCACCCGGGCGTAACGGGTCGTCACGGGCATTCTGCATATAATTCTCTACAACCCCACACCCCCCCTCAAATCAGCACCCACCACTACCCCCGTCTCCCAATTCACGCCCCCAGACCCCAGATAGAAAAATACGTACGAAAAGGCCCCGAAATGCCATAATAGCTAAACCTCTCTGCGAGCTCCACCACGGCCACAAACCACGCCGAGATTGGCAGCTTATCCGCCACATGCCGCAGCGTCGCCTTCTCGTGCTCTGTTGGCTCTTCGCCGTCCTCCGTGGGTGTTTCTGGGTTGGCGGTGGCGGGGTTGTAGGCGGGCGGCGGTGGTGGGGAGAGAGCGGTGGTGGTGGCGTGGCTGGCGGTGGTGTGAGTTTTGGGCGTTCTACTGTTTTGGGGGGGGGGGGGGCTTACGAAGAGGTGGCTTTGGGCTCCATGGCGGGGTGTCTAAACACTGTTCAACGTTCAATGTTTAATATGGGAGTTGAACCTGAAGCCCTGCGCTGGCTGACTGGCTGGATATAGGATCTAGAAACAGAGAAGGAAGGGTGTGGGTGCAGCACAGGTTTCTTCCACCAGATGGATAGATGGGGGCGGGCGGGTGGGAAGTTATATCATGATATCCTCCTCCTCCTCTCTCTCCCGCAGTTTTATCTATCTACTCTACTCTAAATCTACTCCACAATACGCAATACGGCACCCCCGAATCCCCTACCAATACCTCCTCTCACCTTCCATTTCCAATTCCTACTCTACTCCCAATCCCAATCCCTCATCTTCAACTTCACCCTCGGCACCCAGATACCCAGATACCCACTACTTAGTAGGTACCTAGGTAGTATGTACACGCACATGAAATACCGATACCGATACCGACAGCACCTATCAAAATGCTTGACACACCCGCCAAACCCTCCCCCAAAAACCCCCCTAGCACCGCACTCCACTCCACAATCTCCCCAACCGTTTTACGTCACAACAACTCCCACCACCCTCTCCGTATCTAGAATACAGTCGCACCTCTTATGTCGTTAGCGTATTCTAGGAGCCAAACCCCTACGAGATAGCAAATATACGAGACAGCAAATAGCTTTTGGTGGAGAAGGGCAGTACCTGTCCCGCAAATTCGTACGAGACAGTGAGAGATCCGAGATATCGAATTACGAGATATCGAGGTGCGACTGTAGAGTAGTGCCGGACCTGACCGCCCAGAAACATCCCAAAAGCCACCCGCGGGGCAAGCGTCTACTCTAGTCAAGCATTCGGGTATCACGGCATTACATATGTAGTAGCGGAACACGGCGAAATGCTTGTTTCGTCCTCTCCTTCCCTTCCTTTGTCCGCAGCCGAGGCACCTCGCTGTGGGTCTACATATGTATGGCGTTGCTTTTCTCCGCGGGTAGACCAGAGGGTGGATTTTAGTAGTAGTGAGTAGTGTAGTGTAGAATTAGTTGCTCTCGCGATCCTTACCACCCCAGGGCACGCCAGGGTTAGGGTTTGTCACAGAAACGGGTTCCTGGATGCATGCACCGGCCCAGGAACCGGGAAAGCATTACAGGGGTGGCGAGAGTGGTAGTAGCGCACGTGCCACTCTCTACTCCATACATAGATCTGTTATCGATATCATCCACAGCTATTATAATACGATACGATACGATACGATACGGTACTCATGCGCGCCATATTGCATACCCGACGTGCTGCATAAGGATTCATGATATTACCACTACAATCCCAACCCTCAAGCAAGCAAGCTCAAGCCACAAACGTAACCGTCTTCGTCGTCAAAAACTCATCGAGCCCATAGCTGCCCCCAAACCTGCCAAACCCACTCTCCTTCCGCCCGCCATGCGGCAGATGCGGTTCGTCGTGGACAGTCATGCCATTGATATGCACAGCCCTACACCCACACCCACCCGTCAGCCAAAACCCAAAACCAAAACCAAAACCAAAACCAAAACCAAAATCAAAGAACGCATATATAAAGAGCCCAACACTCACCCCACCTCAATCCTTCTCGCCACCCTCAGCGCCCTCCCCACATCCGCCGACCACAGCGCCGAATGCAGCCCATACTCCGTCCCATTCGCCAGGCTCACCGCCTCCTCCTCCGTCTCAAACGCAATCAGGCTGACCACGGGCCCAAAGCTCTCCGTGGCATATATGTCCATCTCCCTCGTGACGCCGCGGATCACGGTGTTCGGGTATGTCCCCGGGTTGGCTGCGATGCTGGTGGCATGGTGCTCAGCGTCGACGATGGTAGCGCCCTGCTGGACGGCCGATGCGACGAGGGCGGACACTTTCGCGTGGGCGCCGGGCAGCACGAAGGGCTGGTTGCTGGGGAAGGCGCGGGCGGCTTTGGAGAGTGCTGCTGAGAAGCGGTCGAGGAGGGAGGTGTGGACGATGACGTTTTCGGTGGCCATGCAGATCTGGCCGGCCTGTGGTGAGAGGAGAGGTGTGGGTCAATATCTTGCCCACCACTACTACTACGGCGGTATAAAAGGAAGAGGGAAAAGGAGATGGATACACACATGCAGATACCCCGCAAACACCGCCGCCTCCGCCGCCCTCTCGACATCCGCGTCCTCAAACACGATAAACGGCGCCTTCCCACCCAGCTCCAGCATCAGCGGCTTCAGGTGCTCGCCGGCCTTTGCGGCAATCTTGCGCCCGACGGCGGTGCTCCCCGTGAAGTTGATCTTGCGCACGTCGCGCTGCGCAATCAGCGCATTCGTGATCTCGGGCCCGTCCTCACGCGTGCTGCCAATGACATTTAGGGCCCCCGGAGGAAGCCCGGCTTCGACAAACATGGAGGCTAGGAGGTAGTGGGTGCGCGGTGAGAGCTCGGAGGACTTGAAGATTACGGTGTTGCCGGCGGCGAGAGGGAAGAGGATACCGCGCATTGCGAGGATGATGGGCGCATTCCTGGCGCAGTTAGCTTGTGTGTGCGGGCTGGTAATCCGGAACCCCTTCTTACCAAGGCGCAATTGCCAGCACAACGCCATACGGCTCCCTATACACCATCGCCGTGCGCCCTTCACACCGTCAACAAAAAAAAAAACCCACCCTCACAACCCCAAAAAACCACAAAACCCACCTTCATCCGCACTCTCCGGCAGCCGCCCCTCAATACTCGTCAACCTCCCCGCCACCTCCTTCACAAAGCCCACACTCGTATGTATATTAAACTTTGCCCACGGCTCCTGCGCCGCCGTCTCGGTGCACATACACTCCGTCAGCTCGCCGCCGCGGCGCTCCAGGATGTCTGCAAACTTGAAGAGCAGGTCCCGGCGCTCCACGAGCTTCTTTCCGGACCAGACGGGGAAGGCGGCCGCCGCAGAGGCGGTGACGAGCTCAACGTCCTTTAGCGACGCCGCCGAGGCCCGCCAGAGGATGTCGCTGGGAGAGGCAGGGTTGTGCACCGCAAAGGTCTTGGCCGTGGTGTGCGGGGCATTATCGAGCAGGAGCGGGGTGACATAGGAGCTGTCGGTGCTGATTGGGCGCACGGCGACCCGTGACCGTGACATGGCAAGAAGCCCGCTAGGGCGGAGAGGGCGGGGGCGGAAGAGTCGCAGCATGGTAGTGGTGGAGGTAAAAAGGCGGTGTTGGAAAAAAAAAACTCTGTGGAGGTACAGGTACAGGTACCGTAGGTGAGTTGCTTGTACTCCTCCGGATGACGTTGTTGGATACTGCCAAGAATTGCGGAGAAGAGAGAGCTCCTGTGTAATCACGAGACCGAGGCGATGCAGCTAAGTGCTAGCCCCGGAGCGTGGTGACCGTTGTGGGAAACTCGGGGGGGGCTGCGTGAGGGGCGTGATTGGGCAGGTTTCGCAGAGGGGCTCGGAGACACATCGTGTTGGGGCTAGGCAAGGTTAGATGGTGAGGTGCTGGGGGATCTGGAGTGCGGTATCGATAAGCCTTTGATTGGTTTCAGGCAGTGGGAGAGAAGTTAAAACATCGTCCACGAGATCTCGGGGGTGAGTGGAGTATGTAGAACAGGCAGAACAGAGCATGTCGAGCAGAGAGATGCTGCACAGAGAGATGCTGCACAGAGCAGGCAGGTGAAAGTCGATGGCCCCACTACGCCATAGACCTCGTGGCCAGAAGAGTGTCTGTCTGTAAGTAACTGCCAAACAAACAAACAAACCCAGATCGGAGCAACGAGAAAGTGCACTTTCCCAATTGGCAATTAGTTGACTGGAGTCAACAGGACTCAACACTGTTGACCAATCACAACGCACTCCCTCGCTAAGACCCAGGGCTCCGTTTGGCAGGCAAGCAGGCAGGCAAACACCACATCACATGCCATCACTCGTCCATCTTACCCGCATTCTCTTATATTATTTACCCGTTTTCTCCAGCGGGAGAATTAAAGGGTCTCTCTACTCTACCTTGCACCTTCCCTCCCCCAGATTTCCCACATTCCCACATCCTCACCTAATCTAACCCCGCACTTTCCCGGTAACTACATACAATATACTCTAGGTATGTAGTCAGCCAATATCTTACCGGTGAGCTGGCGGTTGGTACATACATGCTCGGGAGAATTATAAAGTATATTGCAGCGGGCAGTTACTGCATCGAGGTCGATTCGATTCGATTCGTTGGCTGGCTGGCTGGCTGACGGCTGACATATATTACTGGTGAGGCGTATTAGTAGAATGTCAGGATAAAATCTTGTTGTGGTACTTTCCGTAAAGTATTGTAAGTCTTGTCCATGTACGTAGAGTATGAGGGGGGGCATCATGACTACATGTAGGTACCTACATGTACATTACATGTGAGAGCGGATAGGATAGGAGTGCAAGGAGGGGCAGAGAGAGATAGGATGGGATGGGATAGGGCAGAGGGGAAAGGCAGGGGACACTTAGGAGGGGCAATTCAGTTCAAGCTTCTCTACGCGTGCGGTCTGTACCTACAAATGGGTACTTTTCGCCCGCCGATCATCCCTCTCTTGTGCAACTGTGCCTACATTTTGCAGTTGCAGCAGTCGCAGCCAATTGCGGGGTACATGGATCTACAAAACCCAGTACCACCACGTACTAATAGGTAATTTATATATATTGATTCTTGTGCAACACACACGGCAAGGTAGAAAATTTCTCATTAATTTTGGTTTTTCCTGGTTTTTCAAATGTTGCCGTTCGTGAGATACATCTTGCGTAATATACAGGAAAAAAAAGGATTTGATTGACAAAGGGAAAAGTAAAGGGCCTGAATGAACGGACGGCTCATGATGATGTGATGCAGAGCTCTAAGACACTGGTATTAACGGAAAGGAAAAACAAAAACAAATAAACTCCAGCCCAGAACCGAGGCGTTAAATATGCCTATTCAGAATGTTGTTGTGTAGATGAAGTGAAAAAAAAGGAAGGCTAAAATGGCGGACAAATATCTCACTCTTTACACTCCTCTCTTAGTAACCGCAGCGGTTGGCTGTTTTGGGGAGAAGTGTTAGTATATGGCTTGAGCTGTGCAAGTAGGGGAAGAGTATGGCGGAAATGGCATACCATATCGCTGGGTCAATGGCTGCGGGAACAAGCCGTTGGCCAAAAGATCCTTCATGTCCCAGTCGGGGGCACCCTCAGTCTTCCAGGTCCAAAAGAACCATCCGGCATTTCGCTCGTAAGCATCCAATTGCGCCTCAATGCTATTCCTTGTTAGCTCATCTCCCCTCCATCAAAAGAAAATCAAGCAATTCCGGGAATCCCTACTAAGCCCTAGTATTTGCCTTCTCCTCCGCCGAGTATGCCGCAACCGAGCCGGAATACCTGTTTCCACAGGCACCAAAGTACTGCGACCCTCCGAAGTTGCCCTCCCACCTGGCACCGCGACCCACACCGTTGAGGTACTTTGTGCAGTCGGTCCTTGCGGCCGACCATTCGCCAACGACGGTCCACTTGTCGGTGGTGCGGATGTTGTTGCCGACACCGCAGGCGGCACCGACGTGGGCGTTGATGTCGCGGGAGAGCTCACCCGGGCTAAAGACCTGGTAGGTGTGCGTGTCGAGGATCACATTGTTGAAGCCGGAAGTCATGAAGCCGTTCCATGAGTTTGGATCGAAGAAGCCGTCACCGATGACGACGGCGACGTCTGGGCTGCTGTCGCGGACGGTGCCCCAGCCATCGTACCAGTATTGCTCGATTTTGCTCCTGCTAAGGTTAGGGCCGAGGGCTGTTTGAGTAGTTTGTCAGTTCACTGAGGCATTATATAGACTCTATATGGTTGTTTGGCGGAATTAAGTAACATACGTTCGTTGAGGAGCTCAATGGCCGTGACAACATCGTTGTATGAGCTCTGCGCATAACGTTGAGAGAGCGTCCTGATGACCTCGACGGTTAGCTGCTGGTTGTTCCCCGTCTGCCACTCAAGGTGGTCGCGGTATCCAGAGTTGTCGAAACCGTTCTGCGAGCCGGGGGCTAGGAAGAATTATACTCATATCAGACACAACCCCTCATCACATTAAAACGCCGAGTTAATAAACTACTACTCACCACCATGCAAGTCAATCCAGACCTTGAGTCCCGCAGCCCTCGCCCATCCAATAGCGCGATCGAGGATATCCAGCTGTCCGCTGACAAACGGGTCGCCGTCCCGCATCCGCACGGCCCAGTATCCGATCGGAATTCGGACATGGTTCAGGCCCGCAGCGGCGATCTGGTAGAAGTCGTCGGCGGTGATGAAATTACTGTGGAAGGGGTGCGGTTAGTAAGAGGATCCGGAGGGTGGGGAGGGGACAATGAGGGAAAACATACTTCCAGTGGTTGCTGAGCTTGCCGTAGCAGGCGTCTTTGCCAATGTATTGGCATAGCGTCCATTCGTCCACGGCGCCGGGGACGGAGTCGTAGATGGAGGGTGTGATCCATGCTGTATGAAAAAAAGAGAGATCATGTTAGAAAGACGCGGAAAGAGATGAGGGTTAGTTGTAATTGCTTACGCTCAGTTAAAAGCCATCCACCAAGGTTGACACCACGGACTTTGACGCCACCATAGTTGAAGGTAAGTGCCCTCTTCTCGATGTTTTCCTTATTGCTGTGCATAATAAACAAAATCAGTAACCATAAATAATTTCTACCTCTCAGCCAAAACCAAGAAGATTGTTTCCACATACAGAGCAGCAGATTGGGTACCAGCAACCAACAAGGCCGCGGCCGCAAGGCAGAGGCGTTTTGCGTTGAACACCATTGTTGATTATATTAGATATTTCCGAAATTAGAAGAAGCTGAATTAAAGGCAAATATGTTTTGACCCGGGTACTGAGGCTAGCTGTAGATATACCTTTGCTCTCCACACAAGAATGGGGGCCCCCTTACCCACTTTATACTTGTGGGGGAGGGTACCAAGTACTTTAGAGCATGTAGTACCCACTCACTAGTACTACAGGCAGAGTAGGTAGAGTGATACAACCCCATTGCGTTCTATTCAATGAACCCAGGGTTTTTTCTTTTCTAGAGCACCCTCCAATAATGATAATGCGTTCCTGGGTCAGGCAGGCAGGGGATCTGCAGTGCAGTGTGCATCGGGGCAGCAAAGGCACTCTAGGAAATCCTGCTCCGGCGTGTGACTGGGTTTGACTGTAAACTTGATCCAATACCAATGACAGAGATTGCCCATGGGACCTGTAAAAGTTCCAGGACCGAGGTAGAGCACATACTATTTTTCCCCAGAAGGAAACATTTTGAGTTATGCCTGTTGATATGACGGACTGGGGTCATCCAAGAGTACTATTAGAGTAACTCTCTTGCCAACTCATCTAGTAGAGTAGGTACAGTGGCCGTCCCATTACGGCATTACGGAAGTCCGCCTTTCGTCCTTTCTGCATGCAAACCAAACCACCCCCCTCCTTCCCATGGAATTCCGTTCTTGTATGAGTTTCTTTAGAGTAAAGACCCCTGCCCTGCCCTACCCACCTTGTCACCGCGGATATACGCGAGAGCTACTATGGTTTTGGCAGTGTTGATCTCAACTTTAAAAAGCAGGGTAAATGAGGCTCTGATGCTTGGTGCAATGGTCTTAAAACAGAGTTGCGCTGAGGTTGATTGTGTGGGTTGGGTGGTCAGATCATGCATGCCATGACGAGGGAATCAAACGCAGCAGCTCTTTACGGTAGAGTAGAATAAAAGCGGACAGGGTGCGTTTGTCTTCTGCATTGGGAAACCTCGAAAGAGAGATAAAGTCTACTGCCTACTAGTGACTACATGTCACTACATGTACTGCTTACTGCCTACTCTAGAGTATTATCGGCTGAACTTGATACATTGTATCTCAGGGGTCTGATTCGATCTGGTACATACATATCTGTACTCTAGAGTACATCCTTCGTGCTTCTGAACACTACATCTAATCAAGAAAGCAGAAGCACAAAAAACAACCAGCCGTACCGGATTAACTCTGCCCGCTCCACTCGAGAGTAAGCAGAACTACAACTGCGCACCTATTTACTCTACTCCCATGTACCTACAAGATACATGTACCTATGTTATGTTATGTATGTACGCATTCTACCATCAGAAAGCCAATGACGGCATCCTAGTCACTATCAAAGACATGACTCTGATGATCCTGACGTGGACACATTTGGATTGCACATGAAAGCTGAGCAGAAGAAACGCCATGCCCCCCGAAAAGGTCCAAATATATCTATCTAGGTGTTTTAAGTTTTTCCGATAGCGGTCGGACGGGTCGGTGTACTCTGATGGAAATGGAAACCCAGACACCACAAGCATCGAGCTCAATGCAGATGAGCACCGAAGTAGAGTACATTACCTACATACATACTCTATCTCAATGCCTAACAACGTGTTCCTGAACATCTTGGTTGGACCGCAGAGCCCTCCGCGGCCGGCTAAAAAAAAAAAATTCCTCTTCGGCTTTCAGCTAGTGCAGAGCGTCACTTTTGTAGTCCGCCCGAGTGGCTTGACGCAGAACGTCGTTCGCGAGCGTCGGCAGAAAAGTGCAATTGTTCCTCTCGATAAGCCCCGAGCGAATCGGCTTCTTGCTTGGGACAGTTTGTGCCCTTTGATCGGTTGAACCGGCACTTGGCGCAGGTTTTTGGTGGTGTTGCATCTTTATTTAAAAAAAAAGTGCATGTTGGTGGACCTGTCGTCTCGTCGCAATTCCCTCCTGCGTCCAATGAAGGGCCTGTGTTGGCACATTCTTGATGTCTGACGCGTGAGATTCTTGAGGGGATAATCTTTAAATGAGTATTGCCCAAATACAGAACTGTATCCATAGTACACAGCGTTTTTTACTCTATTCCCTTGATGCGAAAATGGCGTCTTTTCTTGAATAAGACTTTAGAGTTGCAGAACTGCTACTGATCCCCTGGACTCAAACAACTCGGCGCCAAGAGAGACAGACCCCCCGCCCGCCCGCCCGCCCGATAAGCGGAGACATCGCCTAGATTAAGGGCCGTAGATTGTCTCATCGGCCTCGTTTCGGTGCACCTAATATATCAAAGGCTTGAAAATAACTTTCTAAAGATATACGGCGACATACCATGACCTAGATAGTGGCGGGGTGGTCATGATAAAGTTCCCTAGTAACTCGGATAAAAAGCACTAAGAAAAAGAAACTCTGGGACCGAAAGAAGCTTCGGCAAAATCCGATTAGTTGGTTGCGGCTTGCTTTCCTTGTGGCTTGGATCTTCGACAACTCACGCTGATCATTGACAAGCCGCCCAATCTCAACGGATTACAGCTCCGATGCAAAGCTTTTCTGTCCATCTTATTCAAACAATCGGTATAATTAGATGACTCGCCCCCTTTTAATTTACGGTCTCAAGGATTTTTTTTCTTTCTTCTCTTCCATGCCGTGCCTTGGAGGCCTACCTACATGTATGGTACGGCAAAAATTGGTGTTGTCCCTGGTTCCTAGGCCTTGGTACCTTGGTAAGAGGACATGATGTAGCATTACTTGGGGAAACGGTAAGTACCAGCGCAATTCTTTGGTCCCTTGTATGCATGTTAATATTGCATTCCCCCCATCCTCGCCGCGCGCTGATATGGTGGTATTCGCCTCATGAAAGCACGCCTTATCAACCAGCCGATAACGGCGGAATGTCTATGTTGCACATGTTTTGAAAATACAGACAGGACGGACCTTTTGTTGTTGTTACATATCAATCCTCCCGTGTCCGACTCTACTCTACGACTTTTTTCCTATCCATCTAGAACGCGGGACAGGTTTCAACCACATATGTACGTGTGCAGATCAAACTCGTAGCGGGCAATCTAATCCTAATCGCGTCCGACTCCTACATTCTCCAGAATCGCGATCTAAAGGTGTCTCAGTTCATCCCCCCTAGCCCTCCAATGCAGCCACAACGCGTTATCACACTTCCACCGACTAGACGGTGGCTACTGTTCCGCGAAGCTCCCCCCACTCACTCGAGGGGGATTTCTGGAAAACTGTCCGACCGAGACAAGATGAGGTGGGTAATTGATCCGCGACGAAAGATCCGGGCGCGATAATTGTCAGCTTTAAGAAGTTGGTACCGAGTAGGTTCTACGCATTACATAGGGGAGAAAACACAAAGCTACGACCGGCTGAACCCGTTACATGGAAAAGGAAGATGACGCAAACAAATAACACCTATTGATATAAGAGAAGCTTAGAGCAGAATTGCACGTGGAAACAACCGCATGTGTTGCTGGACATGGAAACGGATGTTTCTGCTGTTTGCCTCAAGACAGAATCCTAGGTCGATTTTAAACTCTGGTGTTTGCCCTGATTTAGCCCATGGTCAGGCCAGGCGCCTGCAAACCTCGAGGTCCTTGCCTCGAGGGGTGTAAAATGCATGAGAGAAGGGGCCTGAAGTGGTTGCTATTGACAGCTATTGACCTCTAAAGTACTAGGAGGCTCTATAAAAGAGAATCTTGTCTCCTTACTCGGGAGAATTAGTAAATTGCGCAAACCTAAACCCCGAAGCGGACATGTTTTATCACCTTGCGCTGTTCAACTAATTGGTGTTACAAAAATGTTTACCAGCTGAGAGGCCGGCACGAAAAAGAAACCAGGGAGCTTCGGAAAAACATGAAGCGAAGGTCAATGGCGGAAGAACCTACCGTGATCTTGTAGTGGTCGTATTCATTCTATCACCAACCCCCTGGGTTTTCGAGATAGGGTTGAGGTCCATATATAGTACCAGCCGGTGCGAAGCCGCCACGCATACACATAGTTGGAATACTGAGACCTCCGACCAACTCGGCCTCTCTGGCTCGAGTAATATCGATCCTAAGAATAGGGACTAGATAATGGATGATTACTCCCTGGATACTGACTGGCCTTGGAGTTTATCAAGAAATCCTTTATGCCGTCTTAAAGACACAACCTTCCTCCCTATCTTAAATGAACCAAAAATATGAACGTTTTAAGATCATTGTCTAGCCTTGTCTCCTTCGTATCCTATATCGCGTAAACTACGATACTATCCATAATAAGGAACCACAAAATTCTGGTCCCTCATAGTGCGGGATCACATTTTATCACTCGTTAAAACCCAGTCATGTTTTAAGTCACGCTCGGGATGAACCATAAAACAGCCCCTGCTGTCTATCTTGCCAGCTGGCCCAGCTGATCCAGCTGGTCTGAGACAACTCAAGTGCAGTCGGGCTATCCTGGGTTTTGATTTATGATGGTCCATCAGATGAAATATTATCCCAACTAGATTCTGGTTCATAAAGCTTTCCCATTGGGCTGATGGGAGGTACTTACAATGCGATCTGAATATTTTTTTGATTTAAATTGGCGAAGGCATCACTTTCTTTTTGTTCCAGGTGGTGTTCTTGAGACATCGCAAGTTTCTGGAACATCTCGGCGACCTCTATAGATCTAATTCGTTTTTGGTCTCCTTGTCCCCGGACAACGCTCTTAGTCTGGGCCCGCCCAAATTTTCAATAGCCTGCACTGGACCATAAAACCGCAATGCGAATCATCTGGCTTTGGACTGGACTGAGTCTGGCTGTATACCTAGGCCATCAAGACTTCTAGCTTTGATGCGTGGTTTTTGATATAGATTCATGCCGGTAGTAGCTTCCGAGTATTTCTGGATCAAAGTGATTAAAATAAATCATTTATCCTATGCCAACACTGATCTCGACACCTAAAGTGAGCTATAAACCATCCACCCCTGAAGCCTTTGAACATGCGTCTCGTCTACATAGCTATCTGTCTCTTTTATAACA